AGTTTTATATCTTCCGAGTATTGTGTCACAATTTCAACTTTTATCGCGAAAAAAGAATATATATATTCTTGAAGGACTGCTAGTTTTTCAACACATTTTCAAAAGTGATTCCCTTCTCTTATTCTTGGCGATTTTTTTTTTCATTTTTCAAGCAGAAAAGGGATCATGATATAGGCAGAAAGTAGCAAGAACTCTAAGAAAGATTGTTCTCGGGAGTTATTTTCACCCTCACGCTCTTAGATGTTGACAAAGAAAGTGCCATTTGTTCGATAGGATGAACCTTTCAACAAAATTCGATTCCAACAAAGACAAATGATCCCGGTGAACTGAGGTAAAGCGGAAAATGGGACAAAGCGCAAATTGTCGGTGTAAGACGGGGCCTGTCAACTGAAATTGCTCACCGTGAGTCGTGGGTGGATCATTCGAAGAGCATCAATTTTCCGGAGACACGACCTTCCTTCAGCACCGCGGGAAAGAAAAAAAAAAACTTTCGACAAATTTTTGAAGAGCACTGGCTTTGCAGATGCGACTTTCCTTCCATGCAGCAGGTGTTTACTGAAATCGCGCTACTGAATTCAAGAAGAGACACTTCAGTATTTTTTTTAATCGTTTATGAAACGGAGGGAAATGTGCAACGGTCGGAGCGGACATGGCATCAAAAAATAGCGATAGGGTTTTATGAAAATGAAATTTTAGCGTTCGTGCGAGAGCTATTCACCGCGTATTACTGTATTTGTCTTTTGCTTTCGTTTGTGGTTTCTTCCTAAATCAATGAAGATGGATGCTATTTATGCAGAGTACTTGTTGATAATTCCCTCATCCCTGTTCCAATTTCCGCTAGCTGGCATTCAAATGAAGAGAGAATACGGAATTGAAAATGCGTACCCAATCACTGTACTGGGGTTTATCTCACACAATCGCATATTCTATGAGTTTGGAGGCAGTCTGAATGCTACCATCAAAAGTTGAATGTGAATTGTTGAACATTGTATTCGATAAAAAAATTTCCCGATTCTAAAAATCTTGTTCGTATGAAATGAACGTTCTTTCGTGGTGGTGATACCGAATGTTTGGGGTCATCAAAAAGGTCCATCGAGGAGGAATAAGTTGATTATGAGAGTATAAGATAAGAAGATGGTGCAAAATCTTCTGGGGATCAAGTGTTTCTTCAAATTTGTATTCCGTATATAGTGACGTGTACCATATACGGAGGGTATTCTGGCTCAAAAACTTGAATTTGGGAAACATTAATTTGAAAGAATTGATCAACGCTTTTAAAATAATTATCCGTAATATGTTGATTTTCTGGATGAACGATTTTTCGCGGATTTTCTTTCCTTAAACTGGACTTATCATATTCCCATTACTTTTTTTACAACTCGGATATTTACGCAATATAAGGTATTCTAGTTTTTCAAAAGAAGCTGTCAAGTTTTCTCCAGTATAAAAACGGCGGATCTTTGTGACCACGAAACAAGCTTTTGCGAACGTTTGTTCTCGTGAACCTCTGACTATGTTTCCCTCATGGAGTGCAAAAATTGTCCTTTAAATTCACTTACGAATACTACATTATTTATGAGACATTACAGTTGTGACCATAGGGCGTTTATCTCGAATAATTTTGAACTTGTCCGGGTATGGAATATATTTTAAAATATTAGCTGATTTTAAATTTGACGTACTATTGATCAAATTCTATTAAAATGTGTGATCAATCACACACGGAGAGGCCAGCAAAAATTTTCTGACATTTTCACAAGAAGCCTCTTTCAAGTGCTGTATTTGAAAAAATTACGGAGAGCCAAATGAATGTATTCTTTTAACTCTCACTTATGCTTTATTCGAATCATATGTTACAAACACGACGATTTTTCGAAACTTCCATTCGACATCGAATGATGGAAGACAGAAAATTTTTTTTCAATTGTTAATTATAACAAATTCTGCCGGAAATAAAAATACAGCACTATAGGAATTATTGTTTACTTTTGTGTCTTGATTTATTTCCCTGATTTTTTTTTTCTCAGAACAAGGATGAAAACTTTCCTTGGCGGAATATTTTCCATTTTGAAGGATTCTCTCCTCTTATATTTGTGGAACCGGTCGCGAGCGAGAGATCTGCATTAAACATGAATCACACGGAACACACAGACGCATGAAACATGGTAGAACACTGCACAGAGCACAGGGTCTCGTCAACGACAGCGACTACACTGGTGTCGACTGTCGAGCGGGAGCAGTTGTGCGTAGAGCGAATCCCGCGCTGCGCGCCGAACCCTGCAAGACCGCCGTCACCGCCGCCGTTGAGACGCGTCACTTGTTTTATATTTTCCTTTGATCAGTTCAGTAGGGTTCATTTTTTCTTTGGTTGAAAAGTGTGGCTAACCTCAATGTAGGAATAATAAATGAATATAAATTTACCATTAAATGGTCTTGAACTTCATTTTTTACTTTACTGTAAATTGTATTTCTTGTGATTCGCACTTTTTGAAATATGTTCAATTATTAGTTTTAAAAAATCCACCCTTCAATTCAATTTCAGACACCTTCAAAAATAATTGGCCTTTGCTAATTCCAACCTCCCTTGAAGTTCAAAACCTCGGTATGTCGAAGTTTATTTTAGTCCCTGTCTGAATGGCCTCAAGAGCAATTCAAAGAAGTCTTCCCTAACTTGTGGATTTTTCCCCTCAAATATCTATAACTGGAATTTTGAGAGCCCTTCAGAATATTGTTCTGGTGACCTTGGAAGGCAAAGAGCTATAGAAATGTGATTTATGTGGATGCTTTTCAAAGAAAACAGGAGACTGATTGGGCAAATGTACTCTTGCCTCTAAGTTCACCATCCTGACATCTCATTCATCAAGCAGTTTTACAAGGTCCAGAATTTTGCCAATTTTTTTTCTTCTTGTAATCCTTATAATGCTTCCAAGCAAGAATGCTGGTTTCCCTCACTCAAAAGCTCCCAAGTTGATTTCTTTGTTGGTCCCAACCTTTGAGTTGGACTCATTACAGCCTGAGTATAAGGAGCTATTCTTTGTGTGACCCCACAACTGGCGCACACTGAGGTCACAACTGGTGTACATGGGCTATTCTGGTGTTACAAGCATTCACCTCTTTAGATGAAATTTTGCTACCATTCCAGGGCTACATTTGGTGCACAAGTGTGACATAACAGGAGTCTCACACAAATGCACCAACTGTAACCGTGGTGTAACTTATTTGTTTACAAATGTGACCCTGAGTAATCCTGGTTTGAACACACATTAGGGATATACATGTGCAAAAGAAGAACTTTGGTACAATTCTCGTGCACAGCAGGGTCACTGTGTAGAATTACAGACATATCCCCAGTGTGCACCAATTTCCTTACTTGGGAGATGATTGACTGTACTCCTTTAATGGCAGCAACACAAACCATCCTGAAAGCCAAACAGAGAGCACTGGATGCTTATTCTGGAATTCTCAGAAACACCTTGATATCTGGCAGTTGACAGTTTATATACAGGCCAGGTTCACAAAACTAGTGTTTCTGGTCAATAGACCAGAAACAGCTCATGAAAATGAAATTTAAAACCGCGGGATACGCCCGAGGATAAAAACCAACAATGCAAGCAACACTTTTTTTAAACTCATTGTTTGCAACGTTATACCGAACAGAACAAACAACTTTTAGACTAAACAAACTCCCATCAGGGAATCAAGGTGACAATCGCACACAAGACTTACAGTTTCACTGGAGTTCTGATGGCGTTTCTGTTTATCAGCTCACGATCACATTGTTCCCGTCAGTGTCTCTATCTGGCTGTTGGATTTTATCTGAAATAAGCATCGGAAAATGCGTTCAACGCGTGTTTGAGTTCGTTTAGACTGATTTGATACGCTTTTAAAACATGAGCATGGCATATTCGAGTGTCTTATTCAATAATAGCCGATATCAAACATTGGTATGTTGAACTTGGTTTATGAAAGGAAACCCGGAGCGTTGATTTCTCGAAATGCGCAACATAATTGGGATTTGGCTTATGACACAATTTCTTCGAGTGAATATCCTGAGTGAAGAATAGTGAGTGAAGTGAATATGATGATTCTAATTTTTTGCTACGGATCATCTGCACAGTATTTATGAAGATGTTCGGGTCTTCAAATTGCCTATCTCCAATGGGGCAAGGAGTTCACCAATTTCAATTCGAATTCATGTTCGAATCATTGCTTCATTTTTTTCTCTTCGTTTGGCATCGATTGTAATAACAGGTTAAGCGCGGAAAGGGACTATGAAAATTACAACCAAGAACCATCATTTGGAAAATCGAGTGCCCCAACTCGTCAATATTCCGCTTACCGTCGTCGCGCAATGAATTGTCCCAACTAGTGGTTCTAGAAGTGCAGGCTAAAAAAAATAGACTTCCGTATTTATTGTAGCAGTTGTCAACAAAAGAAAGGAAGAAATTAAAAAAATATATAAATTTTATTGTGCACAATGACGGTATGAACAACGCATGTGTGCAAAAGTTTTTTCGCCGCCATGCAGCACGGGAATTATACCCCCATATACACGCGATGTGCTTTAATGGCGGAAAAGGCCCAGTTATGGTTTGCGTGCAAAACGACGCATTATTCCCGTCGCTGCTCATGTTTAATGGGCTCTATATAAGACTGTCGCAGGCAAAGTTCGAGTCATTTTTCATGTCCCCCGCGCCGTATTACACGTCGAATCCAAATGCCAATTCATGTTTATGGCCAAGTTTGCAAGCCTTTCAAAGAAGAGTGAAATACAATTCAGTACAGTACCGCATGTATCCAGAGAACTGTCGTCATAAAACTCTCACCTTATATTATTCGCCCTTCGAATCTTGATGTATTACCAACGGAGATCCACGTGAATTCCGCCCTGACTGATTATTTACACGTCTTAAATAATAAAACCTTCGAAACATTGCTCATATAATTCAAATTTTCACTATGAATTCGAGAAAGAAATGATATAAAAAGGGGATGAGCATTCAAGAGGAAAGTTTGTAGTCCATCGAGCTTTCCAGCTTCTTGGTTTCAACAAGTTTTCGGACGGCTTTCATGAAATCCTCGTCGGTCACAAAGTCCCGTTCTCCGCGAATCGCGTTCAGTCCGGCTTCCGTGCAGATGTTCCTCATGTCGGCTCCATTGAATCCTTCCGACAACTTCACCACAGCTTCGTAATCTTTTTAAAACGTCAAAAAATATAATTGCCCAATTGTTTCCCCCGCATTTCAAACAAGGGACGAAAAGTCGTGTTTGCACTCCGAGGAGAACTGCGCTGTATGCAGTATATGAATTACATTCGCATTTAAATGCTGTGCAGGAAACAACCGAGAAAGTTTCCTTCATGTTTACTTCCCTCACGTTCGATACACTTTTTACTATGGTCTTTTCTTTAAAAAGGAAAAGGGACATGTCTTGAAAAACAAATTTTGTGAAATACCTATTGGGTTGTTTACATGAGGAAGAACAATTTTGGTCCTGCGACTCGTACCAGGCATACGTTTTATATGATGGATCGCGGTGGGTTATCCGTCTGTCTCAACGGCTGGAAAAACGTCTCAAAACAACAAAGAATTCCTTTGTTGGGCATACGCACTATTATATTAATACTGCGCCATCCAGTAACATTCGCCTGATGTGACACGACGTTGTAAGCTTCGTTGAAAACATGATGGATGACACGCTGGTCTTCTCGGGTTTCATGTGTTTGACCGACGGAATTTTATGACATTTGTTGACGTGATTTTCAGGTAAACCTTCACAAAATTTTTTATTAAATTTAAATTTAATAAAATTTGAAGAATTTAAATTCATTATACGGTACTGTACTTGGGAGGTACAGTATTTCGGATTAAACGTTAGTTGACTTAATTCTGGTTCGCAAAAAAAAAATTTCTGACCTTGAATAAAAATGGGATTAGAATCTGGTATTAAATTTCCTTAGTCCGACATGATAATGGCATGTAGTTCAACATGCAAAATCTCTAGCAAGCATCATGCACGATTTTAAAAGCTGTTACGTGATGGGTTGCTCGGAATTGGTATCAGGCTGAAGTTCTGAACCTGCAGCAGGAGAATGGGCAAGACTATGGTCAAGTTCTCTCTGGTTAATTAGAGTGACACCTGCCCATGGTCCCAAAAGTGGCGTCGGGTGTATGGTCAATTGGAAATACAGAGCAACTTTTTTGTTACTTCTACAGCTCAAAAACTTGATCATATGAGGTATTCTGCAGGATGAAGTCTCTAAAAAATTTAGTAGATTAAAAAATTAATCTAAAAAACCACATTTTGAAAAAGGAAAAAATAACCTTAAACACCAGCCGGCCCTGTTCGTTGGGCAGCGGGATCTCGATCTTCCGGTCCAACCGACCCGGACGCAGAAGGGCCGGGTCTAAGACGTCGGGCCTGTTGGTCGCCATGATGATCTTCACCTGGCCCAACGCGTCGAACCCGTCCATCTGGTTGAGCAGCTCCATGAGCGTGCGCTGGATCTCGCGGTCTGCGGAAGTTCCCTCTGAGAACCTTCGCCCACCTAATGATCAGCGTAAATCAAATTAGAGCACAGGCGATTCATCGCCGAAAATTATATCTGCGATGTTTCTCCCTTTATTGCAGAAAATTGGGTTCTTCGTCATCGAGTTGACCCTCATAGAGCTATTTTCAGACACCATCTGAATCACACATGCTCATATTTCAGAATTATAGCCTTATCCTGCGAAGTGTGAGCTGAAAAAAATATTTCTCCATTCGGAGGAGCAAAGAGTCCTGCACAATTGAGTGCCACTTTTATTTTTCTTTCGCCTCCTATGAAACGCATATGCAGAAAAAAATCCATAAATGTAAAACTGTACAGTACAGTACAGTACTGCACTTCATTTCAATTGAATGAGATTTATCCTCAAGCCCTTTTTAATTACTGTATACGAGTATAAGGCACACTTATTTCCGGGGGGAGCAAGATTTTTCATCAAGTAAACCCAGCAAAAATTTTAGACCACGAACACCACTTATAAAGATCAAGCCAGGTTTAATTAAAGAGCATGTCCATCGAGAAAATCTCGCCGTACATTATTTTATTTAGAATGTTGCACGCGACATCTAGGTATGAGCGCGCAGAATCTCAGGCCTGCGTAGAAATCGGGATTTGAGTGAAAAATAATTTCGGGTTTCCGAATAATGAGGCATTTATTCCTCTTTCTGGCACTTCCAATATCAAAATTTACATTAATAATCTTGTTTGTACGTCAGCATGAACTAGATTTAAACATTTTTTAAAAAGAAAACACCCAGGATTTCTGCATGATTTTGAGAGAAACACGGTGCATCGATTATTCTGAAATAATGCGTATGTTTTTGAGAATAAGGCATTTGAAAAGGGTATATACAGTAAAATCTCGTTACAACAAACTTGTGGGGACTTTCAGAAAAGTTTGTTATAACGAATAATTTGTTGTAACGAGATTTTCAATGTTAATGACTGAAAACATTTTTTTTAGCTCAGATCTGCACATATTCAGAATCAAGTTTGTCTTTCAGTTTCAGAACTCTCATTATTGGTGTAAAAAATCAGTAATTTTCTTCTGAACAAATTTCTTGTTCACTGCTGCCAGCAATGCAAATATTCTGGGAAAGAATTTTCAATGATTTTTTTTCACCCTGTACATCCATTTTATAATCATTACTGTAAAGACACTCAGCAAAAAAGCAAGTGATGGAAAAAATGCACAAAAGTTGAAAAGCACACAACTTAAAATGACCATTAATTTGTGTGGCTTAATTATGTGATCAGTAATTTTCACCAGAACTTTTTTCAAGGTGGGTTATCCGTCTGTCTCAACGGCTGGAAAAACGTCTCAAAACAACAAAGAATTCCTTTGTTGGGCATACGCACTATTATATTAATACTGCGCCATCCAGTAACATTCGCCTGATGTGACACGATGTTGTAAGCTTCGTTGAAAACATGATGGATGACACGCTGGTCTTCTCGGGTTTCATGTGTTTGACCGAAGGAATTTTATGACATTTGTTGACGTGATTTTCAGGTAAACCTTCACAAAATTTAATTTTTTATTAAATTTAAATTTAATAAAATTTGAAGAATTTTAATTCATTATACGGTACTGTACTTGGGAGGTACAGTATTTCGGATTAAACGTTGGTTGACTTAATTCTGGTTCGCAAAAAAAAAATTTCTGACCTTGAATAAAAATGGGATCAGAATCTGGTATTAAATTTCCTTCGTCCGACATGATAATGGCATGTAGTTCAACATGCAAAATCTCTAGCAAGCATCATGCACGATTTTAAAAGCTGTTACGTGATGGGTTGCTCGGAATTGGTATTAGGCTGAACCTGCAGCAGGAGAATGGGCAAGACTGTCAAGTTTTCTCTGGTTAATTAGAGTGACACCTGCCCACGGTCCCGAAAGTGGCGTCGGGTTTATGATCAATTGAAAATACAGAGCAACTTTTTTTGTTACTTCTACAGCTTAAAAACTTGATCATATGAGGTATTCTGCAGGATGAAGTCTCTAAAATTATACCGTATTAACAGCAACAACAAAAAATCGCCTTTGCTGTGCTTGTGCTCGGAAAGGACGGTCTTGCTGGTCATCTCTACTCAAGTTTTCAATTCAGTGCATGATACGGAAGTTATAACCTAGCGCTAGTCTCATCGACACAAACCTATGTCGCCCTTCTTCGTGATGGGCGCAGCGTGGATCCTGAGGATCTCCAGCCGGCCCTGTTCGTTGGGCAGCGGGATCTCGATCTTCCGGTCCAACCGACCCGGACGCAGAAGGGCCGGGTCTAAGACGTCGGGCCTGTTGGTCGCCATGATGATCTTCACCTGGCCCAACGCGTCGAACCCGTCCATCTGGTTGAGCAGCTCCATGAGCGTGCGCTGGATCTCGCGGTCTGCGGAAGTTCCCTCTGAGAACCTTCGCCCACCTAATGATCAGCGTAAATCAAATTAGAGCACAGGCGTTTCATCGCCGAAAATTATATCTGCGATGTTCCTCCCTTTATTGCAGAAAATTGGGTTCTTCGTCATCGAGTTAACCCTCATAGAGCTATTTTCAGACACCATCTGAATCACACATGCTCATATTTCAGAATTAGCCTTATCCTGCGAAGTGTGAGCTGAAGAAATATTTCTCCATTCGGAGGAGCAAAGAGTCCTGCACAATTGAGTGCCACTTTTATTTTTCTTTCGCCTCCTATGAAACGCATATGCAGAAAAAAATCCATAAATGTACAACTGTACAGTACAGTACTGTACTGCATTTCAATTGAATGAGATTTATCCTCAAGCCCTTTTTAATTACTGTATACTAGTATATAAGGCACACCTATTTCCGGGGGGAGCAAGATTTTTCATCAAGTAAAGCCAGCAAAAATTTTAGACCACGCACACCACTTATAATTCAGAGATCAAGACGCAGGTTTAATTGAGAGCATGTCCATCGAGAAAATCTCGCCGTACATTATTTTATTTAGAATGTTGCACGCGACATCTAGGTATGAGCGCATAGAATCTCAGGCCTGCGCAGAAATCGGGATTTGAGTGAAAAATGATTTCGTGTTTCCGAATAATGAGGATAGCTACTCCGCATTTATTCCTCTTTCTGGCACTTCCAATATCAAAATGTACCTCAATAATCTTGTTTATCCGTCAGCATAAACTTGATATAAGCATTTTTTACAGAAAACACCCAGGATTTCTGCAAGATTTTGAGAGAAACACGGTGCATCGATTATTCTGAAATAATGTGTATGTTTTCGAGAATAAGGCATTTGAAAAGGGTATAGAGTCCCTTCATGAGCTTCCTCCTGTAAATTATTCCCGCAAGCAGATTCTTTAAATGCAAGTTTTTTTAGGATTCAGAAATACAATATAGGATTTAACAGTACTGTATATTGATTTCAGCACCAAGGGATGGATCATGGAAATTCGATTCGAGCTCTGTACATTACAACGTTGGACTTGAGTATTATTCAAAGCTTCTTGTGTTTGGTCCTTCTATTCTGTTCAAACTGTTGGGAAATCGCTGTAAGCTCATCCACTTCCAGCACAACAGACGATTCTTTCCCACGCGTGAATCGCTCCACTTTCTACATTTAGGATTCTGCTCATGGGAAGAAATTAGCTCTTCAAATTCGTTTTAACAAAAAACTGGATTGAGTGCCGGGTATTCCGGAGGTTGATTTCATCCATAGACTTCTAGCACAAATTATAAAAATGCGACGCACATGAGGACGTACTCTAAAAGAATATTTTCAGATGTTGAACTGATCCCAAGACTTACATTAATACTCAAAACCAATTATTTCATAAGAACTCTGGCCAATCTCATGACTCGTGCAATTATTTAATCTACATCAGCGAGCATACTTCATTTAAACTTGAATCTATGCTTGAAATATTTGTAAATACAATACTTGGTTTTTTCTACCATCATGGCGGGATTCTTTTCCAAAACAATCAATCAATTCTAATAATATAGTCTTCGGTTTACAATGAACAATCGTAAAAGCCGATTATTTTGCATCTACAGTATATCCTTTTCATTCAGCGACTGAACTAATTGAAAAACACATTTTCAGCCAAGTCTATATTACAGTAGCTCAGTTCGGAATTTCTTGAACGGAAATTTCGCGACTTTTTTTTTTTTTTTTTTTTTTTTTTTTTTTTTTTTACGTGGCGCATGGAGCATTTAATTAATGCGAATATTTTTCCTGGTACTTGTACAGAGAACGAATCACATATTGCCCCTTTATTGTATGATGCTGGCACTTAGCAAATGTCACCATAGCATTATGTCCGAAAAGACTGATGAGGTACACACATGATTCCCGTGAAACATGCTGCTTCACTAAAAATAAAGCGAAATAATTCGTGTTCTCTTGCTTGTAAAAATTGCTCATGAAATGTTTCACAGCTAGAGTACAACTTAACCGTCACTTCTTAGATGTGTCAATGGCTGCGAAATTATTTTATTTTATTCACATCTTCAATGTGAATAATTTTGGCAGGTTTAGAAACGAAAAAGAGCTAGGATTTAAATACTGTATACCGTAATCGGATTATGCACATGTTCCTATACTTCAAATGCACGATTTAAAATTATTCAACTTGGATAATTGCGAGATAAAAATCTCCAAAATAAAAAGCGTAAATTGGCCCATAAATAATTTAAAGTTATGAATCTTCAGGAGTGGTCCTCACAGTAATCCATCCAACTGCAATTGATTATTTCAGCCAATTTTCCGCATTATTATTATTTTTCTGACTGTGAAGCCGGACAGAAGGATATAATACAAGCAGAGCATGTGCAAGAAATTAGAAAAACATATATTCTGTTAACCGTAATGTTCTATGCCAAAATCATGAATGGCCTTCGGTTCAACACCATGTACAGTACAAAATACTGTACATGATATATATAGACCCCTTCAATTGGTCCAAATTCCTAAGTGAAAAGGTGTTGCAGTCCCAAGATAGTGCTAAAGGTCTGCACTGCACTGCAACTGTAGAACCAGTCCTGGACGACACCGTGTTGCACCCCAAAAAATAGTTTTCCTTGACTCATCTCATCTGCAGGACAAGTTACTCTAACTAAGCATTTCAAAAAAATGTCTGCTTCAGGCGAAACTCTGTTGCACTTGGCTCAATCCCTTTGGCATCTAAATTCCCCCATGAAAACCTAACAACAATATTGCACAGCATATTTAAAATGTGGCCAACGAACACTTCGTACGTTCGTCTTTATAAATCTCTGTGGTGAACCAGTGATGATCTGTGTGCAGTGTGAGAACATTGGCGAGAGCTATTCTTAGTATGCCCTGGCAGTGCTCCTTATGAATTTGGCAGAGCAAATTATTCTCAATCATCTAAATAGTTTTCAGGTCTATGTAGGCCATTGACAAATGGGTTCACAATTTCAATTTCAAACAACGCATCCAATATGATTGAGCAACACTGCTGGTTATGAAGCTATTCTCAGTTTCCAGATGGACGAACTTCAGATGAAACGTAGAACCAAGTACAAGAGTTTTAAAAACTAATAAAACAAAACAGAGACAAGGGAGATATATGTCATAAATAGGCAAGAATAGACAAACCGATGGCGTCGATCTCGTCCATGAAGATGATACAGGGTTCATGATCCCGCGCGTAGGTAAACATCTCCCGAATGACCCGTGCACTCTCTCCTATATACTTGTCCACTATGGCGCTGGAGACGACTTTGAGGAAGTTGGCGCTCATCTGGGACGCGATTGCCCTAGCCAGCAGGGTCTTACCCGTGCCCGGGGGCCCATACAGCAAACATCCCTTGGGCGGCTTGATCCCCACGCGCTGGAACAGCTCCGGGTTCGTGATCGGCAGCTCGATCACCTCGCGCAATTGTCGGACCTATACATACACTCGGAAATGCATGCCACGCAAAATAATGATACTTCGTGAGTCGGCTTCTATCGGTCCTTCTTACATTTTAAACTGTTTATATGCTGCATATATTAAATGAGGTACAGCATACAGAGCAGTACTCGCAAAAGTCCATTTGCGCACGTGGGGTCAAGTAAATGGTGACAAGCTCTAGTTGAAGCCTGGATTGCTCTCATTTTTGCAGGGTTAGTCCACCATAAAATTTGGCTGATTTTAGATTTTTGTGGAAGTGGAAAAATACTTCCAATTAAGCAATTTAAAAATGAAAAAAATGTAAAAATTGAAATTTTCTTAGTTTTTTAGTTCAACTCAAATGTAAAATTATTTACATAACTTCAATTTCTTTAATCTTTGCAGGCTTAGTGCGCCTTGAAAATTTCGCCATTTTTCTATTTAGATTGTTGAAAAATATTCATATTTAGTGAATTTAAAAATGATGAAGTACATGTAAAAATTTCAAGATTTCTGCCTTTTTCAGTTCGTCAATTTTAAAAATATTTTCAAAACTAAAATTGCTTTTTTATTTGCAGCAGTAGTGCGCCTTGTAGTTTGGGTTGTTCTTCCATTTTTTTGGCTGAAAATTAAGTAAAGAATTTTTGAATGAAAAACGAAATAAAAATTATCAAAAATTCCCCGAATTTTCAGGTTACTTCATTTTACATGAAGCAATTTCAAATTCAAGAAGGCGCAATGAATGCACTGAGAAATTCTACAATTTACAGTTTTTTTTAGATTGAATAAATGTGGAATACTGTTCAGATTGAAATTTAAAAAGTGAAATCTATTTTTCCTGATTTTAGTACTTTTTCAAAAAACATTTTTCATTTTTGTCTGTATCTTATTCAATTTTGAAGCTTTTTTATTTAAGAAAAGTTCATGTGCAAAAATGCATAGCGCTTAAAACGCTTGAAAAATTTTCAAATTCTGTTAAGACTTCAAATTTTAACACATTTTCGAATACAAAATGTTGGGAAACAGAAACTCCAAGAGGTTTTGCATTTTTCAGTTTAGCTCATTCTCATTTGTTTAATACTTACACAAAATAAAAGTTTTTATAATGTTGTATTGAAACAGATGTTCTACAAATTTGGTCACTTTTAAAATTGGAAAATGTTGAAAATTTTATCAATACAAATTGAAAACATTGTCATTTTTCGATTTTCGTACAATTTCCGAAAAAACATTTTGCGTTTTTGTTTAGATCTCAGTCAATTTTCAAAATGTTTGAAAATTAAAAAAAAAATTAAGCCAAAGTTCATTGCGCATTCACACTAAAAAAGTTTGACTTTGATGAAACAGATACTTTGTGGTGAATTTTTAAATTAAGAAAGTTGGGAAACAAAAAATTTCCAAATTTAAAGTTGAACTCATCATAACTTTTTATGTATGGAAGCAATTTCAATTTTAAAATTTTAGTTGGATGCGCAATGCATTTCTAAAAATTTTGAATTTATTTTTGTTTTAAATAAGTTAAAAAATTCGGCAAGTTATGATTAAAAATAGGTAACAATTTCGACGAAAATGTGAGTGAGGGTGGGAGTGAACCGAGGCATAGCAGGGCCCAGCGCTGAGCCTCATCCTGCCCTACCGCCCATCCACAGACACCTTTCCGTGCTTATCATCTGCACAGCTATGTCGTGCGGTTTGAGGGTGCCCGTTTTGTGCAGGAAATGGGGTTAGTCTTGATTCCTGCCTGCTGTTCCTTTTGGCGGGGCTTATTGGGAGGGCAACAGAGGGATAAAGGTGAAGGGATATGGAGTGGTCAATGGATGAACCGACGGATGATGTCGCAAGCAACTTTATTATAGGGACGAGTTTCTAAGAAATCCACTATGTTATGCATTTTTAGAGGAATTCCATAAATACAAAACTAAGCGTTTGAACACTGTACTTTAAAGCAGTGCTTCCAAACCCGCGTCAGCGGGAAAATTTCTTTAGCGTGATCAATTTGTAGAAGGTAGTAATGAAGCCTGTTATTATCCTTTATTATCCGAAGTTTTGGAAAAAATGGCGGTTGAAATTATGTGAGAAAAAATAAAAGTTGGCTTCTCTTCTTATTACATTTTACACTTCAGACATGTCTTCACCTGTCTGAAATATATTCTTTCCAGAGTTAAATTTAAGAAACATTCCTTGAATCTCAGCTTTATAATTTTTTTTTAAATAAATTTAAATAGCTGCTCATTGGTTCTTTACTTAATCTTTGCAATGCAAGTTTTGTTTTGATGACTTTACAGCAGGTATTTAAAAATTTTTCCTTGTCCTCAAAAATTTTATGGAACTTTGCCAATCCGCAGAAAATTTTATGACAATTTGCCAGTCCGCAAAAGATTTTATTAAAATTTGCCAGTCCGCGAACAAAGAAGATTGGGGAACACACGGCTTTAAAGTGTTCTTCACACTTTTGTTTCACCTTGTCGTAGAGCAATTTTTTGATCTGGTACTTGTCGCGTTGCAAACCAGCGCCAGGCCAAGGTGCTGTGTGGCGCCAGCAGGATAGAGTCCTGCCCACGCCACAGCTTACGTAGTGGGACGCTTTGCGCCCCGAAGGAAAACGCACGTGGCCGGATGCACTACGATGCGCTCCGAAGCAACTTTTCGGCCCGGAAGGGGCAACTTTGGCAGAGTGGTAAACCTGCCTTGAAACGGGATTTAGCCAGGGTCAACTAGGTTGCCCTTGGCTCAATCCCAGGGTTATTCAGAAAAAATGGCGGTTGAAATTATGTGAGAAAAAATAAAAGTTGGCTTCTCTTCTTATTACATTTTACACTTCAGACATGTCTTCACCTGTCTGAAATATATTCTTTCCAGAGTTAAATTTAAGAAACCTTCCTTGAAGCTCAGCTTTACAATTCCAATACCGGTATATAGCTGCTTATTGGTTCTTTACTTAATTTTTGCAATACAAGTTTTGTTTTGATGACTTTACAGCAGGTATTTAAAAATGTTTCCTGGTCCTCAAAAATTTCATGGAACTTTGCCAGTCCGCAGAAAATTTTATGACTATTTGCCGGTCCGCAAAATATTTTATTAAAATTTGCCGGTCCGCGAACAAAGAAGGTTGGGGAACACACGGCTTTAAAGTGTTCTTCATACTTTTGTTTTACCTTGTCGTAGAGCAATTGTTTGATCTGGTACTCGCTATATGAAAGGCGTGGACTCATTTCTGAAACGTGTTCTTATGAGATACAGTAAAATACCGGTAAATTCATAGATTTTTGTTGTTTCCGCAGATTTGCAGTTAATTGGGATTTTAGCTCGAACCCGTGAATATTTTTCGACGAAAATTTATGCCGTTAACGCCAGTTCAGCAAACCGATCTATATTAGAGGGATTCCGCTGTACGTGACGTATTGCTTTTGAAGCTATGTCTGCTTCAAAATGTTTGATTATACAAAAACGGTTCTACCTGTAAATTTATAAAATATATCCTGGGAATTTATCAGAGGGTTCAAGGCTAACTTTTGTGGATTTTTATAACGATTCGACAGTACTTGATCCTCCGACTGATGAGTGACCTGCTGTTCTTCGATGCTTAATGTTTCACGCTCAACGGCATGCACTGAAGTATTCAGACCCTCGGGATCCATCCCAAGGCTTTCAGAGGTACTCATTATTTTGAATACTATTTATGCATTTATGTCCACAGAAATACTGTACGTTGCGTGCCCATCACCTTCGATAAATTTAATCCATTCCGTACTAAAACGTGTGCGTTTCGATCCCCGATTTTATATACTGTAGTGTACAGTATTTCTGCAGGTTGAACAGGTACAGTTTTACAGCTTAAAAGCAGAGTTACTTATCTGAGCAGTTTCCATTCTCGCGTCACTTCTACAAACTACACTACTGCAATTGAATTAAAAATGTGAGCATGTTGCATTCGTATGTTCTTATTATTTAATATAAACAATCTGAAATGTATGAAGATCCAAACACGTGCATATTTCGTCATGAACCTTTCTTTTATTGTCTTGGGAAACGCTAATTCGCTGACTATAAGTAAAGGGTAAGGTATTGCATGCTATATATTTTGGCGAACGCTGCTTGTACGTAACCTGATGCATACGAGTGTACCGTAGTTATTTGAGTACCACGTGTCCTTGAGTACGACATGAACCTTAGTTTTTTTTTTAGCTTAGATTTTAGGGGGGGTGGGGGTTCATACCTGTATGATACGCGCGCCTTAATTTTCAGTTGCCAACTTTTACAAACAAGGCGTAAAAATCTAAACACGAATCCTCTTGAAAATTGAATTCACTAAAAATGTGTTCATATCGTGCAAAGTATCGAATTATTCTGTTAAAGAATAGAACTCAATTTTTTTGGATTGGCAAAACAAATTTTGACTGAAAAATTTTCACTGGAAAATTCGTAACCCATGACTTTAACGCGCAACTCTTCTTCCTTTTCCCCAGCAGTTATACTTCGAAAAAAGGTGCGCATGGTACTCGCGTAAAAAAAAGCAAAATACGGCATTGGATCTAATGTGATGATGAAATTAAATCAGAATTACGTTATTTTTTCCCCTATATTCTGACAACTGAACTGGGGTAAGTTTCGAACCTGTTCAGGCAGACCGCCAACGGAGGCGTAAGTGACGCTGCCAGGATCCTCGTGGGACATGGAGTAAATCAAAGGGTCGACTTCTCGCGGAAGAGCGCGCATGATGGTCAAGGTCGTTATGTCCAATGCGACACGAGTGCCAATTTTCAGCTTGTCTCGCTGTACCGCTGCTCTACAACCAACTAAATACCTGGGACCATTGGTTGACTTGACGATGACTGTGATTTGTGTAACAAAGAATAATTTGTGTATAGAAAGCATGTAGCGCAATTTATTATTAATAATATTATCTAACTTGCATTTTTGTATTGCCTGACCCATACATATATATATATATATATATATATACTATATACACACATATATATATAGGATTTAATATAATGCTCAACTTCTAAGAAGACCACACAACACTACGGCGCTGCAGTTTCAGCAAGCAAACAGACGACAGGGTTTTTGAGAGATTCAAAATAGAATACATGTTTCATCCGAATGAAGTGGATCCGAAATGTAAGAACGCTCCGGGCGACTTTTACTATTACTGCATTCATCATTATGGATGGATACAGTACAGTATATATTACTGTGCATCAGCGAATACCGGTGATTTTTCCAGAATTCACCGCTGATTTTTCCGCCGGAAAGGAAAAAAAACTAACATTTTTCAGCATCGATGGGTTTCAGCACCTCGCCGACGATTTGTCCAACTGTTTGCAAGGCTTTCAGGTTGCTTTCTGACTTATCGTAGTCCAAGTAGATTTGGCGCACATCGTCTCGAACTATATTACGAAATTCAAATCAGAGTATTCGCTCAGCAAGTATGAGTTGATGACACGAATCTGGAACGTTACTTTTCTTGAGGCGGGCTTGGGTTTCGCGATGCTCAAGAACTTTCGTCATGAAATTCTGCTTGGCTTTTTCGCGTGGCGGAACAGGGACTGAAGGAGGACGAGGTTTCCTTACTGCCGACATGATCCTTCAAGCAAATCAGCGTCAATTATCTGCGGCTTTTTCTTCTGTTTATTGTCATATACAGTGTATAGGGAGAAATTGCACCTGTACAGTATATGAACGGTACAGTTCCTGAATATTTTGAATTTCGCGGGAAATGTTCGCATCGACGCGTAACCGAATCACGTATTCAGGAAGACGGGGTTCAAGAAAATGGACAAATAATGTCCCAGAAATTTTAAATCTCCCTACAATTTTGATAAATGATTTATGATCAAAGAGAGTAATTCTCGAAGATTGACAAGATGTCGAAACAGGTTTGAGGAGGCTTCGCGCATACTCGAAATTTATTTCTCCCGGCCGGCATTTGTACGATCGCCATGTTGCCGTGTCAGACGACTGGGAACTTCCAACCAGTTATGTTCGCTGATGGAGGTGTGAGCCGTGGAAGGTTACGTGTTAGTCGTGGTCGAAGCTTTCATCGTTCAAGTGATGATTGGGCGTCAGTTCGAAGTATTGGTGTTTGCGAATGTACTTTAGTAGGCAAGGGAAGTTGGCTTTATTTGTTCTGAGAAACGAATTCGTTCTCCAACGTTTAGTAGCTTCACCTTTCTACGCGTCGCCTTCGCAGTTCTTGTTGGTTTTCCACTGACCTGTTCCTGTGAAAATTTCAGGCATTATCAGAAATGGCCTAGTGTGATAGGTACGACCAACCATGTATCTCTACAACATGACGTTGCAGCGCGCCGGTGGCGTGGTGTGCGCAGTTCATGGAAACTTTTCAGGGTCGAAGGTACAGGAGATCGCTGTATCGCGAGGGAAGTCGTTGGAGATCCTCAAGGCTGATCCACACACCGGGAAAATCAATTCCTTGATCTCCGTTGAAGTTTTCGGCTCCGTTCGGTCTTTGATGGCTTTTCGGTTAACGGGTGGTAACAAAGGTGAGCGAAGTTCGGCCTGTTCGAGTGTGTTGAATGCCTCAATTTTTTGGATCGTCTTCCAGATTATCTTGTTTTGGGCTCTGATTCTGGTCGTATTGTGATCCTGGAGTATAATGCTCAGAAGAACTCGCTGGATCGAGTCCACATGGAAACGTATGGTAAGAGCGGCTGCCGTCGAATTGTTCCTGGTCAATATCTAGCAGTTGATCCCAAGGGACGAGCAGTCATGATTGGTAAGCTACCATTTTCAAGTAAGCTGCATCAGTGCGGAATGTTACTGATCGCTTTATCTTCAGGTGCTATTGAGAAACAGAAGCTTGTGTATATCATGAATCGGGATGCTCAGGCACGGTTGACCATTTCATCTCCGCTTGAAGCTCACAAAAGCAATACGCTTGTTTACCACATGGTTGGGGTCGACGTTGGTTTCGAGAATCCGCTGTTCGCATGTTTGGAGATCGACTACGAAGTGAGTAGACGTCGATGGGTAGCATCTGAACTCAGAAAGAACAGCAATTTCGTAGGCAATGCTTAGTTCATTGGAAATGTTTGTGTTCGGTTCCCTGCTGCTCGCAGGAGATGGACGCTGATCAGACCGGCGAAGCAGCTGTGAGAGCTCAGCAAACCCTGACATTTTACGAATTGGATCTAGGGTTGAATCATGTAGTGCGGAAGTACTCCGAACCCCTGGAGGAGCACGCGAATTTCCTCATAACCGTGCCTGGTGGTCACGATGGTCCGAGCGGGCTGCTGATCTGTTCAGAAAATTACATCACATATAAGAACCTTGGTGACCAGCACGACATCCGGTGTCCGATACCTCGTCGAAGAGTAAGTCCCGTTTTTTACTTATCTGCATTGTGTCCGCGATCTGACTGAAACGGAACAGTTTAACCTACGATAGTCGCAATGCGTTTCAAGTTCCTTAACGTAAAGTAATTTTACCGTGACACTTCTCGTTTAGCAGTTATTCAGTCGGACGGATTCGGTTTAAACTCATGGGCTCTTGAGTCCGAAGGTGTGTTTTAAGCTTTTAACTGAGGCCTACTCAGCACTGCAGGTATCTGCACTCGTCGTAAACAGTTCGGCGAGTGTTCGTAATGGCAGTGCAAGATTAAAGCGGGTATTTGCATCGTTGGTGGGTTGGCGACTGTGCCTTTCCATCAGGTTTTACCTCCCGTGACATTTTCCTCCCAATCTCGTGTTTGAACTTGTGTGAACTCTTCCATTTAAATTTTCAGAACGATTTGGATGATCCCGATCGAGGAATGATCTTCGTGTGTTCAGCTACTCACAAGACCAAGTCTATGTTCTTCGTCCTGGTTCAGACTGAACAGGGAGACATTTTCAAGGTTACTCTTGAATCTGACGAAGACATGGTAACTGAAATCAAGATGAAATACTTCGATACTGTTCCCGTAGCAACTTCCATGTGCGTGTTACGCACAGGTTTCTTATTTATCGCATCAGAATTTGGGAACCAGTGAGTTTTATATGATTAATTGCTTGTCACATGTATGATTTGACATCCAAATCTCGCTTCTAGTTTTCTGTACCAAATTGCTCATCTGGGTGATGATGACGATGAGCCCGAGTTTTCGTCTGCTATGCCTTTGGAAGAAGGTGATACTTTCTTCTTTGCTCCAAGAGGATTGAGAAATTTGGTTTTAGTTGACGAGCAAGACTCGCTTTCGCCGATCCTTTCTTGTCAAATCGCCGATCTTGGTAAGGTTTAGCACTTCATCTGTATGGGGCAGGAGATTCATTGCTGTGATTACTTTTAGCGAACGAAGATACTCCTCAGCTGTACGTGGCTTGTGGTCGAGGTCCGAGATCGACCATGCGTGTTTTGCGACATGGTTTAGAGGTCTCTGAGATGGCAGTCTCTGAACTTCCTGGTCATCCTAACGCTGTATGGACCGTAAAGCGTCGTGTAGACGATGAATTTGACGCATATATCGTTGTTTCATTCGTCAATGCCACTCTGGTTTTGTCTATTGGAGAAACTGTTGAAGAAGTTACTGATTCTGGATTTCTCGGAACAACTCCCACTCTTGCTTGTACGCAGTTGGGAGACGACGGTCTTGTTCAGGTGAGAATCTATGCTTAAATCGTGCTGTTCGTTCTTGTAGCATTTAAGTGATGGTTGAAAAGTTAGACTGGTGAAATCACGTGAACACAAATTCTAACTGATGAAAGATGCTAAGTCATTACTGTATCTGTACGTGATATTAGAAATACGCGATTGACGTGCTGATTCATTAGATATACCCGGAGGGCATCCGTCACATCCGAGCTGACAAGCGTGTGAATGAGTGGCGTACGCCGGGCAAGCGGAATATTTTGAAGTGCGCTATCAACCACAAGCAAGTTATCATCGCGCTAACGGGCGGTGAACTTGTATATTTCGAAATGGATCCGGTAAGACCCAGTGTTCTTTTACTATATTCGAATTTATTCCCTTGATGTAAATATAAATTCGGAATGGGTCGAGATACTCAGGGTTTTTCATGCGGCACTCCCTTATTTTCTTCGCCCAACAGACCGGGCAGCTCAACGAGTATACTGAGAGAAAAGAGCTATCTGCCAACGTTGTGTGCATGGCCTTGGGAAGTGTGGCTCCTGGCGAGCAGCGAAGTCGGTTTTTGGCTGTTGGTTTGGAAGACAATACCGTGCGCATAATTTCTCTGGACCCTAATGTAAGTACTTCATCTCTCCTTCTATCGACTCTTTTTACGTGATGAATCTCACCAGACTCCTGATGGAATGTGAAGCACAACTCATGCCAATATCTACTGATTTGTCACAGCGATATTAGCATCGCTCAGCTGTTGAAAACCTCCTAATGAAGAATTTAAATTTACAGGATTGTTTATCCCCGCTAAGCATGCAAGCTCTCCCAGCACCCGCTGAGTCTCTCAGCATTGTTGTCATGGGTGCATCCGAAGGTACAAAAGATACACCACACACAAAGTTGCTTTACTTGAACATTGGTCTGAAGAATGGTGTACTACTTCGTACTCTGCTGGACAAGAATACGGGAGACCTTTCTGACACGAGGACGAGATATCTTGGTTCTAAGCCAGTAAAGCTGTTCTCAGTCAAAATGCAGGGTTCCGAGGCTGTGAGTATTTTCAACTTTTTTCCTGACGAAATATATGTTGATGTTCATTTCCCCTCTGAAGGTTCTAGCAATGTCAAGCCGTTGTTGGCTCAATTATTACCATCAGAATCGCTTCCACCTGACTCCTCTCTCGTACGACGTCCTGGAATACGCGTCAGGGTTTTCATCAGAGCAATGCCCGGAAGGAATTGTTGCGATCTCGGAAAAAACTCTTCGCATTCTCGCTCTGGAAAAACTGGGTGCCGTTTTCAATCAGGTGACAATTAGCGATAGTAAAGGATTTTCAGGTTTGAATGATGATTCACCAGACTTCTAGAAAGCAGTGAAGAAAAATTGCCTAATCTCTGAGTTCTCGTCCTCGTGTTCGAGATTTTATCCAGTTGAATGTCGGCTAACGATTCAACATTTCGTCAGGTGACTCATCAATTGACGTATACGCCAAGGAAATTTGCGGTTCATCCAGAGAGTGGGAACGTCGTCATCTTAGAAACTGATCATAATGCCTACACCGAAGAAACCAAGAAGCAACGTAAAGCTCAGATGGCCGAAGAAATGAAGGATGCGGCTGGTGAAGAAGAAGTCGAACTTGCTGAAGAAATGGCTCAAGCTTTCATCAATGAAAATTTGGATGAATCCATCTTCGGTGCTCCGAAAGCCGGTGGCGGTATGTGGGCATCTCAGATACGTCTAATGGATCCTATCCTCGGTCGGACGCACAAAGTTGTAAGGATGGAGCAGAACGAGGCTGCAATAAGCGTCGCGTTCGTCCAGTTTGCTACGCATCCCGCCGAAATACATCTGCTGGTTGGTGTAGCTAAGGATTATCAGCTCAATCCCAGGAGTGTCAATGGAGGCTATATCTATACATACAAGTGAGTAACTTCCGGAATCTGTTCGCAATCTCCACATGATGGCACAAAAGTTAGACTTGTGAAGTTTCTTATGATCGCAACCTTTTACTGAACTAATTCTGTCATTCCAAAATCTCAATCGCTCTCGAGGGACGACTAATGAGCCATGTATGTTCTCAGGATCCGAAGCGATGGTACGGACCTTCAGTTCTTCCATAAAACGCCTGTCGAAGAAATACCGGGATCCATATGTGCGTTTGGTGGTCGAGTCTTGGTGTCCGTTGGACGGTTACTTCGTGTTTACGATCTCGGGAAGAGGAAGTTGTTGCGGAAGTGTGAAAACAAGGTTTGTTCTACGTTGGCATTGACTGGTTAACAATCCGTGAACGTCAACGAATGATTTCACGACTTTTCGCACTTGCTAGTGTGTAACGTTTAACTCATCTCGTTTATTCATGTCCGATTATTTATTTTTTTTAGATTACCAAGCGAGTGTTGCCATAATTTATCTTATCGCAGTCTGCTTCTGAACTGCTTGAACAATTGAATCTTTGTCTATGTTGTGGAGTCATTCGTTTTTGACGTGTGGTGCATAACAATGAAAGTGATGATCAATCCCATGTCCGTGTTTCAGCTGACAAGTGATTAAAAAATGGAAATTCAGTCTGAACGTCGTGAATTAAAAAGAGCTTCGCAGACGTTAGCGATGGATACTGAAGTTTTTCCTCTTTCAGCACCTGCCGAATTTTGTGGTATCGGTTCATGGAATGGGTCATCGAATCTACGCCTGTGACATACAAGAGAGCGTGTTCTACCTGCGTTACAAGCCTCGTGAGAATCAGCTTGTCGTGTTTGCCGACGATTCGTTGCCGAAATGGGTGACTGCGTCTTGCGTTTTGGATTACGATTCTGTTGCCATTGGTGACAAATTCGGCAACATAACCGTTGTGCGCTTACCACCCGGTGTGTCGGATGATGTCGACGAAGATCCGACTGGAAACAAAGCATTGTGGGATCGTGGTTATCTCTGTGGGGCATCGAATAAATCTGATTGCATCTTCAGTTTCCACGTAGGGGAGACTGTGTCGTCCTTGCAGGTAAGTTCGTTAACTTCGTCTTGCGATTTCAGCCTATTGTGTTATATGGTTTAGTGTAGAGCCCTTGAAACTCTTCTTGAAGGACGTCTAAGCATCTCCCTGATTGACGGAGGTGTTTTCGTCCGCTAATGCAGTTATTACCAGAAGTACGCTATAACGTCGCAGTAGTTCAGATGTTTTCTCGACGCGAACACCCATTGAACTAGTCTTGAAGCAAAACATGTCTATTTTTTGACGTGAGGCGAAGAGATGGGAGCAGATATTTTAATAAAAATGTTTTTCTGCAGAAAGCAACTTTGATTCCCGGAGGAAGCGAGTCTTTGGTTTACACCACGATCAGCGGATCCGTTGGAGTCCTGGTTCCATTCACGAGCAGGGAAGACTACGATTTTTTCCAACATTTGGAAATGCACATGAGAGCGGAAAACCCTCCTCTGTGTGGTCGGGATCATTTGTCTTTCCGGTCTTATCATTTCCCAGTTAAGAATTGCATCGATGGAGATCTCTGCGAACAGTATAATTCTGTGGAAGTCTCGAAGCAGAAGACAATTGCTGAGGAGCTTAGCAGAACAGTGACGGAAGTTTCAAAAAAATTGGAAGATATTCGTACGCGTTATGCGTTCTGAGTTATTGAAGTTTTCTGGGTTGTTTTGAATTACCCATGTGTTTGGTGTCCGACGGAAGAGGGGAATTTGAAATTCTTGTATCAATTTTTGTGTCAGGGTTTTTGATAAAAGTTCTGTTTTCTCATGTCTCGTTTCATTCGGATTTGTTATGCTTCATCCCGAAGCGTAGAGAAAAATAAGCGACTGTGCACTGTCCTGGAGCAAGTGGGTGCAATGCTTAGTGCGATACGTGGCATCTGTATCACCTTTGCATCAATCGAACGTCACTCACACGTACGCCAGAGAAAGGTTGTGTAGCGATTTCAAGTTCGTTGCACGGTTATGATTAGTGCAGTCGCTGCAATTTTGGGCGTAGTACTGTACCGCCTGTGATCAGAACTATTACCTCACGGATGCAGATGGCGCCGCGGAGGAAACTTGCCGTTGGGATGCTTGACCTTGATGCCGGATTCTGTTAAATTTTTTTCGTAGGTAAACGAAGATGATGCGACTGGGATAGCTCCGTGTAGCCTTGAAATTGTTTCATTGCGTACGTGGATGTTAGTGCTCTAGAGCCCCTTACTTTTCTGACATCTTAAGGCTCTCTCGATGAATAGACGCAGTAAAGTGGTGTATTGCTGGATTGTTTTCTCCCACATATTTATGTTGAGTTCGGTAATGGTTAAGGTCTTGTGCAGATTATGGCACGAGAGCCTCGCGCTTGGCATTATTCCGTTGTAACGGAGTTGTAGAGGTACGTATCTTTAAGTTCGACATCGTCTGTTCCTTTCCGGGAGTTCTCATATCTGTGCTCCATTCGAGCGAGAAGGTAAATCAGGGGGTCTCCTAGGATGCGCGCGCTCACCAGCCAAGGATGCTCGACGCTGCGTGACCTCTGTTACAGTTTGCTCAGTAGAGACGTGTCGCGCAATGATGCTGTTGGCTCATTAGATCTTGGTCGTGCGTCGGTGTTACAGTACAATATATGAAACTGATACATCCTTGTTGAATGTTAGTTGACGTTGAATCTTCGAAATGGTCGCCCCGATTTATTAATCCTGTATTGATGTTGGCGACGTATGCTACTCTCTGACGTGTGTGTGCGATATTTTCCCCTCCTTTATAATCGTGATGCTGATTGATTCGGCCTGATGCCTGCACCCGAATAGAATGTCAAGAGCAACAAAGAAAAAGTATGTCGCGCATGAGGTTCTGAACGAATTTGCTGTTCCCAAACCACCGGAGCAAATCGCGAAGGTAAGGCTGATAATTCGGGAGTGAACGTTCAATTTATTCGATTGAGAACCCTCTTAGGTTCTGGGATCGCGAGGGAACAATTTGCACGATGTTACAACTTCTGATGGAGCTACATTCCTGGCTTCGATGCCGACGAAGTTCAGGCGAAATGTATGGGTGAAGCGGGGCGACTTCGTCGTTGTAATTCCAATAGAAGAGGGAGATAAAGTGAAAGCGGAGATCGCTAGAATTTTATATCACGATCAGATTCGATACATACGATCTCAGAACGAGTGGTGAGTTGTTCAGAGCAAATTTTGCTTCTCAAATCTGCCGCTGAATCTTCCTCAGACCTGTTTTTCGATGCGTGTATTCGACTGCCGTATTTGTTTACGACTTAATTTAGGCCGGCTGAATTCGACATTCCGGATGAAACTGCCTCTGGCAAGGTTGACAGCGAAGATTCTGGATCGGAATCTGATAACGAAGCAAGTGATTCAGACGAAATATTGATCGAAAACCCAAATCGTGGGGTGATCAAACTCAACGCAAGACGTTCACCTTCGTCCTCGTCATCTAGCGAATCTGAAAAATAAGTGCCGCTGTATATTTGCTGGAGGAAATGTATTCGTCAAGCTCGTCGGAAATGTGATATTTAAACTAAATGACCTGACGATTTCAACGACGAATGTTGCTTTGTTTTGCTTGTTTATGTGAAGTTTATCGCCTTCTCATATTGACGTTCAGAACCTTGCTTTTTCGAAGATGAAATACTCGGTCGTGAATTTTTGTATTCTGAGGAAAAAATAGATTTTTTCTCGAACGTTTATGCTCAAGATGACTGGGAACCATTCTTGGGCTAGAATCTCGTTATTTATATTCGTGCTTCTTCGCTCAACAACAAATGGTGAGTTGACCTACATTAAATCTTTCTTGTTCTTTCTCGCGCCAAACCAGAATGTATTTTGACCGAGCGTCCGTTTCATTTGACTGCTAAAGAGCTTTATTTCTTCGCTTGCAGGCTCAGATAATTTCTTGGAGAACTTCCAGAAAGGAATACCGGAAGTTCCTCCAGATATTCTTCATATATGTCGAATGCTGTTCGAAGATAACCACGATTTCATGAAACCGAATGCCCTCGAAGGTATCTCTCAGTCTACCAAACTGAACAGTCTGGACCTGGGTGGAAATTTGAAAAACTTTCGTCCTAAGGGATTTGAAAATTTGAGCGACTGTGAAGAAAAACTGAACAAGGTAATTTTTTTCTTCTGGAAAGTTTTACGTGTTTTCTGCAACGCATGGGCAATTTTAATGTATTTTAAGGTCGAGGTACGCAGAAATTTGGAATGCATTTGGCGTGAAGGGAATGTCACGTCCATATCTGAACAAGTGACACAAGCTGTACATGAATCAAAAGGAGGGCTGAATAATCTGTTTCGAGACGTTTGCAGGTATGAACACTTCATTCGCTACCCAAACTTGAATTTATATGGTCATTTCTCTTCAGCCATCGATAAATATTCTTCGTGTTATATTTTCAGGCGAATACCGAAAATGATCGACTGTATTGGAGAACTTATTCATATTATCGAGAGTAGCCAAACCATCGACGAAAGGAAGTCGTCAGCAGCACTACGCGATCAGCTCAATTCTGCTTTTCATTACATTTGTTCGGATGATGGAACAAAAATTGCCTGTAAGTTTTCGAGATTTTTTTATTTCCCTTCTATAAGGCCCACCAAAGAAGATATACCTGTTTCGTCGTAGTGTTTTTTGCTAAAGGAGGTTTGGAATGCTTGGAAGGCGTGTCGGAAAGACTTCAGATGTGCTCAGGTTTGAAGACTGGGAGTTTGGAAGCCATTTTTTCGATGCATGGACTCCAAGGTTCTGGTGGTTTTTCAGAGAGACTTGCTCGTTACTGTCGGTGAGTGGGATTTCGTGTCGAAATTATATTTTTTTGACAGAAAATGAAGCCCCGTTATTTCTTACACCCATGGTACTTATTTAAATGCAGTGGAAACTTTGTGACGTGACGCAATAAAAGCAGGACCCATGTTTAACTAGAAAATATTCTTCGTACCTTTCTTCATCCGAACTGCAAAGGATGACGCTTATCGATTCTATTCTAAGGGATTCTTCGTAAAGCTTGCTGCCATTACCGTATTACGATTGACGTGCCGCGTTTAAAACAAAATTTAACCAAACATGAAATATGCGCCAGATGGTTTCTCAATTTTCACTGAATGGTGATTTATTTGCATTGAGATCTCATTTATTTGTGAACAGTGGAATTTTGTTCTTGAGATTAAAGAATTGTCAATGAGTTAATTTTTCATCTGCTAAGTATTCTTCGTTTTTACCAAAGGATGTTGAGGTACAGAATTCGGAATATATTTTATTACGTATCCGTATTTTTTATGCTCGTCTGTTCATGGGCTTTTTCAGGGATCTGGGATCAACTCGCAAGTGCTACGTCAAAACTCTGAAGGAAGGCTGTAGAAGCAAGACAATCACAAATTTGGTCGATGGATTGTTCATTGCTGTTCAGAAAAACCCTCCGTGCTCAGTCTTGAAATCTTCCGGATCACAGATATCACTGACGAGCTTCTTTCTAGGAATTGTTTCGTTCATCATCTGTAAATACGGTTGATGTTCCTCTTGTTTGCTTTCTGTCAAGATCGATTCCCATTTGGAGACTATTATCCTCTTTTCTCCCCGTTTTAGGTCCTTTTTTGTCAGCATGCTTCATCCGTCCATGTTCTGTTCTATGCCGCGGTTGCATTCCGGTGGGATTTTTTGTTTTCGATACGTTTTGTATTACCTGTTTGGGTTCCCTTTGATCAGTGACCTTCTCCGGCGTTGTGGAAAGTTAATTGTAGTTGACGGAACGTCACATGTTTCCACTGTTTCTGGGTTGTGATGACTTTGGTTCTTGCATGTGTACGAATGAAAGTTGGTGTTCGGGAATTTTGTAAAGAAACCTCAGCGGGAATTAAACGAACTTATTGCTTGAAGATACCGGGAATCTCTGGGAAGCTAATGAAAAGTGCTTATGTGAAAACGGAAAAAACGCGCATTCCCTGGTTGTGACCCGTGATGAATCCGGGGATGTTGGGACTGTGGAGGTGCCAAAAATATTGCAGAACAGGAGTCTTCTCTTTGTTTTTGTGTTTTTTTTTTATAGTACGGGTGTGGCATTTTTTACTGGATTGGTGGGCTTTAATGCCGTTGCATTATTACGGAAAATTAGGGCTTGGACCTGCATTTGTTTGTTCGTTGCGATGGATCGGATAAAACTGCTTCGGGAAAATCTGCGTTTTCTCTCGTTGTGCGTTGCATGATATAATTCATCTCATCAACATTTTTTTAAGGATTTCTTCAGGATGGTTTCTGTTCAGCAGTATAATGAATTGGAGAAAAAGTTTAGGGAATCCCAACGAACTGTCAGAAGTCTTCAGGAACATATGGCACGTTTGCCGTTGCGTTCCGAAATCGAGCAACTTCAAAGTGAAGTACGGAGTGGATTTTGAGATGATTTGCTTCAGGACTAATGCATTTGATGTGCAGGTGAATCTAAGCAAAATCAAAATGCAAGAGTACGAGAAGAAACTACAGCAATATCGAGAACGCGAGAAAGAACTCTCAGACCGGGCCCGAGACCTCAAGAAGAGTTTGGATTCCAAACCAACGCAAGCAGAATTGAAGTCTGCAAGTTTGCTTGCCGAAAAAGTAAGTCTTGTTTGATGAATGTTTCTGTTGTAGTAGTAGAACTTCTGTGAGAATTCCAGCACGTTGCTGCCGTTGTTGAAGAACTCGAAGCCCGAGTACAGAAGCAAGATGAATTCATCAACAGGTTATCAATCGAGAAAAAAGCGTTAGAAGATTCCGTTGTCTCGTTTCGAAGTCTTGTGCACCAGGTAATGTTCAGGGCCCCATCTAATCGAATTGAAAGTATTGAAGAGTCTTTGCTTGCAGTTGGAAGCAGACGTTCAAACGTCTGATGAAAGTTTGCTTCGAGCAGAGGCTGAAGTAAAAAACTACAAATATTTTGGATCCGAAATTCTTGGAAGGACAGCAAAACTCAAGAGGCGTTTGAATGCTTACACGAAGGACTTCCGAACGCTTCTCACCGCATTATCGGAATCATTAGAATCCCAGGATTTGATGCCGATTTTTCTCGTCGGTATGTCTGAGAGAGAAAAAAAAAACGGGAAGCCTCTTGGACTTCAGCGTAATGATTTTTCAACTTGTAAATAGGTGCTCTGTCGTGTGAAAATTTTGGGTCGCTGATGGAATCGGAGGCGTGTCGAAATTTGGAAGATTATCTCGCTTCTATGGAGCATTTCTGCGATGAATTGGTAGATGGTAGAAGCGAGGTTCTTGCGATTTTTAACGGAATCGTGGATGCATGTGTTACACTCACGGCTCAAAACACTATGCCATCAAGCTGTGCTGTTCAGTGAGGTTGCTTTATTGATCTGTATTACAGTATTTTCACATTTTTCGGTAAGTCCGTATGATACTGTACGATTAGCGTACTGTATTTCGATTCTTGCAAGTTTGAATTGTGTCGCATGGTCTTCAACAACGTTCCGATTGATCGTACAGTTCTTTTTGTATGAAATGCGCATTTTAAGCGTAGTTTAACTGGTACAGTACTGTATGTACAAGTTCTGCATTGACCAAATCTGCCCTCATGAAAAAGAACGGGTAAAGTTTTTTTTTTTTTTAGTTTTTTTTGAACGGGTGCTCTACATGCAAATTACCTAAGCACTCACAGCTGTATACCCGAGGCGTCGTTCGGAACGAAATTAAATTATAGCTTCCATTAAGTATGCTATAATGTCAATTATGTCATCTTTCAAACCAGGTTATGCAAATGTTTAAAAGTCAGTGGGCCGTTTCTGGTTCGTTTTGTGCAGCGAATTTTTTCCTTTTCTCAAATAATCTCGGTACTAAGAAATCCCTGAAGCTATAGATTTTTTGATAACTGTGGATGGTTTTACTTCAAATCCTGTAATGTTCCGATGAAAGTTGTTCAGTGAAAAAAGAAATTTCTCTAAATATAGAGAAATGAAAAAAATTTGCTTTTCTCAGATACCGTGAGAATCTAAAATTCTAAGGGACGTTCAAAATGTTATGTTTTGCTTCATATTCATTTTTCATTGCTATCTGTTTTGCAAGAAAAAGTGAAGTATTTTATCGTACTTGAATTGGAAATATTAAAAAAAAATCAATGTATCAACCATGAACTGTATCTGTGTTGTGTTATTCGAATGTCCATGTGATTTTTTTTTGCTGCGTAATACCTCTCAAGATGTGTTCGAAGCGAGAATAAAATTTGAAAAAAATATGTTGTATTGATTTCTTGAATTATTATTGTATGTACTGTTATCACGCCAGTATACATGATGTTAGCATGATAATGATATCATGAGAAATCTTACTGTAAATAATAATTATTATGATAATGTTATTATCATTTTTTCATTGTTTGAAGACATTCTTCCAATATTCCATACAATTTGAAAGATATTCCGTTTTTACATCATCTGGTAGGTTTTGCGATCTATTCTTTTAATTTTCGGATCCTCATTCATTTTGAAAGTATGTCGATGAATACGAGGACAAAATCAAGGGCGATGCCGAATTAATTGTCAGCCATGGTGCAGATCAAATGCTTGAGACTATCATTCTATACATTCAGAATCCGGCGATCCTTCAATGAATAAAGATTTTTTTTTAAAGCGGAATAGGTATTGCAGTATCATGGCCGAATAATTTATTCCAGAATTTTCAGCATCTCGAGAAAATGAACTGGTGAAAAAATCACGATCTCTGCTGATGCAGGCATGTGTAGTTTATTTTCCAATCCTCTCGTACGTTATCCGCCGACTTTTGGCAGTTCTCGAAGGTAAATCAAGAGGAGAAAGAAAGTTTTAAATACGATTTTAAACATATTTAAGGGAACAATGAACTTTTGGACCTATGATGCCTGTATCGCAGCAATGCAGAAAATCATCACTGCAACTCATCTAAGCATTTCTTTTTATTATTCCTCTCAATTTTACCCTTTTTGGATCTGATCGATTTTCTTATACAGTATGTACCCAAAAGTGAATTTTGGAGAAGCTTCTATGTATGGGGTGGTTTTTAAATCAAATGAAGCTTTTTTTTAATGAGCATCTGAACCAAACTTCAACGAAGAAGAAACCGGGAAAGATGTGTACATAACGAGAAAAAGGTATGTGAATTCCTGATATTAACATAAGAACGATCGGAGAAAGACGATGATATTCTTCAATTGTGCCATATTTGTTCGTTACGCAGTGAGTTTTTAACGAACAGCACTGTGTCCCGAAAATTCCTTTTTTTTACGAGGAAACTGTTCCTATATGCTATTTTATTCCTTGTTTTTTTTCTTCTAAAAAAATGGAATGTGTTTTGAGGCATGGAGGGTCTTATTTAACGAGAACCAATAGTGCAATACACTGTCTGAGTTTATGGACGCAGCATAGTTCGTGATGCTGTGATTTTCTGCTTCAACTTTTTTAATGAGGTCTGTGATGATGATCAAAAGGTTCAAACTCGGTTCGGTGCAGCAGTTCTGAATTATGCGTGTACAGGATATGCATGACGATATTCATGAGGCGCAGCGCAATGGATTTTTACATCATTCCTATCGAGTCAGCAGGGAATAAAAACAAGTATAGTACGTGGCATTCAGCGTGAATTTATTTATAGATTTTAAATGATTCAAAGTGCATGGGCAAATAATAAAGCATATAGGAAATTTATTATATACAATACAATCATCCAAAACATCTTGCTCTATATAACACTGTGTGAGAATTTTTATTTTATTTTATGTCTTTTTATGAATGAATGAACAGAACACTTCATTTGCTGTATATCTTTACTTCATAGGAAATACTTCTGCTTATGTGTATATGCATACAAGGGTTCTAACAGAAGTTCTTGGAGTAGCAATGAAAATGGCTTACAGTTGACCTGAAACAAATTTTTTCTTTAGGGAAAACATATTCTTTGGCACATAAAAAAATATCAGCCCTGTTTGACAACTTTTTTTGAATTTTTTCATAATTTACCCTGGTAGAGTTCTACTCTCCTCTCAGAAGACAAGGCGCCCTTTTTTGTTGTATAGCCCAGCTTTCCCCTCAGAATTTTTAAAATCAGCTTGGCATTCTTCCTATATGCACTTTGTATATAAACAGTACAAGAGCATATCGTACAGTTTTTGTTTACTGCTATAGATAACTAGATAAAATGAAAATGGTCATCCAAAAGCTATAGGGACTTCGCACCTGATGAAAAACTGTTCTCCAATATCAATTGCTGAATCTTTCTATTCACATTTTTTTTAAGAGCGTCATATCATCGCATGAATCAGGCATGATATGACTTGTATAAATTACTGCTATACAGTATATGTATTGATGGACGTATAGGGTAAATCGCAGTCTAGAACTCTAGCCCTTATTGTGCAGTAATATAGGGTGTACATAGAGTTCTGCTCCAGGGAGAAACGGGTCCACCGATACTGCACTGTGTAATTAGTGCGTTGTTATTCATGATATATACTGTCAGTAAAACCAGAATTTGCTATTGAAGATTTCAGGGTCTGTTCATTATTGGTAATATTCTGGAGAACATTTTTACGCATGCTAGGCTCAGAGCATCATTACTTTTTCATCTTGGAATATTGGATACAACGAATGAACTGAAGATTACTGTACTGTACTGTATAGTACTGTGTATTACGGAAAGCGGGGGAACAGAACTGCACTTACATTTTTACCAGACTTCTCTAGCTGTACGGTACTTCAATGACGGCGCCTTGCTGTTCAAACCGTGTTGTACGCTGAAGCGTGACGGAATGGGAAGAGAGGGATCTTACGTGTTTACAGTATTTTCAAATGTGTTCGAAGTGAACTTGACGTCTGATCGTGGCCTAATGCCCTTCGGATCCTCGTTTCCAGGTACCTTGAAAATTGCAGAATGACCTTCGAGAAAATACTTGCGGAATTGACTATCGATGGTCAGAACTGGAGGTTTTTCGACTTGCCCGCTTTGAATGACGAACGCTATGGTGAGACTGATTTGTATATTCTTTGTGCGTGATCTTGAAAAATTCAAATATTTTATTTTGGCAGAAAAACTACCTTTTTCAATCCGCGTGTTGCTTGAATCAGCGATTCGCAATTTGGATGGCTTTCAAGTTAAGGAGAAGGATGTACAGAATATTCTTGACTGGGAAAAGTTGCATACTGACCCCGATGGAGTTGAGATCCCTTTCAGACCAGCGAGGGTAATTCTTCAGGTTCGTTTTCAGGAACATACGTTTTCGTTTCTTTTTTCGATTCTTTCTCTTGATTGTGGCAGGATTTGACGGGCGTTCCAGCCGTGGTTGATTTTGCGGCGATGAGAGATGCGGTTGCTGGTCTGGGAGGGGATCCCGCGAAGATCAATCCTTGTTGTCCTGTGGACCTCGTGATCGATCATTCGATTCAAGTGGACTTCGCGAGAGCGTGTGTAGCCCCGTGCGCCCATAAAAATATTTGAAAAACTTGCATGATTTTCTACCAGACATTTTCTTTCAACGCTGCTAATTGCATGTGTGGTAATAGATGAATGTAAAGTACTTAGCACTTAATGGAAATACTGCGAAATCTAGTTATCTAACGCAGATTTGTCACATTTTTCTTCGCCTCATTAGTAAGGCGGCGTAAACCGATCTTTTCATTGCTGCAATTCAAAAATACTTTATGAAAAATTAAATCGAAAATAGTTTAGAGTACGTGTAGTTGGCGATACGATGAACCTTTTGAAATTTGGCTTGAGAAACTTCAACCATTGCCTTTTCAGCCCGGATGCCTTATCGAAAAATGAAGAAATCGAGTACAGGAGGAACAAGGAGAGATTCACGTTCTTGAAGGTGATATTTTGCACTCTCATATGAATTTTAACGAAAAGATCACTGCCGTTTATCGGTTGTATATTATTGTTCACATTCTCTTGATATATATTCCGTTCTAGTGGGGCGCAAAAGCGTTGAAGAATCTGACAATTGTTCCTCCTGGGTCTGGAATCGTTCATCAAGTAAACCTTGAATTTTTGGCACGCGTTGTTTTCGATAACGAAGAAGATCGTCTTTTGTACTGCGACTCGCTGGTCGGGACAGACTCTCATACCACCATGATCAACGGACTTGGAGTCCTTGGTTGGGGAGTTGGTGGTAAGTACCTCGCCTACCGTATTTATTCGAATACTGTGTACTCAATAGCTGAAAAAAATGACGTTTCTTGCGCTCAAAAACAAAAAATAAAAGTGCTTTGTTATGCGAATGTAATGCGCCCTTCCTCCTAACATTTTTTCACGATCAGATTATTTGTTGGATCGACTATTTGTTCATCCAATTTCCTGCCGTGGGCCCCATTTCGAACTCAGGTGGTCCCCTCCCCGCAAATACCAATGCTGCGGAAATTATGTAAAAATATGCAGAGGCTCTAGAATGAAGTTATCTATATTTCAAGACCTTATTAGACAACTTTTGTTCATTTTTCATTCCACAGCAACATGTTTTCTGAAGCCAACTCTCAAATTCTGTTGGAAAGTTGAAACATGATTTTTGGAATGCAAGAAAAGTACTTTCTTACGCAGTTTAACTCAACATTTTTTTCTTTGTACCCCAGTTAGGTCTGAATGTTTTGGCATTTTTTTTAATTTTCTGATATCTTGATTAATCACAACAAGTGCAAAAAGCTTGATCCCCAAATGGGGCTCATGCCAGGTAAGGTTTAAAAAAATATAATGTTCAATGTGTCAAAAAGGTTCCTTATCTTGAATATAACTAACTGCTGGGCTGAGCATGCAAAAGTAATAATGAAAACATGTGAAACACAAAAAATTGGCTTTGAAATCAATTTTTTTCAATATTTCCTCTATGTGCGATGAAGGCAATTTTTCTGAAAATTTTTTATGATGCCTCTAAGCTTTTGAACTTTATCTAACAGCAGGAAAATCTTTGTACATTCCTTGGTTTATAGGATGGATGATGATCATAAAGTTTTTTGCTTTAAAAAAACTTTTAGAAATGTTTGGATAATCATAAAAAAATATTTATGCATTTCATTCCTGGTGGCATTCTAGCATCACAAATGTATCAGAAGATATGTTTGCACTCACCTCCAGCTTATAATACAATTTAGTCCAAAGAATGCCTAAAAATATTTCTTCTAATGTATTGAAAGCTTTTTATTGGTATGAAAGAAGATGGTATCTGCCATGAGCCCCATTTTGGGATCAACTTTAAAATTCAAATATAAGGCAAAATTTTGAATTTAAGATTTGAAAAAAAAATTCCCCAGCCTATCTGAATGTAAATGAAGTAGAAGCAAAATGGGCGTGCAGCAAATTTGGCAGTTATGGGTTAATGCGCATGAAGACTTGTGCCCTTGAACTACAATTGTTTGCAAGTATTCTTTTGGTCTAAATTCAAGATTAGATTTTCAGTCGAACTATTTTGTTGGTTGGAAGGAATCATGCTTTCAATCTCCAAATGTGATACCTTACCAAGCATAAAACCACCAAGTATAAAACCCACCCGGTTTTCTTTCTTCAGCCAATTTTTAGAAGAAGTGATACAGTATTCAAATCATATCCAGATGAACACTTTGAAAAGCCAAAACTGAATTGGTCATGTTGAAAATGTTCAGGGATCGAGGCCGAAGCTGTTATGCTTGGGCAAGCCATTTCAATGGTTCTTCCTCCAGTCGTTGGGTACCGAATTCTAGGAGAGTTGTCTCCATTGGCTACGTCGACGGATGTCGTACTGTACATTACCAAGGCAAGTTACTTGAATGCCTCATCGTTGGACATGTTCAAGAAGTAGTTTCGTCCGCGCAGCATTTGAGACAAGTTGGTGTTGTGGGAAAATTCGTCGAATTTTTCGGTCCTGGTGTTTGTCAGCTTTCCATTGCTGACAGGGCAACCATCAGCAATATGTGCCCCGAGTACGGTGCTACTACGGCTTTTTTCCCAGTGGATCAAACTACCATTGACTACTTGATTCAGACGAGTATGTGAGCCATTTTTCAGAGAATCTCAGCAACTGCCTAAAATTATTCTTCCCTCTTTTAATTTACAGATAGGGATTCGGTGAAAATCAGTGTCATGAAGAAATACCTGGAGCTTGTGAAGATGTTCCGCAATTTTGCGGATAGTACGCAAGATCCCGTCTTTTCTACTGTTGTTGAATTGGACCTGTCGTCGGTTGTGCCTTCTGTCAGTGGGCCGAAGCGTCCTCATGACAGGGTGCCCGTTGCTGAAATGCGGAAAGATTTTCAATCTTGCCTTGTAAATCCGGTGAGTGTTGCGTTTGTTACGAAACCATCGCGTATCAGAAGTCTCAGAACCAAAGTAGCCATGCATTAATAACTCATGGTGGTTCACAAAAGAAGCAAGCCTTACTAGACATAGTCCTCCTTTTCTCATTAACGAGACATAACTATTGTAGAAGCTCTTAGGTTTGAACCCAGAATTCATCTTGAAAATTTTTCTCAGGTTGGTTTTAAGGGATATGCCGTTAGTCCTGAGAAGTTGGATACCACTGTGTCTTTCCAATTCGAAGGACATGAATATTCGATCGGACATGGGTCTGTCGTTATTGCTGCCATTACGTCGTGCACCAACACCAGTAATCCGTCAGTCATGCTTGGAGCAGGTAAGAATATTAATTTCTGGCTGTGCCATTATCTGTGTTGAAGGTTTAATATAGTACACTATTAGTCAAAAAATGTGCGCATGTATACGCCATCTCATAGTAAAAGTGCATCGGCCTGACGTGTTAGCTCCTGATGAGGAAATTCGCTGTGATTTGTCTTCGAAAAAATACTTTTATCATTACACCGTATAAGGAACAACAGATACATTTATTGAATGATTGATGGATTACACAAATTAATATTTTTGTAACCTGAAATTTTTTCTCATTGTTATGGGTGGTTTAGGTACTTATAGCGATTGCTTAAAAAACCTAGATTCTTGAAATACGGTACAGTATATGGAAGAATGGATACAAATTCTGAAAGATAGATTGCGTCGTTTGAAATTAAATTGCTTCTACCTCCAATATCTTTCATTGGTAGCTTTCTAAGCTGCGCATTTTTGCGAAGTGAACGCAGGTTTTGCCGTTGATATTATCCTGAAGTGTTCCACTGTGACAGATACCGCATTTTTAAAATGATTTTGAAATCTAATAGTTCACGTAATATCGCACTGTGTTTCATATTTTTTTGAGTAATTCCTGATGACTTTTGATCAAATGTATTCCTAGAATCTATGCAATTTAAGTAGTGCATTCAGCGGGCAAGGTGCTTTGCAATTCGTTGAAATTTTATTTGATGATCTTTCATTTCAGGGTTGCTGGCGAAAAATGCGAGAGCCGCTGGACTCTCTGTTCCTCCCTACATAAAAACTAGCCTCAGTCCGGGATCAGGAGTAGTAACGCGTTATTTAGATGCAAGTGGCGTGAGTGCAGACTTGGATGCGTTGGGATTCCAAACAGTTGGCTATGGTTGCATGACCTGTATCGGCAACAGTGGTCCTCTGGATGAAGCGGTTGGAGCTGCTATTGAAAAGGTAACCGAAACGTTTCAACCGTGCGTGATGTTGTACGACGGAGGATACCTTCTTTTAAAACCATTGAGACTAGGTAGTCTCTGTGCAGTTGACTGCCGTTTATGTTTTTCAATACTCGCTCGTGACTTGCACGTGATTAAATGTGAACGATTCTTTTATTTTCAAACTGTGCCACGTATACAACTAACTACAGTACCTCGAACTGGCTTTCGGTTTTGTAAATGTTGGCGTATTCTCAAAGGGAGAGCTGATATGCTGTGGTGTGCTTTCTGGAAACCGAAATTTTGAGGGAAGGATTCACCCACTCACAAGAGCCAATTATCTCGCATCGCCGCTGCTTGTGATTGCCTATGCCTTGGCAGGCACTGTCGACATCGATTTTGAAACACAGCCTATTGGTAATTATGAAAGCTGAACGAGATGTTATCATTCATTATTTTTACACGAATTAATTTCGAAAGTACGCGTGAAGTTAAATAATGTAGTAAATTCAGATAATCACTCAAATTAAAAATTGAAGTATGACGATGCTGAGAAATATTTTCTCTGTGTTTATAATGCGTGACGCAACCCAGGAAAAGGCGAAAAGGGCGAAGTTTACTTGAGGGACATATGGCCGACACGTCAAGAAATTCAGCGTGTGGAACGAGAATGCGTCTTGCCGAGCATGTTTAAAGAAGTTTACGGAAAAATTTCGGAAGGAAATAAGCAATGGAACATGTTGCAGAGCTCAGAGGGCATGCTTTATCAATGGGACAGCAGTTCCACTTACATTAAAAATCCTCCTTTCTTCACTACGATGAAATTGGTGAGCAATGCACTGTGGAAATGACGTTGCACGTTTCGAAAATTAAATGTTTTCATCCATAGTCCTGTACTGTACTTGGTTCGCGGACAGTTTTTGGCTGGATACTGTGATTCCGTTCTTTCGGAAAGACGATGTTGATATTTTGTAATTTTTGTTAATACCGCAGTAAGAATTCGAGATTGACTGGTGAATAAGGTTCGCTCAGAAAATTTTAACCTCAGTGTCCGTGTCGTGGCCAGAAATTTTAAATTAATTTCGATCGCGCATATTCCAGGAGTTGCAACCTGTTGGAAGTGTACAAAACGCCCGAGTTTTGTTAAACTTGGGAGATTCTGTCACTACTGACCATATTTCCCCAGCCGGTAGCATTGCGAGGAACAGTCCGGCTGCAAGATATCTTGCTTCCAAAGGGTGAGCCATCTATCAATATAAAGTATTTAGTAATGCCCGGTGATGCTCTTTTTAATTTGACCACAAATTTTGGTATTTTTCAGCCTTGTGCCGCGGGATTTCAACTCCTACGGCAGCCGCCGCGGAAATGATGCGATTATGGCGCGTGGAACTTTTGCTAACATTCGACTTGTGAACAAGTTTATGGCAAAACCCGGCCCGCAAACCATTCACTTGCCAACTCAGCAAGAAGTAAGAATGCCCTTCTTGTATGAACTTCTGTTCTACATTTAAACTTCCTGTCGTAAACGTTTTTTTCAAATTTTTATTGTTCATATTCATTATCCATTGATACTCCTAGATGGACATATTCGATGCGGCCGAAGCGTACAAATCCACGGGTACTCCGTTGATCGTACTTGCTGGAAAGGATTATGGTTCTGGGTCATCTCGGGACTGGGCAGCCAAAGGTCCATTCCTCTTGGTACGTTGTACATTTATTTATGAGGAAAATGACCCAAATTTTGAGAATTCCTGAATTTCGAAATCGCTGATTTCTGGGAAGGTATAATCAAACTGAACTCCAAATTACGTGTATTTCTCGCTTTTTACTCGTTTTACTTATTGATCTGTATCCATTGAGCGTACAGTATTCTAGTTCTTTGCACAAATCCATGTCTCGAATTTCAGGGCATCAGAGCAGTCATCGCAGAATCCTACGAAAGAATCCATCGTAGCAATTTAGTCGGCATGGGAATAATTCCACTTCAATACCTTGAGGGACAGACTGCGGAAAGCTTGGGTTTGACAGGAAGAGAAATTTTGTCGATTGATGTGCCAGAAAAACTGCGTCCTCGGCAGAAATTAACGGTCAACGTGGATGACGGAAAAAGTTTCAATGTCATAGCGAGATTCGACACGGACGTCGAATTGGAGTATTTTCGAAATGGCGGTATTTTGAATTATATGATCAGGAAGACGATTTCTTCCTAAATCTTTCGTGATGGACGTCGCTCGGTGTAGGGCCTGGAATGTCGCCGTCACTTTTTTTCTTGGGGTGTCGAGGGGTTTGCGGGGATTTCGGCCTCATGCGTATAATCTATTCTTTGCGAGTGTTTGAAGCACCTCTTCCACCATTCCCGCTGGATTGGAACAGGTCGTAAAGTCTAATGACATAACGATGAGTCCACGAACAGTAACACCTTGTTAGGACACCGAAACCCTAGTATTACCTTATAACTGACTTTTAACCTCATTTAGAAAGTTGACAACGAGTAAATGCTGCGTTTTTATTTCAATTGATTCTGATGCGTTTATGGAACTGAACCCGGGAACTGCCCAGTTCTTTTCTTTTACTGAATATGAATACATCCATCAAATGGTGCTGACCCAGCCACGCGACACTGGGAGCGTCCATTTTGTGCAAAGAGACCGAATTGCCGTACAGTTCAAGCGCGAACGCTTTTGACTGCTCCAGGCGTGTCAGTTACTGCATGGGTGCGGTGGACCATCCTGTTACGTGATCGAATGTGCCCTCGTGGACACCGAAGCACTCGAGTCGGAGCTATCCTAGTTGGGGGGACCCAAGCTCAAAACTACGTCCATGTAGATGTCGCTAAGAACGGCGGACGGAACGTCCTTGGCGGCATCCATTTGTGTTTCTTGAATAATTCACCAACTATTCAAGTCCAGCATTTCAGATTACTGTATTGCTACTCAGGTGCTTGTCATTGTGGAACAATCCTGTGGCTTTGGGATCATAATGGAATATTGACTGAAAATTGGAGTAAATCTTTCAACTGTTGCTCATTTAACTGCGTTTTTATTTCAATTGATTCTGATGCGTTTATGGAACTGAACCCAGGAACTGCCGAGTTCTTTTCTTTTACTGAATATGAATACATCCATCAAATGGTGCTGACCCAGCCACGCGATACTGGGAGCGTCCATTTTGTGCAAAGAGACCGAATTGCCGTACAGTTCAAGCGCGAACGCTTTTGACTGCTCCAGGCGTGTTAGTTACTGCATGGGTGCGGTGGACCATCCTGTTACGTGATCGAATGTGCCCTCGTGGACACCGAAGCACTCGAGTCCGGATTTTGAAGTGCGTGCGCCGTTCAATGAATTGAATTTGCTTATATCAATTCAAGAGGGTGTGAGTTTTGACGCATGGGTTTCTGGAGAGAATCCAAAGCAACTCCTTGCGATGGGGAGTCGAGGTGGGAGCTTGTAACAGACTTCATATTCTTCCGTTCGGTCGCCCCTCGCGAGTGAGTGCGGTCGGCTGGACCGTTACCCGTCTTCTTGTGAGGTTACGATGGACCCGTCAAACCCGATCACCCAGGTTTATCCTGATGATTCGGAGGGGCGTACGCACAATTTGGGTCTACCAGAGAATGGCACTGGAGACAAAGATCAAGGTTTGTCCTTAGCGGAACAGGATATCCATTGATGAAGTGACAACTTTTATTTTACAGCAAAGCACGTGAAAAAGAAACGGAGGCGAAAACCGTGCTGCGGTTTTCAGTGGAAGAGTTTGCTGTGCTGCTTTCGATCGAAGTGTGGTGATTCGAAAGCATGTTGTCGAAGCCCGGACGGAGTCATCCCCAAAGCTGGTGATGACAGTGAACAGTATTCTCCGAATGTCCAAGACTCGACAACATCACGGTACCTCTTACCTCCGTTGAAGTCGAATGACGGGGATAGAAAGTGTTTGATCATCGATCTGGATGAAACACTAGTGCATAGTTCTTTCAAGGTGAGAATTTTATTCACTTTCCACATCACTGCATCTCGCTGTAAAGAAGATCGTGTTAATAATCTTCATGTCACTCGCATTCAATCATTTACGCAATGAAGTTTGTACGGACTTGAGGTCGTGAACTCTTGGAGAAAATGAAATTCATGGCTGCTGAAAGTTGATATCGTGCGTGACTTCGGAGTGCAGTATTTGTTGCTCTTGGAATGTCGTTTTTATGTCCAATTTCTTTTTATTTTCGCGAAGTCGAGTTTATACTAACCAATATTGATAAGTTCTATCCATCCTTTTTTGAGCTGCCTGAGACTTACATTTTTTCATTATGCGTTTCTGTTTACCTTTTACTGGAAGGAATTGGTAAGTTTCTGAATGATTTTAAACCATCCTGAAATTTTAGCTGATATTTTTCGTGAGTCATGTTTCGTCCTCTGGAGATCGATGTATAATTTTATTAAATGGGGTTAATCATCAGATCATCTTTCGAGCACGATGAGCTCCCGCGATCAATACTGTGAAGAATTTTTTTGTGTTGAGGCTTTCTTGGATTTATTCGACTAGTGAACTTTGCCGGCCCGTGGTTGGTTATTGATGTATCCCAAGGTCTCAGCATCGTTGAATAAGCAGTTCGAGTTTCTTCCGTATCATGAATTACTGAACTATCACTGGGTTGTGCGACTCGTGGTAGATTTGAATTGCACTTTTATGGAGCTTAATTTACTGCGTTTCTATTGAAATTCCGTGGCATTCACGTCCTGCCGCATTTGTATAATTCGCGATCGTCTTGCTGGAATGCTATTTTGATTGACGTCGTATTTCTTTTTTCACTTGAAATCGAACCGTTTTTACGTTTTTTATCAGATAGACACGATGCTACTAATTGATTCCAGTTTTTCCTGCGGGTTGATCTTGATTGGCATTCGAAATCGTTGAGTGAATCCCCCGTCAAGCTTCTGTCGATCCACGTAAAAGAAAAGTTACGGCGCACGTAATCCATAACTACGTATATATTATACTGCGCTGTACAACTTGGTCATCAAAATATTCTCTTGGGTACGCGTGACATTTCAAGGTTATTGACAAAATTGTGGAACATGACACGGTATTTCCTCATTGAGGGAGTTTGGAGGCTCCTCTGAAGGGGAAAACGTTTTCCTAAAATCTTCAGGTAGCAAAATATCACTCATTGTAGCACCATTTCGTAAAATTTCAAGGGAAAATGGACTGTAATGAACTTCGCAGTTCAGAAGTGATGTGAACCGAAGCAGAAAAAATAGCAACCAAGGATTTTTTCATTATTCCTCTTCGGGATTTTGATTTCATTGCTGAACTGTGTAGGTGTCCTGACATGTTTTACCGCTTCTACCACAGAAGACCAGTTTACCAAAATCAACCCTGAAAAAAAAAGCAAGAGACCATTTTTCAAAGGCCCTAGTACTTGCTTGGTTGTAATCTCGCTTTTTTAGAATTCCACGTTCTAGGTTCTTTTCTTGCATGGATGAACAAAGTTTTTTGGGCAAGATTTCGGGCATGAAGTAAGAGAAAAATCCAATAGTCCGACCGAGTGCCCTTGTCTAACATATCAATGTACTGTATCATTTATAATATACAGTACAGTACAATAATTTTTTACGTACAATCCCATACAGTACTGCATTGTGCGAATCATTGATGGAATAAAACTGCTGAGAAAAATTTCCCAACGAAATCAAAGTCAATCAGTGGGAAATTGAACGGTCCAAATTACGCAATTTCTCTCAATTTATTGATCGTAATTTTGTCGTGGTTAATCGAAGGACATGTAATTTGACAGCTACTACTGTATAACGAATTGAGCTCTATAGAAGTGTTCTGCAGGTTGTCTGTTCCAGTAAATGAAAAAAAGTTCGATAATATTGTACCTTCCTGAAACGGTTATTGTGGAATTTGACTCAGATCATCCTTAGTACAGAATGACTAAACTAAAGCCACGTTCTTGGCCATCAAACGCGAATCGTTGAGAATTGGATTTCGTTCTTGAAGAAGCTGCTCCTGCATTCCCAGAAGATCTTCCAAAACAAAAAGAAAGGCATTAATTCAAATAGCTGTATTTCTTGAACTATTTTTGTTTCGCAATGGTGGATTTTAGTTTCATGTACTGTATTGATACCAAAATTTGAAAGTTTCACTTTGACATTCAACGGCTGAACGTCGCAGTTGCTTTGCTGAGCTCTGGAACGATGTGGTACTTCCCTGTTTCCTTGTCAACCCCCCACCTTTTGTTATCCTTGTTTTTTTGATTGATCAGGCGCCAAGTGTAATGCTATCTGGGCTTCATCCCAGCCGCGCATTGCGTTACAAATAACGGACGTAAAAATAGCCGACTCATTGTCTGTGGTAAGTGTTCCCGTGTCTGGCGAATGTTGGAGTAATTTATCCGATAGCTGTACGAAATCAATGGAATGCGTAAGTCACGCATCTGATCGTCTTTATGTGAAAACCGAGTATTCGAGTTCTTGGGAATCAGGTGCGCTCTACGGAACGATGATGCTGTTCTATCAATTAATGATACACGGTTTTTTTTTTTTTTCAAGATGGGACGCGGGAGCACGAAATAAGGTACGCGTCAGAAGAGCACATTTCAAAACGGCGACAGAAACAATAGGCTCAAAGAGCAAATTTATTCTGGTGTATTCGGGTAGGATATTCGGGTTTGTTCTTTTACAGCTTTCTACTTAATCGTTCTTTTAGCTCTAGCAAATTTGTACGCGTCCTAAATCGACACCTGTAGTTCAAGAATAGTGTTGGTTTTGTCTTAATAACTTGAATTATTGTTAATAGAAATACTTTTCGTGACATCGGCGATGTCAATCCTTGAATAAACTTGTTTTACTATGGTGTAAATCTGTTATCTGAGGTACGGGTCGAATTTTTTTCAAAGGTCGTTCCTGGTATGAGTTGGTATCAGTCTCACGAGCACTGACGTTTACTTTTGAAATGGTGACTGCATCTACAATCGGAGATGGTGACGATGGGATCGAGTACAGTATCTTGAAATACTTGCCCGAATGCCGTCTTGTCTGAGATATTCACGAAAGCCTTATGTTGCCGAAATAATGAGGAAAGCCTTTTATATGAAATATTCCTGGAATCCCTGAATTCTCTTGGGATACTATAGTAGTTCGTCTCAATGCCTTTTTTTATTCATGCATTGAGTAATTTTTCAAACATTTGCAGTGTTGGGTGAAAAATTAGCCTCAGGTTATGGTTATCGCTTTCAATAGTGTCTTCCGTTCACAGCGTCGACAGCTTCATTAGCATGTCCGGGGAAGAAAACATGGTGAAACAAATCGTGAAGTGCAACGTGTACAATTGTGAAAGGTTAAAATGGATGGCAAAGACTCAGATGTGTGAAACGCTTAGAACTAGTAAATTATACTATCTGATCTATTTGTTCGTTCTGATCGTATTCATGGAAATGAAAGCTACAATACATAACTGTTTACGCTATAGTGTCTGAGACTCTAAGGGGATGTTGATGTCAAGTACAGTATTGTGCAACCGGAGGGGTAAGCTATGCGCGACGAGGTTAAATAAGTGAAGTTCAGTACTGTACATTATCGATTTATTGTATCACAATTGGTTGCTTAATGCAATGGCGATTAAATCTCTTTTGCTTTCAATCTGAGCGTTTACTTGTGAACGAACGTTATTAATGGGGGTCACTCTTATTGTGAGTCAAGTAATCGATCGTGATGTTTTTCGCTACCAACTACAGTATTCGTTGCTAGGGCTGGAATTATTTTTCCGATACAGCGCCCGCATTATTTCTGATACGGTTCAAATGGTGAGCATGATGAAAGCATTTTTCTAGTAATCGCTCCCATGAATCTAGAGATGGACACAGTATCATGTTCTAACGAAATAATCTCCGGGGTTTTATCGATGTCAGTTCAGTAACATTTATTTGAAGTATTTTCAGGGCTATGTTCTATGCATCTACCAGACTTGACACAACTTCAGATTTCGGCGTCTGTGTTTCTTATTTCAGCCTGAAGAACTTTTAAAATTCAATCTCACCTCCTTACCTCTTTCAAATGCCCAGTTTCAAATTTTTTAGCCCAACATTCAGAAATCTTACTCGGGTAAGTCGCGCACCTCGGATTTTTCGCTAAAATTTTGGAAAAGTGTTATCCCAGTGTAAGACACGTACCTTAGCTTTTAGTTACATACGGTAAATTTATATTTGAAAAATTGTGTTGGATAAAAATATGAATTCAAGCCCTCTTAAGAGTCGAGTTCAATGATATTTTCTTTCATACAAATGATTGTTCTGTATCATTGTAGTTTTTCTGTATTATTTTTAAAAAAATAGAAACCCGAAAAAAAAAATTGTAGAAAGGAGAACAGTTACCAATTATAAGAGCTCACTTCAAAATTTGTTTCACCGACTATGACGCGCGCCTCTTTTTTGCAAATAATCGGAGAAAAAATGCACATATACTTGCGTAAATACGGTAAAACCCTGTTACAGTATTTCAAGTACTGTAGTTTTTAAGGGCTAGTACAGCAATGTACATCGCACGAAGATATTTGTCTTCCGTACGAATCACGTGGGAGTTGTCTAAAAACTCGTCAGTTCTTGCCGGACAGGGATACAAAATTTCAATTCTCGGGATTCTGGAGCCTTTTTCCAATTTTTGCTGAAAGCTCAAACTCGTGCTGTGTAAAAGAAAAACGTATCAACTCGCATGGAAATATTGTTTATTGCGAAAAGTGCTCATATTCTGAGACAATTTGCTATCGTGACATCATCTGTAAGCATGATTTGATGGGGAGTTTCGAGTCCTTAACCATTCAATTACTTGTGTTACAGCCTATCAGCAATGCTGATTTTGTGGTACCGGTGGAAATCGATGGAGTCGTCCATCAAGTCTACGTTCTCAAGCGGCCGCACGTTGACGATTTCCTCCAGAGTGTGGGGAAGTCATATGAGTGTGTGCTGTTCACTGCAAGCCTAGCTAAGGTAGTGCCATCAATTATTCAGCTCGTTTATTTATATTACATAGAATGATTGATGAAAGTAGTGAAGAGTAGACGTCAATGGTACATCGTGTTGGTCATTTTCTCCAAATTTAATACGACTGCACCACGCGCGTGTTTTAATTTTCTCATGAAATTATGCTTTCGACAGTACGCTGACCCGGTGGCGGACTTGTTGGACAAGTGGGGCGTGTTTCGAGCACGGCTGTTTCGAGAGGCCTGTGTTTTCCATCGAGGAAACTATGTGAAAGACCTGAGTCGCTTGGGTCGTGAGTTGGAGCGAGTCGTCATTATCGATAACTCTCCAGCTTCCTACATTTTTCATCCCGACAATGCCGTAAGTTTTCGTGAATTTGTTTCACGGTTTGATTTCGAAATTTTCTCTGAATTGCGCTTTGACAAGAATAAGTCCAGCCTCGAATCCTTGCTTTGGTGTACAGTTATTCGTTATTTCTGTTATTTTTGTTTCAAATGAGAGCTTTTCAGTGTTTTTCTTGGAGCTTGTCGATCCCATGTCCTTGGAAATTTTCTTGACAGATTGTGTTAATATCCTGCGTAGTAATCATACAATTTAATCGAAGAAAAACTTGTCGTTAGCAGCACATTTTGCATGTGCACCGTGCAGTATTCATGAATTCTATGAAGTCTTCCGCCTTTTCCTGTAGCCTAACTTGCCTAACAGCATCGATTCACCCTTCAAAAGCGGGGTTTTCTATGGAAACGTAAGTCCTTTAGAACTTCAGATTTGTGAAAGAAAATTTTCACTTATCACGCACCTGGTGAAGAAATGGACGCAAAATGCATTTTATCCATCGTGTCAGTTCTAGTCTTGTTTTATGTTCTATGAACTTTGCCTCTTCTTGCTCCAACACCCAACATTTCTCTCTTGAAAGTCAGACAAGTGTCGTCTGATTCACCAATTGGACTGAAGCGAATCTAATTCAACCGCTTTAATCAGACGTAATTAATTCTAGTTCGCACTTCAATTTTCGGCCGTCATTATTTAACGTGAAAATGTCCGCCAAATAGAAAAAACTTAAATTTAAATGTCCTCTGCCTCATAGTAATTTAGACAATGTTGTGCAAGGGCACAATTTTTTAGCTGACATTATTTATCAAACGCGATGCATTCCAATGATAAACTGGTGATGTAGGTCTACTCCAATGTTTAAAAAAAAATTGATTCACCTTTCAAGTTCCATCGTGATTACCATGTCACTATAATGAATTCATTCAAACGTAGTAATCTTATGTAGTCTCAGTTAATGTGAACTTCCCAACTTCAACGTAACAAAACACAACAAACTCGAGTGAGACCTCTTCAACGCGGAGAAAAATTCAGGATTGGGTGTTGTAGTGGGAAAACCCCTAATTTCTGGTCACGTTGAGTAGAGACTGCATTAAAGGGTTGGAATTACCCGTATATTGCACTTCAGTTGCCTTTTTCACCCTTCTACTCCTTGATCTTTTATCTGAGTTCTTTTAGCGATGCATGAACTATGAACAAATTGTGCGAAGATCTTGTTTTTACGCTTTTTTACTATCGTGTGTTATAATTTCAATTTGTGCGATTCATGCTGATGAATTTTGGATGAATTGCAGATGCGTCACTCGTGTCGTATTGGTAGAATCCAGTTTTCCATGGATTGAAGGTTTTGCTTCTACGGATTCAAAATGAATTACCCGCTGCTTTCATTTCCAGGTCCCGGTTGCGTCATGGTTCGACGACATGAGTGACACAGAGCTCTTAGATCTGATTCCGTATATGGACGCACTAAGCACGACGAAGGATATATACTCGTATCTGCGCTCGAACCCACACCCCTTGAGTTGCAAACGAACGGATCGGGAGACTGCCGGTGGGCCCGAAGCGTCGTCTTTACCCGCGACGTCCAGCGGTGCCATCATCGCGTCTGTAGAGAAACCCTTGAATCGACGAGATGGCGATGGAGATGCCGGTGGAGGGATGCAACAGTTGACGAACGCCGTCGGAAGGTTGACTGTGTACGAAGGTGCTTCTCCGCCCTACGGAAATAAGGCGGATTGCTCAGGATGTCTGGTGTCGTCGCCGTCGGCTACTGTATCGCCGGTGGGCAGCGAATACTCTTTCATGGTATCCAATGGAAATGGCGGCGGGGCGACCGGACCCTCGGGCGACGGAGTTTACGGCCAGTCTGGATGTTCGACCAAGACCCCGTAGGCCGCGTTGTGTGGGTACCCATTTTTAACGCTCCCAGGAAATGTTCTTTTCTCCTCTTAGTAATAAACTGAACCGATCCGGTTAACGGACTAAGTGCTCAAGTTTCTTTGCACCCACTCTGCTCGTTCTATTTTTCAAAGTTGACGTGAGGCCCAAAAGTTCTCCGGCCATCAATTTTTTTTTGAGCTTCTGTCGCACGAAAGGACGGCAAACGTAAGGGTTAACTACTTAATTTGAGTCAGTGATTTCATGCTGAAACGAACGAGAATTATGCTGCAGGAGTCACAGGTATCACGAAATGTTCACGAAAATAATTTCTCTTCCCATCACACTCGAAGATCTCATGGGCTCTACCTCTAATGCTCGATGATTTTTTGAATCCAAGTCAATTAATCGAATCGATTTCTGCAGTTGAAAGAAGTACTTCGTTCAAGAAGCGCATAGCCGTTCGAGTGAAAAGCTTTTTTTGGATTTTCAGCCAACTTTCAAGTAAATTTGAAAGTGTATTTAGTCTTTTTTGTCAATCATAAAGAACCGATTGTCCCCGGTGAAAGTTCAGAGTTCTTCGAACTGTCTTTTTATTGTTTTGTTGAAACCGAAAGTTTCTCTTGGTCGAAATAGAATATGATAATCTTGCATCTGTGGAAAGAAATGTTGATGGGAGAGTGAAAAATGGTTATTCTCTTTTCGTCCTCTTCAAAAATCCGTGCTTCCTATTGTCTGGTTCAAAACATGTCTAGTACTACGATGCAGTGAAGGCAGCACAAGACGGTTTATTTTCCCCAGTTTTATTTTTTTCCCTTACGTCAGCTGATCGACGTTCAAAAGCGGTGCAAAATTATTTGTTTCGTTGCTAAAGCCGTCTTCATGCCTGATGCAAAATTCTGATTCACAAAATTCTGGAATTCACTTGGGAGGCTTCTCCTGTTTTCTCTCTGGACTTGTCCGAATTTGCATTTTCTATCCCCGTGTGTCGATGGAATACATGTTCCGTTAATTCGGCAACTTACTTTGATCGTTGCAACATACTTTCGATCTCCCTTCCTAGCATGAAGAAAGTGTATTTTAAAACGCAAAAGGCCACAAAATCCGACATATCTTCAAGAGCTGTTTGCTTGAAGCATCAAGCTTATAGTAAGCGTTATTGATGGTAGAGGAAATAACGCAAAAACTGGACTGGTTTAACTATTGTGACGATGAAGCCTCGCAAGTGAACGCGTAGAAAACAAGATGTTGGTATGGCTTAAACTTTCATACCGGGTGTACCGATTGGTGGCTGTGACACGACAGAAAAATGGAAGAGAAAAAAAATTGCGGTTCGGCAGATACGAAACTCAGGAGGTGGTTGTGCGTCAAATACTGTACTGGATTTGTTGCTGTGTGAAAAAGATTTTATGAAGCGCGCACTTCAGCTCTCTTCTTCGAATGCTCCACCCCAGAAACCTTTTCCGAACAAAACATGCCGTATTTACGCGATCGTAGCCTGCACTTATACCCAAAAACATTTTATGCAAAACTCGGGTGTATCGTGTACTTTTGAAATATTCCAAGATTGGCCGTACATTTTTGAAGGTACGACGGTCTTTATGCGGGATTACGTTGATAGGAAGAGATAGAGTTCTATGCCGTTGGTCAAATTCCCCATTGATTTCCTTTTTTCCGTTAGTTATTCCTTCATTCTATGTATTTTGACAAATCCATTGTAGTTTGCTTGCCATTTGAGTCTCTGTGACGTTCCAACAACCGGATTGAATGAAATATTATGTTCCTTTAGCTTCTGCAGTTGTTCGTTTTTCTATATTTCTCTGTGATGTTTAACGGAAATGTAAATGTGGCTTATGATCACGTAAATATGGTAATCTCTTAATGCCCTGTTTCCCCCTCCCTGAGAATGGTTCTTATTGAAGAGTTTGACGGATGTTTCCTCATCCCTGTAACGTCAATACTCAAAATGTGTGATGTGAGGTTTGTTTTCCTGACCCCTGGCGGAGTTTGCCGGGTTCTTCCGCGCTTGAGCGCCAGCCCGGGATTTTGCCGACTTTCGGTCGGGTGCCCTTCATGTCATAAAAAGCAAACGTCAACAACCGTCTCAAGCCCGGGAATTGTAAGGGCCCTGCAGATGTGGTTCCTTGTGACTGTGATATTTTGGAATCTCGTGCGGGCGCTTTAGGTGGACAGAACCGGTCTCTGCGCATTCCGCGGAAGAAAAGAAAAAGTTATACGTAACCAATGTGCCGCCCAAAAAAAAAGAAGAAAAAACGAGGAGAGAATACGTTTTTTTTTTTCGTGTGTGTACCCATTCCGACCTGTCAAGCGCCGTCTATTATTTTTTGGGTTGGGGGAGGTGTTCAACGATCAAGTGCGTAATTTATGTCAATACGTGCCATGCTTTCTCGAGATATTAATTTTTAAACTTCGCGAAGATCAGGAAAAACGTTTCATCCCGTGGCTTTGCCCCATTGCATCTGTTCGTTACTTCGCTCTGTTGAACAGGAGTGAATGATGATGATGGGAAGTGTTGATGCGTGTGGGATACACGTTCGAGTTGACGAACAGATGCATTGGGCCGTCCAGAGGGAGAGTTTATCAAATTGACACGTTGTCCGTCACGGCTATTAGTGCAATGCTGTTACTCCCACGAAAAAGAAAGAAAGATGCTGGTTCAGCCTTCCCTGTATTTTTTTATTTAATTTTATTTTTGCTTTTTCCTGGTGATGCTGCCCCAAGAAATATTACCATGTGTTAACCATTGTGTATCGCAAGACTGAGTGTTGAGTGAGTTCCTGTATTTTTGGATTGCGTGTTGTTTAAAAATGCCTGGACATCATAGGCTCAAAATTATCGAGTACCTTGTTCTTGCCTGGGAGGTATGGCCTTTGATGAAAGTCGGCCCATTTTTGGCGGAAGATGCACTGCGTGTGATTCCGGTTTTTCTATGACTGATGGTGATTGACTTGTGACGATTAGTTGACCATTGATTAGCTTCTTATTTCTTTTTTTTTTCTTTTTTAAAGCCTTGATGGGAGAACTGAGGTTGCGATTATAACGAGTTAATTAGAAACGAGTACTGGTGCTTGTCATCATCAAGCCTATGTTGACAATTGTCTAATGCGAAATAGGAAAAAATGGAAACTCGAACGTATATTGTGACCATCACTCCGTCCTCCCTCTTTTTTTCTTATGATGTTTAGCCATTCTTTGCAAAAAATCCTTGATTTCATATCACACGGATATTCGCCGCGATATTCATCTTTTTTTTTCGACTTCGGGCCACAAAAGTTACGTTTTCCTCATCTTCGAGATAATAGAAGCTACTGTATTTTGAGAAGTCAATGATTTATGCTCTCATGGGAAGTTGGCAGTATTTTCAGGTTTTGTTCTGCGGTGGCAATCGTTTTGCTGTTCATGTTGGTCTGGAATTGATTTTTTTTAAGTGCAGGGATTTTTTTTTCGTAGTCGTATCGCCGATAATCGCGTGTGGTGCTTGTTGTCCAGCATTTATTCCTGCATTATTGTCATCATTTGTCTTCTTCGCCCTTTTTGTTATGTGCCAAGCTAGTGCGAGAGGGAATGATTTTTTTTTTGAAAAGCAAATCCTAAATGAAAAGGTATTTTAAGCAACACTGCGTTTCTTGACTATTGTGATTGGTGTTACCGTCTTGCCTCGAGAATATTTACCTGGCATTATGCAACTTTGAGGTTAAATAATACATTAAGTTGTAATGAACAACATATTCGGAATATATTTCTTCATACGATCAACTCCTCACGTCACCACAGTGACAATCGATCAAGCCTTACAAATGAGTTTGCCTCGTTCGTGTCGGGTCACCGAATCGTGATGTCACACGTTTCTTGATTTGAACCCAAAGGTTTCGTGTCGTTCTTTACTGTGAAAATTTGACGACAGATCTCAGTGTATCATGTATTATTGTCGATTTGAGGCGTTTAATAATAATCATGAAAAACTGTATCCTATGCTGTACTGTATTTCTGTTCGCTCGAAGGATAGAAATTTCATGGTACAGAACATGCATTGCTTTTTCTTAGCCTCGAATCGTTCCTAGCCATATTTTTCTCAGCCTAGAGTCTTCTCGCTTCTTTTCAGTACAGTACTTCGCTTGAATTCACGAAGATTTCTTAAATTTTATGCTAGGTTTAATATTTTGGGTAAACATGTCACTGAAACTGCGTTGTCTGTTAAGTGGAACTGTATAATCAGGCATTTCATTCACGCAGGCAGTCCGAAAATTTTAGCGGAGCTTGAAGATGAATTACGATGTAAGTACTCAAAGGAAAGCCCGGGAAACATTGGAAGGACTAATTTCGGACATGGTTAGCTCTATTTCTGCTGGCAGATTACCGTTTTGGACCTTACCTCGGAAATGCTGGACGAATCTTGATCAAGCCAGGTATTAGAATCTTTTTTTGAGACCAGTTCGAGTTGAACGTCGGTTGGTGAATGCTGTGCTTCTTTCTTGTTAAGCGGTCATATTGCGTCTAAAGGAGGAGATGAAGAACGATCGGGAGTGAATCCATTGCTAACTGTTGGATTGCTAAAATTCGTGCGACTCGCTGTTGTGATATGCCGGTGTTATGCCCGATTGAACGATCCATCCGTGAGAGCGAACCTCACCAAAAGGTACTGTATTTTTCTTGCGAATCGGGGTGATGAGTGGTGTTGGATTTCCATGTTCAGTCCGACTTCTCCCTGTCTAATACAGTATATTATTCCAAGCGGAAGTTAGGCCCATTTTTTAGAATTTAGATGATCTTATTTTAAAAATTGTAATTGGGTGATGTACAATAATTTTTGTCCTTTTTCTTTGATTTCCACCAAATTTTGATGCCACAATTTATGAAAAGCATTTGCCAGGAGAGCATCGCAGATTGTCATTTGTATCCATTCTTGATTTATTAATTCATTATCTTACAAATTTCTTCATTGCTTGATTGGAACCGAGCAACGAATTGAACCTAATCCACTCGGCTGATATAGTTAGCGAGTGGTGTTGGATCAGAAGCGTGAATTGTCAAAATCAAAGAAGAGAGAAGTAGCGAAGTCAACATTTATAGAATTTAGAGAGCCAAGAAATGTTCGAATTGCTGTACAATAAGTTAGGGAAAATCGAAAATGCTGTAATTACAATACCTGTTCGCAGCTACTTCGTCAAGCATCTGGTGTAATTTTTTCCTCGCGCTTACAGTTCAGACTCTCATTTTGAAGTCCATGATTTCAAATTGGATGTTCCCGTCCATTTTTCCGTTGTATCGATAGCTTACGTAACAAGTGATGGTCAATAAAAATAATTTAAATTACAATCTCGTCGTGGTTATACAGTAAGGAATTATTGCTCACAATGATTTCGTTTTTCTGGCTTCTACTCAATAGACACAAGTTCATTCAAATTGCTTCTCAACACAATTATCGTTTCAACGAAGCTTTTTATATGTCCCAACAGCTTTGTTCCGAATAGATTTTATTGTTATAAATAAGTAGCTGTTCTCATGTTCCTTGGCAAATCGCGTGTAAGCTTTTCCCTACCCATATGACTTCCGGAGATGATTTTCTCATACGGTTGGTTTAATTGTCTTCTTGTGTTCCTAGGGGCTTTTACTATCAATATCCAGCATTATTCTGCTACAAGCAGGCGATTGCAGACGCGATCATTGATGAAGTTTCGGCGATGACCAAGCTACCTCGGTTAGCTTTAGGAGTTTGCGCCACGCCAAAAGGTAAACATCTTTCTCACTAGAATTTTGCGCGATGTTCCTACTGAGAAGAAAAAATTACCTGTAAGATAAATTCGCGTTACTTCAAAATATTGGTCACTGCTTTCCTTGGGTTTCATTGAAATTTTGACATAGTCAATTCAACCCACTGTCAATCGAAGTGCCGATAATTGAGGCCCATTATGAATACATTAAAGAAGCCCCGATGAGTACACACTGCTGTACAACTGAAACACATGAATTCAATGTACAGTATTCTTTGTCATGCATTCCCGAATGCGGCTAATGGTGCGCCTCATGAATTAAAATGCCTTCGCTCATAATTATATTGACGGTTGACGCAAGAATTTACCGAAAGATAATTCAAGGTTAAATTCGAATTCCGACTTCTTGAAGTTCATTTTCCGTACGTATGCCGACTGAAGCGACAGCCGTTTCGGATGAAATCCACAATTTACTGTAATCAGTGTAATGCATGTACGTGGTTATTTTTGGTGGTTCTAAGCCTAAGTGACCTGGCTGTGTTGTGGTCCTCGCACGCTGGAATCTTTGAAATCCGAAAGAAAAGAACCTTGTATTCTCCGTATTTTTTCGTTGAATAGGCAATTATCCCTACTTAGCTGTTACCAAGCAATGAAAGCGATCGGATTCATTTCCAGTACGACTTTTCTTGATCAGGGCTATTGTTCTGTTTCATGTATTGCAGGGTTGATCGCTGCCCCCGGTGTCAAATTGATCTCAGCTGCTGACCAGGATGTGGTTGAACTATCCAGCAGACGCTCTATTGAAATCACCGATGCGTTGAGTCTATCGCAAATTATCGATAATGAAGCCGAGTTCATCCTCGTCGTTGAGAAGGAAGCCACGTTTGAAAACATGCTGGGATCTGGTTTCGTGGAGACATGGCCTTGCATTCTCATAACTGTGAGTATCAAAAGATGCAGTTAACGAAATTCAAATTCATTTTTAACAAGGAATTCTGGAGTGTAGATTGAATCTCTAACGATTTTCTCCACTTGATGAATTCGTTTTTTGGTTCCGTGGAGTTCGCTCCTTATATTGAATGGGTTTCTACAAGGAATTTTTTTCTCTGGTTCTCTTTATTTCGTTGTAGAGGTAGAGAGTCCATCTGTATTCTGAAATATCGATTTTTTTCAGTCACCTTACATCACTTGGGACAGGTCTTTGTAGTTCAACTTTCTTCCCCATGAAATCTCTAACGCTGCAAATCTACTGTATTTGAGTTGTGCCGCATTCCTGATCAACTTTCGATTGTTGCTTTTATGTGCAGGGAAAAGGCTACCCTGACTTGGCGACGCGACGATTGACGAAAAGCTTGTTGGACCGTTTGAAGCTTCCAATATTCGGACTCTTCGATGGTGATCCGCACGGAATACACATCATGTGTAGCTACAAGTTCGGCACATTGGTATTTATGAAAAGCACGTTTAAAGCTATCATCAGTTGAATGGTTTTGTTGTCATTGGGAATTGTTTTGTAACGCTGGATATATTTTGCAGGCAAGGATGCACGAGAACGAATCATTAACAGTATCAGAAATGCAGTGGCTTGGGATGAAATCATCAGACGCAGATGTTTATCAAGTACCGCAGGAGGCGAAGCTTGCCCTCAGTGATTTTGATCGGAAGAAAATCAACGACTTGATGAAGAATCCGTTTGTTGAGATGTGTGACGAGTTGAACGATGAGGTAATATTATGATCGCGAAAATGCTAACTTTTTTCATCTAGATTTTGATAAAATTAATGTTTCCGTTGCACATTCTCTTGATATTCAATAGTCCCATATTATATTAGGTTACCTTAAATTTCTAACTTGGGAGGCGATTTTTAAACGGTATGGTAAACCATGACGTGAATTAAAAAAAATTGTTTCAATTTCTTGTATAATGAATGAAAAAATTTCCTTTCCTGTTACATGAAGAGTTCTGTACAGGGTGCCTAACATTTATAATCAAGAAAAAACTTTCAGTTTTCTGAAAAAATTTCAAGCTTTGTGTAACATTAATGAAAAATGTCGGTTGTAATCATGCAAAATTGAAAAAGATTTTTTTTTTTATCCGATAAAAAAATTCTGAACCTTATCAACTTGGACAATGTAATGATTTTTTATATACTGTACTACAGAAATATAAGAAGTGGAGTCCAATTGAGATAATCTTTTTACACTTCCTCAATACATTTTTATTATAATTCAGAATTACTAATCTAATTTTTTTTTCTTCTTTCCACAGTTGACTTGCCTTCGATCTTCAGGGTGGAAAATGGAAATTCAAGCTTTGGATTTAATCAATCCGGAATTCTTATGCGTTAATTATCTTCCTCATAAATTCGTAACTTTCGGTTATAATTTTCGAAAATATCCGTTGGCAGCACAAGAGATCACACTAGCCAGAAATGATGACATATAAATCGCAAGTGAACGTTACAACGACGAATTGTATATATAATTCTCAAATGCAGTTGAATTTTTCAACCGCGATTTTCAGTAATCCAATCTATGAAGTATGAAACTTGCGTGTTCACGCCGGGACGACCAGGACGAGCGCAGCCATCAGCCCACGAAACGATGCCGATCAGTTTGTCCGTCCCGATTTCCACCAAGGGACCACCAGAATCACCCTATGTTCATGCAATAAATTGTCTAGTACATATGAATCATTAAAATTGTCCAAAATTTGTTCCTTACGAAGCAATGATCTTTCCCAGATTCACCAGCGCAAATCATGGATTCCACGGGTTGAACGAAGAAGTCGCTGTACAGATCAATACATTCTTCATCTGTAAAGGTGGGTATTTCTGCGAAAAGGAGGACTGGTGCCAGATCTCCAGTTTCGGATTCAGTTCCCCAGCCGCTGACAACCAAATTTACTGGATAACAAACGAAAATTACTTTTGATTAGTGATGTTTACAATACGTAACCAGTTTGGTTTGTGCTAACCATTTGTTTCTTCCAATGATTCTGGAAGTGTAATAGTTGCGGCAACGCCATCAATAAATTCGATACTTCCCGCAAGCTTCAGCAGACAGATGTCATTCGTCAGATCAAATCTGAGAAATAAATCAGATTATTATTTATAAAATTTCGTTGTTCGTCATGAATCATTCTCAAAATACTTACGAACTGTAATCTTCATGCAGAATATATTGTCTGACATCCACAAATTGTTCATTCCCTTCGTCGTCGTTCAAGTCATGTTCCCCCAAAACAACCTTGCGGCAGATAAAGAACATGATCATCAATAGGTGAATTTACTCGGCAGTATATTCTTCGAAACACGTTTGAAAAATTACAGAACGCATGATTTTGCATAACCAGATAACGTTGACATTTACTGTATTTGTTGACATTTACTGTTCTTCGTTCATTGCAATTGGATTATAAATTTGGACTCAAATCATTGAACATGATGGCCAATAATTTTTTGTTCCAAGCGTTTTTTTTGAACGATGATCGTCATCGCAGAAGAAAATGATTTAAATTCTACGTTACACTGTATTTTACTCGTTTAAACAAAGGAAATCATAAAAGCCTCATACGTACGCGCATCTCATCTGCGTTGAAGCCAGCATCGCAGCAGTGTCCAGCGGTGATGACTGTAGTTTCGTCCAAAATTGAACCTCCACAGATGTGCGAGTATCCGAAGTAATTGACTTGGAAGGAAACCTGGTACGGGAACTGACCTTAAATCGAATTGAACCAATCATAAAAGATCAAACTTAACAATGGACTAAGAGAAGTACGAACCAGGCTCAGCGAGTTCTCCGCCGACGATCTTGGAATGAGGAGCCCATGCTGCAATAGAGATTATATTCAATGCAATAAAGTATACATAATTATTATTTTTACCATACCCCAACATGCCGACAAAAAGGAAGACAAAATTATGAGCGACTTCATAGTTCCTGGCGTGAATCGTGCCTCGAAATGCCGACGTCTGGAGTAAAACTGAAGACCCGTACAAAATTAAAACGGGCACGTGGCGGCCATCGTGCGTTACGCACGCTGAAGTCGGCAAACGCTCAAGATTAAGTTATGAATTGAAAGAGGACCATTCGGGGGAAGTGAGCTACAAATGGTAAATTTCCCTCAATATCATGATATTGCACTCAGAACACTTGCCGTAAAACCGGAGTTCTAAATGAGGACACGATTTTGAAAGACGTTCGGAATTGAACATGTGCAAATCTTAATACCCGGAACGCCTGCAACGTTATCAAATATTCCCGGAAACATTCATGTCGATATCAGGCGATATCCAGGGGCTAACATTTTAGCATTCATGATGAATGCAACGATAGTGATGCGCGTGGTTCTGCACGTGTGCATAAGCAAAATTAATTTTAATGCGAAAACCGACAGCTCTTAAAAATTTTAATTCACAGTAAAACGACAGAATAACAAAAATCGCATCATCTATGTCGCATTTCAGATTTAAATCCGCCACGATGTTCGCGAAGGTCAGTGTTGGTGTTATCTTGATGGCAGCATGCGGTAAGCACATCTCATAAAAAATATTGGAATTCAGCCCAAGAAACTTTTGATATTATGCAGCTGCTGCCCTGCCATGGGATGGCATCGTCAAGCGCAGAGCAATCGTCGGTGGAGAAAACGCCGAGAAGGGTGAGAATCGGTCAAGTTGTAATAATTTATAGTACAGAAATCATGAGAAGCTTCTTCACATTCGTAATAAAAAGAGCAACGATTTTCAGCGAGCCTCGGAAGACCTTACCAAAATACATCACCGGAAATTAGCATTAGAGATATCAATGACAATGGTCTCGAAGCAGAACTTCAAGACAGATTAAAGCTTCTTGACAGAATTTCGTAAGGATTTAAAAGTTTCGAAGGCACTTCCCTAAATTTTAGTAATTAAGTATTCAATAAAATTCGAAATCAAAAAATAAAACCCACAAGCAATGAGCAAGGATTCATGTGCGAATGAAAACGAAGATCATGGAATTTTCTGTCTTGGGTGCCCAAAAATAAATTTGAGACGGGAATGATTACCAGGAGTTCTTTTAAAAACGAGATTTGAAGACTCCATGGGTCGAAGAAGTTCAACTCTACCAAATAATTTTAAGGCTCCAATAAAAAAAACTTTAGCGCGGTTGAGGGCATTCGTTGCAGGAAGTCTGGAGAAGTCGTCACAACAAAAGTTGTCAACTCGTCCCACGCAGGCACGTGTATAAGACATAACTCTCTGTAGAGTCTCGATAATATATGACGAAAAATTGCGACAGTCAATACACAAAATGAGGCATTGAAAATTATTACAAGAAGTCAATTGAACAGACAATATACTGTAGTTATACAATATACAGTAACAACTAATTGACTAACATATTTTCCCAGAAAAACTGCTGTTCTGAAAACCTTTTCAGTTCTTTTATTTTCGGGTAATAAAAAAAGAAAAGAGTAAACACAGTGCAAATAGTGTTTTCACCTGTGCAACTTAGCCCCGCGGATCAGTCGTAACTGATCACGACTGATCGAGAAGGTGACGATCAGTCGTGACTTTAGTCAAGTGGATTCATGTGCGAATGAAAACTCACATTCCTCGTCGGAAGTCGTGACTTGATGTTAAGTGGTGAGGATAAAAGAAATAACTACTTCATAACAATTAAAGGCCTTTACTTCATCTCGTACCGATGAGATTTTGAGAGGGTGACCGATAAACCGACATGTCCATCCAATTCGAACAACTATTGCTTGAATGTAGCTTCAGCTTCAGTGCACACTACGCCGCGTTTTGCATCCACAAGATCTGATCTGCACACGCGTAGAATTAACAATTCTCAGCATTAAAATATAACTCAGAATTTCGTAACGCTTTCCACTCCCTTCCCAAATTATCGTTCAGCGTAAAGCTAGACTACGAACAGGAGAAAAGAGCAACTTACGATTTTGAAGGATTCCGTATCAGACTGCGAGCTTGGTTTACGATTGCATCCGCAAGCGCCTTTGGGATTCCCACTCCCACCTTGTTTACGCCCTTGGCAGCAACTTTTTTCTGCTCGAGACTCCTGAAGCACCAACGGCTTCTTCGAACTAACATTTCCTGCAAGCGGGAAAGAAAATCCAATATTCCGTGAAGAATTTCGTTCGAAATTCAGAGCAAATGAAATTTGAAAACCAGCTGTAGCCGTAAATCTCAAAACTAGTTTATACTAACACACACTAGCTCTAAACAAGGATTTGGTCCATAAGATTCTCTATCAATGTTACAGGGGTTCTGTACAACGAACTTCTTCTGTTTCCTTGAATTTAATTGTAGAGAATTTGCTTCAGTAATGCACTGACAGCCAAGCGCAGGAGTGGACAAAAATATTCCCTTTGCATCAACTTTTCAGAAGATGCCCGCCGGAAATCCGGATTCCAACTAAGTTTCAATTAGGAACATTCCTCTACTAAAACTTATACGCAAGAACTATTTTCAAAAACGGTACAATCTTTCTCTGCATGGTGAAGAATTTTAAGCTAGCTTCCAGTCTATTTCAAAGGTAATTCAACTTGCTTTGGTTGGCGACGGGTTTCTCTCCAAGGATCTCCAAGGTATGGTAGAAGTCAACAGAAAATGAGTCAAACAAATAAAACTTTTTTTTTCAAAGGCACGATGAACATATTGAGACCTTCTATCATAAATGCACAAAAAATGTTTAAAAATTACCGGATTATTGTAGCATTGACCCTTTCATGTTCCTCGCAAAATTGGAAAAACTTCGTAGCAATAAAAATACAGTAGTTAATACAGTATTTTAACGGAATTGTACCTGCATTGGCTAATGTTTGGTATCAAACCTCACACACGCTGCTAGCTAGGAAAATCAGAAACACTTCTTCGCGAATCGAAGTTGACTCACCACCGGAAGAGACGCGCATTTCAGCTCGCAAGTTGTTCGCTAATGCCAACACCCCATCATTCCCACGGGCAGTATCGGAGTTCTTCGCAGTGCTGTTCTTCGTACGCGGGTTACTCGTAGAGTCGTCAAAGTCCTCGTCATCATGCTGATTCACGGGTACAACGGGGATGGCTATCCTCTTGACCTCGTCTCGATCGACGGGAAGCCCGTACCTCGTGACATACTCCACATTGGCAAATAACGGAGTACCCACGCTCATGACATCCACAGGCCGGGCGCGTACCCTTTGCTCAGTGGTTCCCGGCGCTTCGCGATGCAGATGCTGCACTTTGACTTCATACACTCCCTGCTGTTGAGGTTCGTCCGACTGAATGGGTTTTTGAGGCTTGAGGTTCATCTGAGTTTGACCAGACCGAGAAAGAAGTTGAGCCGAGGTGTCTTCAGTTTCTTCAATGCGACTCGCAGCTTTCCCAACGCCTGTTTTCTGAGGAAAAATGTTGAACAAACGGCATCAAAGGCTTCTTCGCAGAGATTTGCATCACACAACGCAAGCGATCCGCCGATTTCCATTGCTTCATAATTTAAAATAGAGCTGTAATTTTTAAAATCTGCTGGAAGCCATTTAAATACAGTAAACATTAAGTACAGTTATATTGGGTACACCAATCGTTACTGCGCAGCGGAAAAACGGAAATCCAGTCTAAAATTTTTTAGGGGAATACCCTGAAGAACTACATTGGAAAATACGACGTGACGAAAAACTAGTTTCTTATTTCGTTTGTAATTAGTACATAAACTCATTCCGAATATCGATTCTAATATTGATTTTCGACTGAACTACAGTAAATTCTTGTTAAAATGCGAACAGAACGCGGCCACATAGAAAAAATACTGTTCAGCATATGGTTTATTTGTATCATTAATTAAATTCTTTATCCAATTCACAGGTTTAGAAAAACAACTTTTAAGAGGTTTTCTTTATTGCAAACCTTCATTAGCATTTTAAATCCTGAACTAAACGTTTTCGAATAAATCGAATGAGGGATAACCCGTACAAAAATCCAAAAAAGTTCAATCGTACCTACAATTCTGAATTAAAATTCTCCAAACCGCTCAGAAGAGTAACGTGTCATTTGGGAGTGCGGGAAAAAGTTTTAAATTACGGTAAAGAGATGAAATCTCATTTGAAAAATCACCATTCGAGTAGAAGAAACGTCACGTTCATTTTTCCTCGACTTTTCATGTAAAATCATCGCTTCACTACTCTTACCTCAACTTTTTTCGGCGGTTCCGCGGGTTTTGGGGATTCCACACCAAGAACAACTGATGCCTCTTTCATTTTCTTTTTTTCATTGGGAATTTCTTCACAGCTGCTTTTCCTATTGAACAAGCGGCGAAGCCAGTAATCCTTAAACCCCATGATTCTCAAAAATTATGAACCAGGTGAAAGTTAAATATTTTTTGTCGTGGGTACTTCGGACGACTTTACCCGGATTGATAAACGTATCAGTAATCTAATCTAAGTAAAGAGTAACGCTAAATAGTCTGAGTGTTGCATTTACTTGACTTCGAATGATCCGGTATTCTCTGAAAAACCTACACAGGCTTCACGTAGCATTTAAACGTGAATTTCAAGTTTCAAATTAGAGCAATATTTCGTCAAGACAAAAATCGGCACAAACACGAATGAGAGCAAAAATGGAAGAACTGTTAATGCTTCTTATTCTTGAGCATCCTTCAACAATAAATCTCATCTTCATCTTAGCTTCAAAGATCCCTAAATCCCTTACATATTTTTCAAGGATGTTATACTAGTGTACCTTCTTACTGGGGGAAGGCGAAAAATTGTCAATTCAAATGCTATTGATTCCCAATTTGATTACACGCGGTCTTTTGAATCCCACGAATAAACTTGGGAAGAATTTTCTTTCCTGTAAAAATTGATACTGTACTGATTCAGGGAAAAATTTCTTGGGGAAAAACTGCAATCCAAATTAAATATCATTACAGCAAAAAAGTCTCGAATCACTGCCAAAAATATTTTTTTAATCTAATTTACGTACGATCATATTCAGAAAATGCCACCCATCATTCGTACACCTAAATTTCCACTTTTTCAAGAATCAAGTTACTGGGGACTGATAAAAACTTCAGTTACCTACCCGCAGTACGGAGCATTCCAAAAAAGAATATTTCAAATACAGTACTGCAGTTGTAGTGGACACCGCCAAGATAAAAGTTAACAACAGACTTACCGCTTTTCCACTTCGCGAATTGCTTTTTGGATGATCCTGATCAGTGTCTTCGGCTTGAGCTTGATTTTCCTCATCAGCTCTTTCTGTTTCGCTAGGATTCTCGTTATGCTCGTCTTCACGAATGATTCGCAGCTTTTTAAGAAAAGGCGTAACATAGGTAGACCAGATTGGAGAAGAACGCATATTCGGTTCAGATCGAACTTGGAATACTGGCTCCACGATTTCGGAATCCATATGTTCTTCAGAAGTATGTTCTCCAAGCGGGGGTGGTGAAGCATTCATAGTTCTCCATCGCAATACGCTCCATAAATTAGAAAGCCCCGAGTGATTTCCTACTGAATTCGAGTCAGGAGGATTTTCAGATGGTTTCAATCGAGCCAAGACTTCCTGTGACGCCTCCGCTTGGACCGCTGGCGACTCTAGGAATAAATCAAGATTGTATCTTAATTACATTACGTAAAGTCGATTTAAAGGTACTGTAGAACGAATTGAAAGTCACGCTTCAGACATGTGAACAGGGTTGATTTGGTGAACGCGTTCAATACATGTCAGTAAAAATGCATTATTCAGCAAAAGGTCCATAAAAAAATTAAGGGAAGCTACAAAAAACGACTAATACGTAACACCAGATCACGATGAAATTTCTTCATTCTTCATGCAAAGCGTCAATTATCTGAAGCACGATTGTATGACACAAACTCAAAATACTTAAAAAGCACCATTAAAAAAAGGGCCTCAAAAACGAAGACGATCTTGCCTGAAAATATGGAACTTATATTAGACTATATTTCCTAATCAACCAGTAGTGGAGTCCCTCATTCGTAAAGATAAAATTCACCAATATTGAAGTCTGTTCATACTTCATATAGTCAACCCCCGATTTAGTGCCCACATCCGTTCCAGGGCATTTCGTGGCACTAAGTGAGTTTGCACTAAATCGGGGTTTCACTTGAGAATATAATAGAGGGACATTTGTTCCAGGGAAATTTGAGGCACTATGCAAGGGTGGCACTAAATCTAGGCTTGACTGGATTAATTACATTTGAACTACTGTACCAGATTCGCAGCATAAGTTCCGGAAGTGCTTAGGGAAGCCTTAATTACTTCCGACATGAATCTCTTTCAACTCTTATTTTACTCTTCTAAGATTTTAACTCTGAATACTGAACTCTTGCGGCCAATACAAATGGAAAAATATAAAATTATAAAACTTGATACTTTCGAAAAGAAAGTGAGCGACTAATTAAGCAAATGTGCCCTTATTTAGAAGTTCAACATCCTCCTGACTTATTCATCTAGCAGTTTAAGACTCAAAAAACCCCGTTTGCGAATTGCTGCACTGCTTTTCATAAAAAAAAACGACCATTTCCTGATTTTCAACTGCCATTAAAAAAAAAACCATTCCTCGACAAAAAAATTCCTTTTGACAAAACATTTTTTTTGGTCAATCCGAGTTCGATTTAGTGCAGTTCAACAGTATTTGACAGATGGCATTGGCCAGATGCTCCCAAGCACAACGAAATGAAAGTTTCATGACGTTTAAAAAAACGCGAGAAATAATGTGCATACGGTACTTCGATTTTTTAAGCCAAATCAGGGGAGATACTACATATTGTACGTCAAGAGATCCTCGAATCCTGAAAGAGAGGAAACTCACCATATGCGGTTGAGTTTCGGGATTAGGAGCACGTTCAAGCGTCGTAATCCTATACTTCGAGCCCACGGGACCAGCAGATAAGACGGCGACTTGAGGCGCATTCGGTTCTGATAAGGTTTTCGCCGCGCCGACAACAGCTGCGACAGCTTCAAGCCCTTCCCCCGTCAACGCGGTCTCGACGACACTAGATGTCGATTCGTTCTCGTCACGATTCGATTCCTTCGTCGGCCTCTCGTCGGCATTTTCTATAACTTCCGCAGCCGCCAGAGTTCTACTCGAGGTTGTAGATTCATCATCATTTTCTTCTTTTCGAACGTGAGCAATCGAGGGAGATCGCTTTCGACGGGGTTGACTTTTTGTCTCTTTCTTGGGTGCTTCAACGATATCGTCTTCATCGGAGTTTTCTAGAAGTCCGGCTTCTTTCATCAGGTTCTGAAGAGCCATTTCTCGCGAAGTTTCTTCCTCAATTGCGACTTGGACTTGAGAGCTAGAATCAACTTGATTTGAGGTTCGACGAATCCGTTCCGGTTCGAGGGGTTCGACTACTGTCGTATCTTGGCGCGAAACCTGAGCAGGGGGTTTACTCGGCTCCAAGGGTTTGGAATCTGTTGCGGCAACGGACACAGGAACAGGATTTACGATCACAGGGACGGTCTCAGTGGGAGCCGACTTTTTGATACGAATCGGTTCGAAGGTTTCAAGTGGGGTCGAATCCTTTCGTGAAACGCGAGCTGCAGGATCGTTGGGTGCAATAGGCTTTGAAGAAGTAACAGCCAGGGACATTTGAACAGGTTTATCAATCCCAAGGACGGTCTCGTTGGGGGTAGACTTTCTATGATAAATAGCGTTTGTTTTGTCTAAAGACTTCTCCAGTTCTTCCAATTTTTCGACATAAACGGGGCGAGGCAAAGTTGGTTCCGATGCTGAGCGACTAATTTTGGCTGATTTCAGCGGGCCGCTGGAAGATATGAAGACAAAATAAACCATTAGAAGTCCAAAAAAAATTGTATTCAGTGAATTCAAGTTGTGCTTCTCTTCCTCATGAGTTGACAATTTTACAAAGGGTTACGATTACGATTAAGACGCTTCTATTCTTCCTTGATCCATTTTTTTGGGATCATCCACTTCGGTCAAATTGGAAAGGGATAGCAATTTCATGGATGTGTCCAAGAAACTTGCAGCTCAAAATGAGATGCGATCGGAAAATTCCCATCGAATAACATTTGTAGACAGAGTTTCCAAATAAAAATTGAACTGAATTTCCAATAGAAAAACAGTATCCAAAAAACAGCATTTACGGAATTGATGCTTCTCACGGAAATTCAAATTTATTTTATTTTCATGCTTGTACACCGAATCTGTAATCCAGTAAACTACGTTTACAACTTGAATAAAATCGAACTACAGTAAAATATTAAGTAGCCAAAATCTGATGTGAAAAACTTTGACTTGATATGCAAGGCGTGTCTTTATTGAAGGAGAAAAAAATATCACTTCACCACTTCTAGGAGTTCCGTTTGGTTTTAGCCGCGGAAGAAAGATGAAAAAATAAGGCAAACCATGTATCTTTTCCTGATACTTTATATTGGTGCTAGAATCCGCGAGGCTTCCCGGCAGTCAGATTCGCTATTAGAACTAAGTTTACCATCACAGCAACTATATTCTAAAATGTTACTCTTTATAGCCTTAGGATATTCTGCATGCCATAAAAACAGCGGAAACAAGCGTTCATGACGCATCAGGAGGAAGGTGTAACTAAATTGAATGTGAGTCTGGGAAGAAAGAAACACAACTACAATAAAACTATCAGTTGCAAAAAGATTTCAACTCACAAATTACGGCGAAGTTTTCCATGAGCAGATCTTACTGCATTGAGTTCCGCAGCTTCTTCTTCATTAGCAATGAAAGCAGGCTTCTCATCGATCTCACCACTAGCCCTCATAGTATTATAAATCTCCAGAATCAAGTTCGCAGTTGAATAGATTTGCCACGCAGACATGGCAACGTTGATCACAGGTAGCCCGGACGTAGATGCACTAACGATCAGCGTTTTCAAATGGCTCGCCGGTAAACGTGCCATGAATTCCTCGGCCAGCCTCTTCGCTGCCACTCCAGTTACTGTGGAACCCAGTGCTCCCATCACTTGTCGAACCAAAATATCAATTAGACCGCTTTCTAAAGCACATTTTCGAAGCCCCGATGAGGTGCTTTGGTCATCGCAAAGACCGGATCTTCGGCTTTTCGACTTATCCGAAGAACTATTGCGTTTCCCATTACCCGAACTGCCGGGTCGGTTAGGTTCTTGACCACCGTTGGTAGTCATTTCTCCCTCTCCTTAGCCTATAAAGGTTACAAACGTAACTAAGTTGTATAAAAGTAATCTATGGAGTAAAATGTAAAAAAAAAATTACTCGAATCCTTCGTCATATTGCTCTCAGTTTTCTTTTCCTTCACTGGTTTCTACGTCAAATCCTTCTGTAATTTAGTCATTCAACATATTTTTAAAGCGCTCCGAACATTGTGAAAAATTCCGGACAGTAACACCAAGCAGTGAGACGAAATTTCGTTTTTCGTTAGTTCATCGATCATCGCACCAATCGAAAACGCGTAGGGTTCGAAATGCAAAGGCTGAAAATACGGGTGAGACTTATCGAGACGCTGATTTCCTTTAATCAGTTTTTCGCACGAAGAACACGCCACGGAATAATACGAATTATCGCGGAACCGGTTTCTTGGCAGAGGGATGGAACTTGACTTTCCTCTTAGAAGCGGTAGAGGTAGTCGAGCGACGCGAAGAGCATGTAACGGACGAATTTTTGCGATTCATACGGAGACTAGATGGTTTCAAGGCGCTGCGAAGAATTCGTTGTTTCGATTCGCAGTTCAGATACGAAAGTCGGGCGATCGCTGCATCGACTGGATGCGATAACATGGGTAAATGTGCCTGGAGGCCAGCAAACGTGTGACGTGGCACGAGATCAACAGTTATGAGCATATCACGCCAAGTGTTGTCCATGCTTTCGTAATCAGTACCCGCGACGACTCGATTTTCATTGAGCACCGAAATGGGTACAGGGGAATGCGACTCTTTTTGGGCACGCGAAGCGGACTGAGACTGCTCAAAAAAAAAAGAAATTCTCAGTAAAAGTATAATATTTTAAAAGAACTGGAAATGCGAGGGTTGTCCCAATAGGGCGCGACCTTGGTTAATTCTAGAGTATGACTAGAAAAAGTTTAATATAGCCCTTGTGGCTATAGTTGTAAGGATCTGGATATTTTTCAATTTTTATAAGCATTCCTAGTTGCTGCGTGATGGTGAGTGAAAACTTCCCGAGTTAGGAACAGAGTTCTCCACCAATGTCACAGGGTGCTGAAAAAAATACTGACCAGCCAAAAATTTCAATTCTGATATTTCAACCGTTGTCTTTCTAGATTTTAGATAGTGTCGTAAACAGCGAACATTTCAATATTCAGCTGACAAATTTTTAGCCCCCGGTGACGTGGATGGAGAACTCTAACAGCAACTGGAAAGTTTTCACTTGTCATCATGCATTAAAATTCAGAAACATTTTAAAAAAGAAAAAAGTCCCAGAACTTTACAACTTCAAGGGCTGTATCAAGATTTTTTTGTCATCCCTACTCCAGAAATAACCAAGGTTGTGCCCATGTGGACAATCCTCATACGTATGTTAGAAAGCTATGCTTTCTAGGAACACCCAAGGATCATTCATACTGCAACTTACTACTGTATAAGCAATCAATGGAAAAGATAATTCGCTCCACATTATTCAATGCTGACAAAAATCATGCGTAGAAGAGTCTGATTTCCCTCTAATCCACCCTAAGCTCCTGAAAATCTGACCTCTCATTCAAGAGTATCATTGCAAAAATCCATGGAATTCAAAAAGGTAATTTTACACGAACGTTCTCAAGCATTTTTTTCATCCTGAGGCACCCATGCAGCTAGTTAACAATTTTATTATGCCTCCCTTGGTATAATCAATCTTACTAATTCTGCATATTGAATTTTACACATAAAGCGTCCACAACCAAACGCACGAATCCACAAAACATCCAAATTAATTTTAAAAAAAGTAACCAACCGTGCGACTGACGGAAGCATTCGATGCCACAGATTTCTCAGGAGTAGAGCCCCTGGTTTTCCGTTGCATAGAACGTCGAACGATGGATTCGACGAGATTTCTATACCTCTCCGCTCCCATCTTCTCTCGATAGAAGCTAGCGAAATCCAATGGTTTCTCTGGCAGCTTCCCGCTTATGCCAAGCAAGTTGATTTTCGGCATGGTAATAGGTTCCCTCACCTTTGTCGGGGATGAAACCGCGGAACTTCGCTTTTGTTCGTCTGGGATCATCTGGGATTTTTAAAATGATAAAAACCATGCAATCACAAACAGAAACGCGGAATTGAAAATCGGTGGAATACCGTCGGTCTCAATGGAATTCCCCAGCGAACTGCCATGTTCTTAAACCACGAATTTAGTGGCATCGCTGACGGTTTCGCCAATACATTTCTTTCAGCAGGTTTAGATGAGAGCGTGTTCGGATCATCTTTCCTAGCTTGGAACATCGCAGGCATTTTCGGCAACGCAGAATTTACTAAACTAAATACAAAAATTGAATTTAAATCGTGTAAAATTGTCGTATTTACTCTTAAAACATTTTCTCCAGAACATGGGGGTTCATCAAGAGAAAAGCCTGACGTGCTCTAATAACTACCTCCAGGAATGATGCAACACCCACAAATTGTAGCAAAATTTTGCAGTTAATTTCCTTTTTAGGAAGTTCAATATTAGTACAGTACAAAATAAGACAGGTTCTATTGCTATAAAAATCATACTGAGGATATGCAAAAATGCCAGGTATGGTTTCTTCATCGGGTTGAACTTGATTATCCGTCCAATTTTAAAATAAAATAAGAACTACTGCATTCGGAGCTGAATTTCGAGTAAAGCTGTCAGGGTGTGAAATACTGTTGAAATTTTGAATTTACATTCAATTAGTTCAAGGGACGCATAATAGTGTGTGAAAAAATACCTAATAATAACCACTTACTTGTTCGTTTGTAATTTACTTTTGAAGTAATCCATGCTGTTGATGTGACCGGAAATCGCATTGGGCGATGAACCGTTGCTGCTTGCTTTCCCACGCCGCTTCCGCTTTACTTTCGTAGCAGCGGGAACACCCGGAATTTCGCCATTATCCCTCAATTTGACATAGGTATCGTAGATCATGGTCGCGATGCAGAAGTACTGATATCCCGAGATGGCAAGATTCAGTATAGGCACACCCGACACTGCGGCATTCATCATAGCCCATTTTAAATGACCTTCAGGCAATTGAGCGAATACCTGAAATTAACGCGGACATTTTTTTCCAGTTGACCGCACGCCAGTACAGTATTTTTTTTTAATTCGTTATGAGAAACATTTCGGATGCACGAATTGTTACCAGTATGGTTACAATTCGGATTTACTCCGTATCCCGGAAAACGTATCAAGCGAAAGTTTTATACAAAATAAGATGATTCTCGGTTCATCAAATATGTCTTCATCAGAATAACCCTTCACAACAGCTAGATATTATACTTCAGTAGTTCATCAACTGTTCCGAAATTTTTTCCGCACTCCGGTGTATTTTCATGGGAAGCATATGACATGATCAAATGGGAAATCATCAAGAGATTATTTTGAGGAAAACTCAATTTTTTTGCAATACTTTCCACACATAACACTTAATAAACCAGTACCAACACATGATATCAGAGGGCGAAAAATATTCCAGATTTGTATTAAGAATACAGAGCATATTTGAAATGTCGTCAAGTTCATTGGTGCAGTAACCGTGATCAACTTCTCTTGTCAGAATTGGTAGACAAGTGTCAAAAGCAGAAGCATGTGACATTACAGCATACGAAATTCAGAGATGTGATAAAAATTAGTTACGACAAAAACTCATCAGCTCACGCTCAAAACCAAAACACGGTAAACACGCGCCCAAAATTGAACAAGACTAACCTCTAAAGCGATAACCTTTACGACTTCCCGTCCGGCAGTAATTCCAAGGGGTGCCAGGACAGCTTCAATCAAAGATTCCATCACACCACTACGAGTCACTTGCGATGCGGCAATGCCCGGGCCCGCGGCCCCCGGAAAACCAGGGGCTCCCAGGAAATCCATCTAATACAACTCGGAGGAAAATATCATGAAAGTAAAAACAAACGTTAAGTAGAGTGACCGGTAACGAGAGTAACTGACTAAACTAGCAGTACAGCGATTTTTTTTTTCTCCCAATCTGCCTCACCCGTCCACCGTTTTAAATCATCAAATATGTACGTGCTATTCCGTAACTTTCACGAGGTTTCGCGAAAATTGATGGAACATCTGCGATTTCATTTCAGCTGAATTCCCGTTCCAAGCTGCGATTTGGGAATATTTCTTCGGCATTCCCTTCTTTACCTGCGGTGGCTCCGTCCTGAATGAGAACTACATCTTGACCGCTGGTCACTGCTGTACGTCTGATCCTACTTCCCTTAGCGTAAGTCGTAGGAACATTAGACAATTCGATTCGATAGTTATAAACAATGCAGTCAATTTTTTCATAATGCACTTCCCCTTTAGATCTTGGTTGGGGCAAACCAACTGTATTTCCCAGAAGAAACTAAACAAGATGCCACCGTGGCACAGGTTATCCAGCACGAAGACTACAACGGGTGAGAGCCTCTTTCTGTCAACCTTCAAATTTTATCGGTTTTCCGGGAAAATTTGCCGAGTGCAACTGATCTTGATGGTATCCCAGTAACACTGAAGGTTACCCTGAACAATTTCGAATATTTAGATTTAAACGTTGATTTTGAAATGAAATTGAAGGACACTTCAATTGCTTTGAAATATTATTACCGTACTATATTTTACTGATATACTTTATTTTTGTTTAGTTTCATTTGCCTTGCGTTAAATTCTATTCATGACCAATTGTCGAGAACTGTTTTCAACACTTTACAGTAAACGGTTTCCAATATTCGGGAAAAAATTTTTCATTAACATCTCGTAAGTTTGATCCTCAAATTCAAATACCGTACCAATATTAAGATAATGAATTTCACACAGCGCAAAAAGTTTATAATAAACAAAGAAGAATCAAATTTACCGACTAAATTTCATCTGCCGTAAGAAATAAAAATGTCATCGCAGTAAAATTTAGTTACGTCGATCGTGCTTCAGAACAGGGTGGACCGATTCCATTGTTCACTCAATTAGAAACTGATGAATAAAAAATCTACCAAGGCTGTTAGACTGAATTTTACCACAAATGAAGGTTCAAAATCGGGGATGGTGGAAAAACGTCGTAATCATGATACTGGAATAACGTCGTCATCCCGATACCGGAATATAATATCGTCATTCCGATACCGGAATAACGTTGTCAAGCCTCTCCTGCTGGAACATACTTATAAAAAATCTTCCCGCGCTTAACGACTTGAATTATTTATGGAATAAATGGAGTAAAGTTAGGTTATATATGGGATACATTTCTGTTGTTCCAATAACTCAAAGCGGGGTTCTTAAGTTCCTTTCTTTACTTGGACAAGTGTTGTACACTTGTTCCACAGATATTTCCAGTTGTAAAGCGCAGGGAGATTTTTTCACAAGTTTGTTTCAGCAGGAGAGGCTTGACGACGTTATTCCGCTATTGGAATTACGACGCTATTCCAGCAACCCCAAAATTGGCTTCACGGTATTATTCGGTACATTTTTTAACGTCGATTTACTCTATAGAAACACCGTTCTGAACGACATCTGTCTCCTGAAGCTGAACGAAGCTCTCGTTTGGACCGACACGGTTCAGCCCGTCATTCTTCCCGACAGCAGTCTCAACATCACTGGTGAAGATTCTTGCGACAATTCCCCAAAAGAAACCACTGATTCGAACATGTCATTCATTGGTGATTTGCAGAAGGCGACCTCTTCGTTGTTTCGGGATGGGGCGCAACCTCTGAGGGAGGCATCCTGCTCCCAAATGACCTCCAAAAGGTTACCGTCCCTTACGTTGCTGATGATGTTTGCGACGAAGCTTACGGAGGAAACGCCGTCGCTGAGAGCATGGTTTGCGCTGGAGATCTTGCGAATGGCGGCATTGATTCTTGCCAGGTTTGACACCAAGTCACACTAATCATAACGCATCCATACATTTGAGTGTTACCCGTGTAAATATCGGGGTTGTCGTGATTCGTGAGCACGGCTCAGGATCACTGTACTACAATTTCTCTATGAATTCCATCCTTTTTTCTAAAAGTCTTTACCAATAAATCCAACTCGACACATTTCAAGACTACAAGGACAATAACTTTAAATGACGATGCGGATCATTTATAATTCCTTGAACTTTAAATTCCCACTCAACTTTCATCATCATTTGAAAGCGAATCATGCATCACTGTAGATTGTTTGGAGCAAGATTGTACGACTTTTCGTCGAACAAATGCATTGGAAGATATCTTGAAATATCAACTACTCGAAAATCACGAACGTATGGACGGGACAATTAGTGGTGCACCACCAGTGGACCTTCATTTCAATATCTCCGGTAGCAAATAAAATATTTCTAAAATGTAAGCGACAGAAAATGATCTGATAATCTACGAATGAGTCCAAAATTAGACTAGGCGCTGAAATCAAGCATTCATCTCTTTTCAACTGATTAAGAAATGAAAAGTTAAATTGCTTGCTACACAGGGCGATTCTGGTGGACCCATGACGCTTGCTTCCGATAAGCGCACCTTAGTTGGAATCGTCTCCTGGGGACAAGGCTGTGCTCGTCCTGGATATCCCGGTGTTTACACCGAGGTCTCTTACTTCCTCGACTGGATCGCAGCCAACGCCGTTTGAAGTTCTGGCAAATCTGTTCAGTATTCTTAGAAATCGAAAATAAAAAATTGAATGAGGGAAAACTGTACGTTCGAGATCATTTTGTATAACTTTTTTGATAACCAGCCATATACGCAGGCTCCATCATACGATTAAATCGAACATATCTGATGAAAAGGAACGACAGAAATGAACTTTTTAAACTAATAGAATAAAAAAAAAAAAGACTGGAAAGCAAGCGCTGTCATGCACTAAGCTCAAATCTAATTTATGAAGAAAGGACAAGAGGTTGAAAAACATAGCATTTGATATTTTCTAGGGCTGTGCCCTCCCAGAGTCAGAGTAATCACTTTGTTTTCGGAAACCCAGGAATCGAACTTGCCAGATATTCCAAGGAACGGGTCGCGCGAGCTCGCAAAAAGAAACAAGGAATTATTCAGAGTTTCAAATTTAAATCTTTGATAGCAGCAGGTAAATCCGGGAGCTTCATGTCCTTGATCTGCTGCGAAATGTTGAGGTTTTTCACAGCCGACACGGCTCGTGCTGGAGCAGCTGAGAGCCCAGCCTGGAGGTGATTAAAATAAATAAGGCAAATATATCTCTAATTCGCGTGAAAATTATAAGAAAGCTCAGTCACCTCGTCTTTTTCAAGCTTGTTTTGCTCCTCGATTCTGCTCACGATTTCCGAAACATTCGTTTCCAATACCATTCCACCCATGACTAGCTCATTTAGTATATAATGAACCTAGACAGTGGTTCCATAAGTTGAATGAGAATGATTTAAAATACCTCTGCAAAACACGTACCTTATCGACATGGAAGATTAGATCCAGCTCACAAACATTCTCAAAACATTTGTCCAATGTTTCCACAAAAACTTGGATCAAGTCAAGAATCCCTAGTTCCGATTCGGATGAGTCGACACAGAAAACGAAATACAGCGTGGCATAATGTCGATACGCCAATTTGAAATCGGATCCACCGATCAGGCTGAAAAGATTTCAATAGAAAAAATAAAATTCTGTCTTGGAAAAATATCCAAGCACGGAAAAATAAAACATATCCGTAGAATACTTCTTACCTCCCGCCTTCCAAGAAGTTACACACGTTGTCATCACGCTTGGACACAAGCTGGAAAGTTTCCTTGATTATCTGTTGCTGCAATTCTTCCGTCTGAAGGAACGAAGGGAACGTTAAAACAGGCGTTGCACTAATCCAGTTCGCAAATGCCGAACAACATACATAATGATGGTAGAACTTCGAAAGTCTCGGCTTTCCGTGATTGTTGAACACCAGAATTGCTTTGATCATGCTGAAAACCTGAAAATCCGATCGCGCGCTCGCTCTTTAATCTGATATTTGCCATCCACTATCACTCTGCAAAACAAACTCAATGCAGAAGGACTGTCCAAATGTATCATCTATTATGAATAGACACGCAAGCAACTGGGAATATCAAAATTCGTATTCAAACAACAGTTTAAAAATCTTTGATCAAAATATGGCATCAAACGATCACGAAACCGCAGCCTCAGTGACCATTCCCCTGCTTGCCTATAAAAAAAATTAAACTTGAAATTAAAATGACTTCGGCGAGTCGATCCATATTTTCACTCACAAAAAACGCGCTGACGAGTGAACTCAGCTGAATTTTCTCACTCCCGCCGAACGACAGTCGATTTTCTACTTCTGCCATTTTGTCGATGAGATAGATTTTAGATTTTGAAGGAATTTCCACTTCGAAAAAAATTAAAAATTAGCACGAATAGAAGTTATCAATATCGCACTGAAATAAAAACTCACGTCGATGGACGTATTTATGCAACTGAGTTAAAATGTCCACAAGGGCGAAGCCTTTCGAGATCTTCATATCCGTGATATCTGCACAGACGAGAGGTTAAGCTCGCGAACAAAATCATAGCAATGAGGATAAGACATTACTTCTAACGGCCACGGAAAAATCAGCATTAAGCAGCCAGTTCATAATTGTCAAGACATCCTGCGGGGTTGGATGACCGAGAGTGGTATACGTCGTTTCCGCATTGACTTCCGGGAATGCCATAGAGCAACTTTGGAGGAGATTTAATGCTTTCCGCATGTCCCCCTCCGCAAGTTCAACCACACTCTGCAAGCCTTCCTCAGTGACCTTGATACTAGAACACGAACGCGAATTAGAAATAACCGCACTGAATTAGTTTCTAAAGATGTGATCAACCAACTTTTCGGATTCAATGACGTCCCTCATACGGGGAATCATTTGAGTAGTACTCAGCGGTCCGAAGCGGAACCTGGTGCACCTAGACTGAAGTGCGGGAATGATCTTACTCAGATAATTGCAGATCATACAGAAGCGGACGTTATCGGTAAATTTTTCAATTATACGACGCAATGCATTTTGCGCATCGTTCGTCATGGCATCGGCTTCATCCAAAATTATGAGCTTCAGACCGGTCTTGAATATAGTTTTCGTTGAGGCGAAACTGAGGACTTGAGTTCGAACCACATTGATGCCACGGTCATCAGAGGCGTTCAGTTCCAGCACCTACACGATCAAGAGATTCAGGTATCGCCAAAATTGTTCCTTAATGTCAATAGTACCATGGAACTGAATTGCTTCGGACTGTACATCATTTTCGCACAAGCAAGAATGGTCGATGTTTTACCCGTACCAGGTGGTCCATAGAATAATAGATGTGGTAACGTTCCTTCCCTCATGAACTTTGAGACTGTAAAATTTTGAATGTAAACGTAGGCTGTGACAGGGAAACCGGTCAATAATACTCACTAGTTTTCAAGATGTCCTCATGAGCAATAAGCTCGTCCAACTTCGTTGGCCTGTACTTTTCAACCCTTCAATGCAAATTTCAAGGTTAAGGTAAAGATACAGGTCTGGACGATGTCAGAAACTCACCATGGTAAATTCGAACGTGATACAATGGGACCGGAAGCATCGACATCCATTTGTTCGTCAGCAATGCTGTCGACTTGCACCATCGTACAGGAATGATTCAGAACTCTACGTACTCCCCACTTATCAAGCGCAACGGAAAAACTTCCAGTTTCACCTTAAAAAGTGTTAACATTTGAATATACTGCCACCAATACAATTCCAATGCTAGCGTAACATCGCACGCTAGGTACTAGGACAATCAACTTTCATGGCGCACCATCAGGTTCCGTGACGCGACGTTATGGTACAACTTCCACTCAACGCAGCTCCATTCAACGCTACCTCTTTTCACCATGCTTCCCCGAGTTAGCGCGGAATCACGTTCTTAATGTCGGTAGACATGTGCGATACCACGAGGAGACACAGCGCGTAACTAGAAAAAAGCAAAGAATAATTCAGAAATGGAGGGGCAACTCCTGAGCTGCAACAGATACTGTACATGCAAAAATTTACTTGTTTTTGCTTTTCGAAGTGTTCCTATGCCTCTAACTATCAGAACTCATTCTGAAATTAATTCAAAATTCATAACTTTTGATCTTTGATGCGCGGTCCTCTAGTTTATCACTAATATAAAATTGAATGCAATTTTGGAAAACAGATATACATGTCCCCAGAAAAGTGTTCCTCATAAAAGAAATGGCTCATAGCTAATGTCTGCATAACAAAATTTAAATATGAAATAACGACCCTTAGAATTTTCCACGTAGCATAATTTCCCTGCCAAAAAATCACACATTTTAAGTTCAACCTTTGGAACTGTTGTACTAAAAAAATGGAGATTATGCTTTTTGCTCAAAAAATTCATTAATATAGACACGTTTCTATGGGTTTTTAACGTGTGACGACTTCATTGAATGAAACTTCTTTAAATCATACGAGCAGGGGCTTCGTGTTTTACACAAAAGATGTTTGCATTACCAAGAATCAAAACTCAAGCTGGAACTACAAGTAATTTCATTTTTTTAATGCTCAGCCCAACTATAATTGACCTTATCCAGTCCTTTCATTCTAGGCCTGAGCCCACAAAAACAATTCTGAGTTAGGTTTGTGTAGCCAAATTAATGCGACACTTCGATTGCAAGTTTCTAAAATTGACTTTTCAATTAAAAAAAAAAAAAAACGGCAGAAAAAATAACCAGAACAGATTTTTATTGTTCACCGAACAGCGGATGCAATAACATTATTGCAAGGAATTCGAAACAACCGACAGCAAAAACCGTTTTCGTATGGTTGCAATTCACAAAAAATACAACCGATCTTGCAGCGCGGTGGCAGGAATCTCCTTAACATATTGACCGATAAGACAGGCAACTTTTCTAGCATACTGAAAGTAAAAAGAAACCTTCATCAGAAAAAAATCCCACGTTTTTCAGTGTCAGTCAAAAACGACGAATACAATGATTGTTTCCTTGTAGAAGAAGAGAAAATTCTCAATAAGTGGTCGATTATAGACATACAGGTAATGTACAGACAAAAACAATGCAGTACCACGGATAAGGTCAGCATACAAAGAATCTACCGACCAAGTCTTAGGCGAACAGGAAAAAAATAGTAATAATAAATAGCTGAAAAAACCCTATAACAATAGTAGCATCAGCGTTCATACATGCCAAACGCAGAGAAAGTTAGAAAAATGATAAAAGAACACGTCTCATTAACCTGGGTTGGAGCCGGGATACGAATGCTGCCAGTCCAGTTGTAGTACATGTACGTCATTCTGTATGTTAATGCCTGGATCTCATCAATACGGAAATTCGACTTGTTCTCCACAATTACGTAGTGAGTCGGCGACACCGTGCCTTCCTTGGCAAATTGCGACACAAGAAAAAAATCTTGAAAATTGTGATTTCTCGTCACGCCGCCGTCAACAGCAGTCCCAGGAATCGGGTTCGCCGCAGGACGGTTGCGCTGAAAATACGCAGAAACGAGAAGCGTGAATTATTTTTTCCACGAATGATGTTCTAATAAAAAGTTTTCTCAAGAGAATTCAACGTGTTCAAGAAGTATAAAATATTGAAGAAATAATGCGAACCTGGAGAAGAAACAGTCTCGTGTTGATTCGTTTCTGAAGCACAACGTATACGAACGAAATATGGTCGTCTTGACCGGTTTTTGACCAATCACTCACAGTTTCCTTCATTGCTGCAGCTTCCTCAACCATGACAGAAGTCATTTTCGCTTCCATCAATCCGTCACGAAACACTATCACATGTTTCGGAAGATTCCCAAAATTTTTCAATCTCCAGTGTTCTAGCCCATTTGCCAGAAATACCCGGAATTGTTCCGCGTTTTTCTCAGCATTTTGATATTTGCAAACCTAGGCGAATGGATCAAAACTTTACACTTGGAAAAAAACTATTACACCAGTATATCAACTGAATCAAAGACAGGAAGTACCGTAAACAACAGTTCGTCAAAATGCTGTGCACTCATTCCAGAAACAGCTTTTTCCTTATAGAACACTTCTAGAAAAAATGTGAGGTTGAAACGTAAAACTTTTCAGAACTCACCTGCGCATAATATTGAGTTGCAGACTCGTTGGAAGAAGAGACAAAACCTAGGATTGACTCATTCCGTTTGTACTGATCATGGTAAACGTCAATGCCAACGAACATCGCACCTTTTGTACTGTGTTCCACCGCCCAAAGTTCCCCTCCAAGTTTACAATTGATTTGAAGGGCAATTTTATTGACGATAGGGGCAATGGTATCTTTGCTGAGCGTGCGATTCAAAATGCACTGGGATGGACGCGGCATTTGTTTACACAACATTTTCTTGACTGCCTGAAAATAAATAAATGATAAGAAAACAAGGCATCAGCAAAACTTGTCTGAAAATACAAAAAAAAAGCCAGCTCAAAAACTGGCCCAACCAATGATTGGGATTAGTATCGCGAACAAGAATGATACGAATAATGTACACAAGATTGTTTTTCTGAATATTTTTCCTCTCACAAAATGAAGATTGTGAGAGGAAAAATGCATCAAGGAGAAGTACGCTGATAAATTCGATAACGATCAAGTTACAAAACTGTCAATACACCAGGTAATTGACGTCCAGCGAGACTGACAAAAACATGAAGATTTCGGAGAGTTACGCATACATAAGGTTTTGCTCATATAAAGTGGAACAGCGTGAAGATACCACGAATCTCACTTTGGAAAAAGCTTTGATATGTATCTCCTTCACGTCAAACATTTGCTCTTTTTGTGATGTTAAGATTCTCCTCCTTTCAAACATTTTCCACCTTTTCCGATACGAATTTCATGATTCTATTTTTATAAGTCCTTTGAATACATAATCTTACGTTTTTGTAAGTCTCGTAACGCGTGAATATGCAACACTCCGAAGTTACCTGGTATTTGTCATCCCTTTGTGACATGAAGCCGATCAAGAATAGTTGAACGTCAGGCTCCTGAAATTCCGCAATTGCTGAAAGGTAACTTGGAACTGAGTCTTGCTGTATATACTTGACCGTTGGATGTGCTACAGCTGCCCGCAAATAAGCGCCCATTCTTTTTACGTATGCCTCAATAAACTTTTGCATGTTTGTCCTCATGCGCACTGGTGCTATTACAACCCACTGCAGCAACGGAACAGCGTGTATGACTCCAAATTCACCAAGCTTTGAAGCCCAATCTTTAAAGCGTCCTGAAATTGAGATATACAAATTATCAACTTCCAATTGGGAAAAGATACTATCTCACAAACCGTTCACATCAAAGACCTCGACCCGAGTCGACATTTCTGGTCCAACTCGTACTCTTGGTTGATCCAAGATTCTGACATTGGGTCGGACAAGATTTGTATCCAGTACGAGGCCCCAATCTTCCAATCGTTTTCTAGCCTTTTCATTGGTGTTCAAATCAGACACGTAGTCCATCAATGCCTTCTTGCGTTCTTCCGCCCCAGGTTTATTGTAACTTCACCACAGCGAGATGAAATACAATACATTAATTGAAAAAAGTTATCCATCAAACATTAAAACAATTATTTTCGCGCATCTGGCGCAAGTAATCAATCTCAACGACCAAGCATGAAGGGAAAATCGAGAAAAAAAATTCTCACGAGGAGTTCCTCATAAGTCTTACAAACCACCTGAACACGTCTTTGCAGTTGAATAAAAGATAACCAATCGTCCCATTTAGGCAAATTTTCGTTAGTTTGTTGATATTTTACCTTCTCCCGTGTTGTCCATCAACAAAAAATCCCAAAAATTGAATAAAAAAATTTCTCAAGGTCAAAATCACAAATGAAAACGGATGAAAAGTGGTTTGATTAGTTTTAAATGGAAATTGCCGATGATCTTCCTAACGTAGGGTAGAAGAAAAACGAGACTTCCAAGAAGGCATTTAGACACCCAACCAAAAGCACCCCCCCCCCCCCCCATTTAGTTATATAACCACCATTCTTCAAAAAAAAAGAATTCGAGTTTCATAAGGTAAACTGTAGATGAGATTCTTCAGAAGTCATCAAGTTATGATGCTTTGACATTCAAAGAAATACGGATGACGACTGCAGGTGAAGAAATCCCTTCATATACTGTACTCGAATTTCAGGGGGGGGGGGGGTTTCTTCGAGAATTCAATTTAAAACTTATTCAAAATTAAATTTATTCAATTTAGTACATGAATAAGCAAATGCTTGCCAAATTAATTGATACTTCCTGAAGCACGAGTTTTGTTTCTCAGTTTTTCCCCAATGCTACCCAAGCATTAAGAAGTTCTTGGTCAAATAATTGTGAACGTATTGTCTCTCAATGAAAAAGAACGTACATCATAAAAATTTATAAAATTTACGAATCAGTTCGAGCAAATGCAATAAAAACTTTCGCAGACTTGTGATACTTACAATAAATTCCTCGTGATCTTTGCACAGGGTGGGGTGAGAGCAATCAATTACCAGGTTATATCTCAATGTGCCATTTTCTAAACAGGAGAAAATGTGATACTCACCGACTGATGGATTTCATGACACTGTGATTGCAACGCATGTTTTCAGATAAGCCAGTCATGTAACAAAGTTCTGGAATGAGCCGCACCAAGTCCGCCAAGTTGGTTGATTCTACTCCGCTTTTCATACGCTTCTGTCTGATGCAAATGCTTTGATTAGCTCACATCTTTGAGAAAGTCCGTGTAATATGTTTGACGACGAACACTCACCGACAAATCAACAACGGCTGTTCTACGTCTTGTATATCTATGTCATGGATTATTTTGTAATACTGAACATACGTCAAACAACGCCCAGCTCGAGTTACGAAAGTATTATTCGGGGTTTCACCCCAGGCGATATCGTGCACAATGTGCGTGCAGTTGTTGTACCGAGTCATGACCACTTGCTTGAGCAGGATTGCCTCTACCTACAGTAACACGTCAAACAAGGAAAACAATTCTCACATACAATTCTTTACAAACTCATGGCTTGAAACTAACCTTGTTTTTGAAGGTAAGAGACTGTTCAACTGACGAGATAAGTTCGTGGACGGTTTCAGTACGTAAAACCCGGTGCGAGATGTCAAGACACAATACCAAACCCTCGTCGTAAAAATGCACTGCCGAGATGAACCCAGGCCAAACCTCTAGACTGAAATTTCAAGATTTTAAAGAAGCCAACGATCAGAAATCTCACGTGAACTCACTGATATTCGGGCACAGATCGACGCTGTGAATACGCAAAAAAATTCCTCCCGACTCTTATCATATCCAAATCCTTTTGGACGAGCTTGAATAAAGCATTGTACCATCGCAAACACCGCGGAAGAGGTTTCTCGCCTAAGAAATCCAATTTCACTTCGACGTTGTTCGAACTCGAATCAACAACTGACTTGACGATTGATGAACTGGCCTGTAAAAATATCGAAAACTCGGTAAGATTCAAAGTTCGAAATGAAGTAAATAAAAAAAAAAGCTAACCTCCGACGAAATTCGTTTCGGAAGAAGTAGCATGGAACTGCCATCGAACAACTTCGCGTCTCCGGTCAGCTCGGACAATCGATCTAGAACGCTCCGCCGTGCCTTAGAATCGTCAATTCCAGGAGTAAACGACACGCTGTACTCAAATATTCCGAAGTTTGGCTTGAAGTGTAGCTTCACATAATTTGCAGCCACCTCTACTGGCAGAGAGCCTTTCTGGAATAAAACTGGCAGGTGCTTCCGCGTGCCGCTTGGGACACACGGATCTGACGAGAGGTCTAAGCTTTCCGTTTGCGTCCTAACTTCGATTAACGTGTCCTCTGTTTCTCCATTGAAATCCGAAGAAGAGCCATCATCGCGAGGAATGCACTAAGATCAATTCAAGATTTTCAAAAGGTACAACAACTTAATTTCAAACATCATACCGAACTACTCACGGAAGAAATACCACGGCAACGAAATGGCTCGGCATTGACGTTCAGTGTGGAAGATGCTGCCAAACCAACCACAGAAGTCTGCGGTGCAGCAAACGCGGTGCTTTCCACGAATTCTCGTATCAACTGACCACGGCCATACTGCGTAAAACGCACTTCAGTCGGGTCACAGATACCGGGTTCTGTGTCGGCGAGTCGCGTCACATCCACGGAACCTGATATACCTGGGCTTTCCCGAGCAGCATCCAATACCGAACGCAATCTAGCAGCCCTCCCCCGACCAGCCATAGCCTTGCATGAGGAAAAAATCGTTTTACAAAAACTGGACAGAATACACGGCAGCAGCATAAATCTAAGTGAAAAACTACTCACAGGACGAATATCACTTCAACACCTTGACTTCGATTGTCGTTTCCAGGGTTCTCGGAGACCTCGCACGATCAGACTCCCTCGGATTGCCGCGCTTCAACACAAGACGACATCCACGTTGGTTCTATGGCTGATGATCACACAGAGCCTCAAGAAAAATAGCAACACGGATTCAGCGGATGCCATTTACTACAGTACAGTACTTAATGTAGGATCATGCGCCACCTTTTGGACCATCACGTATTATTGTAAATTTGTATGATACTAATTATTCGTATGAAAGCGGCATGCCAGTCGTATTTTTTTACAAATGAAGAATTTTCAGTGGGTACAGAATATAGCAGAAAATGTTTAAAAGTGGTTCTTTTTAACTGCCCTTAGCAACGCTACGCTATCAGCAGCAGAACACAGTATTTTATTAAAAAACGGGAATACCGAACATCACTCGTATCATGCAATATCAAATAAAGGTTCTTATACAGTATAGATGAAGCCTGATCAAGATGCTAAAGCATTTTCTAGCGGCCAAAACTTTAAAGATGTGAAAGACATTTATCTGTACGACACTTTTTTATCCGAAAGATAATCGTTGAAGAACTGGAGCTGTCGTGAAGAAGTAAGCTGATGCGTCAGGGAGAGATAAGCAGGGATTTGCATGGAGAAACACCGAAATGAATGCTCTTGAAGTTTCAATTACATCCTTAATTTACTAAATAAATTAGCATTCTAACCCAGAAAGTCGCACGACCTTCGTTACGCTCCAAGTATAATTTGATTTCGGCCAATGTATACATTTCTACCCTCATTGTTCGTCAAGCAATAAAACAAGACTCTGACGTCATACTATAGTTAATGCTGCAAAACTTGAACACCAAGGCATCCTAGACTTGCCTCAAAAATGAGAGAATTTGAATGATGAAGAAGACTTATTTCCATACACGTCAAAAGGGGCGGGACCACCAAGCTGGTCGGATTCCCGCAGCTGGAGAAATCCTATCCTTGCCCTCACAGCTTCGGAGAGAGTGAAAAATGTGTATTGAATGGAGCGAGTCGGTCTTGAAAAATGATACACTAGATCAAAGTTTAAGTAATGGAGTTCCTGCTCGCATCTGTTCGATAAGAAAAATGGGATGAATGAAGCTTGCTATGTACATACTCATTAATATCAAGACAAATACCGTATTTATTCATATATCCAATGCTTCTATTCACAACGTACGTATGGCAATACAAAATAATGCAGTCTGACGCCTTGTTCTTGTAAAAAAACAAATCCGATCGACAATTCCAGTAACAACGCAAATATCCTTCAGATCATTCATATTCATGCCGGATCGGTTATCAGGCTGTCTTCATCATCATTAGAACGCCGAAAACAACGCTGCATGAGACCACGAGGGAGAATGTTGTTGTACACGCACATCCCAGAGACAAGAAGGGCAAATCCGATGATCTGAAGAATGAAAAAAAATTATCCGTATTCAATCAACTGAAAATCTGTCATGAATCAAGAACTGCGACGTCCACACGCTTTTACTTCACCTTGCAGACACAGATGTACTCATTTTACCAGGGCACTCAGCTCAGTCCGAAAAAAAAAGATCATTCAAGATAGAATTATGTCGTAAAGGAGAGATGCATATGCATTAAATTCGTCCAGCAAGATCAGAAGAAAATGTGCGCGAAGAACAGGGTACTGTGCGACTGAAGGAAAAATCACCTGTACATCAAGAACGTACCCGAATACGAATATCATAGTAGGCTTACCTGAAGATAAAAGAACGGTTGCCAACCGAGAGCCAGAGAAACGGCCCAAATGACCAACGTCCTAACGGAATCTAGTACCATTCGAGTCGTCGCAGACATGTCTTTTGTCACGCTCACACCAGCGAAGTTGAAAAATGCAATGCTGATGATCGTTCCTGAAAAATTGCGCAATTCGTTAAGCGACTTTCATTCCCGCAGAAAGGCTTCTCAACATCGCGCACAATTCTGAAAAAAAAAAAAAACTCACCCGAGAATGCAATAGACAACCACGTGGAGTTGCTGAGCTGCGTGAAGGCATCGAGAGCATCTTCTAGAACTCCTCTGGGATTGCTCGAAAACGGTTCACCAACTTTGATGAAGTACATCGGGACGAGCAAAGAGGACAATACGAACAATCCGAAAAGTCCTTCGAAACCGACAGCCAACAACGGCGGGACATTATGTTTCGACACGAACTTCTCTTCATACACCATCTGAACGGCTGAATGATAGAATAAATCCGAAGAAATCACGTTATCTATCGGATTTGACCGATATGTAAAACTTAAAAAGGCATGCATAAATCCATAAAGGCGGACTCTCTCTACACGGAAATTAACGAGACAGGAAAAAATTCTCCGCAGAGAGAATTGCGTCGTGATGATTCTCTAAAATATAGTAGAAACCGACATGTGATAACAAAAAAATTCGTTATACAGTACAGAGAAAATAGTTGTAGGCGGGATCGTTTAAGAGTCTACCTGCATTACTGAAATATAAAAATGTTGAAGTATCCAATCGAGCGTGGTGATGATGGATCATGAATAAAATTTTCGCGCCGGAGGCATTAAACGAATTTATACTTGGTCAAGTTTCAGGTTATCCGCAAACTCTTGAAAGACTAAACGAAGTCGAATTTGTCAATTTGTATGAGCAAATTCAAATGACAGTTTTTTGTTCACTCCCAGTTTTTTAATCAACGAAGTCCGTTTTCCGAGTTTTTATTTATTTAGCTAAAATGTATCTCCTGCAGCTATCCACACTCCGCCAGTCGAACCGATCAGCAAAATGACCATGAAAACATATTTCGTCTGATGAAGGATTGAAGCAATTTGTATACTGTAATTTTTTTCTCGGAACAATCGAAATATTCTGAGAATGCAAGGTACAGTGCAAAACGATTGTTTAAAAGCTTTTTTCTCACATACCCGCAATAATCTGCGCGATCAGGATCAATGCATCTCCAGTAATCACATCCTGTGCGGGCCTATCGGACGCACTCGTGCTCGGACTGACGAAATCAGAAGCTCCAACAACCGCAAGCCCAGCGATGACCGCAAATATGCCTCCCCATTGACGCCATGACAACAAACGAGACAAGAACGCAACGGACAACATCCCCGTAAATACAATCACAGCGCCTTGAAAAGAGGAAACGCAATGCTTACTTAGTAAATCGTGTGAAACGGATTAAAAATCCAATTTTTGTTGCATAAAAATTATTTAATCGCCAATCACAGAGTGTTCGGAAAAATTTAGAGGAATCTTAGTCATCACCCCATTTCTACAGGCTACATCTCACAAAACCGATTGTATTCAATTTTTTTTTTAACTCCGTACCTTCCCAAATTCACTTTGCAGCTATCAAGATGTGGCCTAAAGGCATCAAGTCTAAGTCCTTTAAGGTGAGTCAATACGTTAGATCACTTGGATTAGGTTATATTCGTCCAGGGTTGGGTCAATAATTTTTTGAAAGGTGAATAATTCAGGTGATACCAGTATGGCGCTTCAGCAAAGTCAACCAAAGAAGTGGGAAGAAAAAAGAATATTGCATTAAACACACCTCTCAACATTTGAAAGGATGATGCGTAGGTCAAATTTAATCCGATATACATGATAGACGTCGCCGTCATATCACAGAGAGCAGGCGGAAGAAATATGAAGGGATTGAACCCTAATCCCCTTCGTTCCACAGTAGTCACAACTGGTGCGCCGTCCTCGTTGATCAAGCGCTCATTCTGTGGATAAACGGAGGAATCAGAAAGTTCTGCAGAAAATCCCTCACCTATCATTTAAAATAGTTTACACCTAACCATTCAATTATTATGAATACAACAAACCTCAGTCTGCGGCTTCTGCCACTTTAAATAAGCTTGGATGAGGAAGAAGGCCAATAAACAGGAAGTTTCCCCGAGGAACATTCCAGTTGCTTGAAGGAATGGATGAACAAAAGGAGCGGATTGTCCTGCACTATTTTTAGAGTCGATCTTGTCCGCCCATCTGCAAGAAACAAAAATCACTCATTTCATGCCTAATCAACCAAGTTCTTCGATAATACACTTACTTCGTCGAAAGAGTGTTGATTGAGCCTGTAACAACCATCAAAATGGCCACACCTAGTTGCTTGCGGGACCAGGCCATGTCACAAACTCAAGACTCAAGCGCTCTGAAACGAATACGGCATATCGCACATTAGTAATAAATACTGCATGCATGGTTCAACAGAATTTCTTGGAAAGGCCCACAAAAACGACTCGACAGAAGTAGTTATTTCAAATGCTCAACTGATTATTCTCTAACACTGCACCGTATCTCCCTCATGGAGGCGTCAGGAGTTTCCGAAGGGTCAACTCATTTAAAAGAGTAGCACAACATCAACTGATTTTTCGTTCTCAAGATTTGACTAAATTAACATCTGATGACTCGCAAGTCTTCCAAAATTTCACGCAAATCTATCATAAATGACTGGACCTTTCTAGGGAATTCTGCTACGGGCTTCGGGCATTCCCAAAAAACGAACCGCGTTTCCCAACTTTGAACACATGAATTTTCTTCATTGAGATCATGAACGGGACGGATTGAGGCGGAAATCACACTTATTTGACGCATTCATCGCAGTGCATGGACTAGAACGGATTAAACACAGAATTTTCTTTCATGGCGCCATTACTTCACTGACAGGCATTTTGATGATGGCCGAAAGCTTCGGGATAAAATCGTCACCTGAAAAATACGCGTAGGTTAGTTGCTTGAAAGTCAAAAGCACTTCCTAGCAGACCTTGTAAGATGAGAACTTGGAAATCGTCAGAGATTCCCATGTCAGAGATAAATTCAACACCAGCTTCTGGCTGAAGCGTAGCTCCAGGTATCAATAGCGGCAACTATTGAACAAACAATTTTTTAAATTACTAAGATTTCTTTTCTCAATGAATACATAGAAGAACTGTACGCGAATGTAGTGCTGATCCACTTTGTACAGCTTTTCATCGTAGTTGAAAGTAACAGCAAGGTCGCGGATTGATTTGTCGCAGGACGTATTCGTAACATCGATTCGAATGCGAAATGTAGGACCCAGCCCTATAACCTATGACGCGGAAATGATGGTCCCAGTAAGTGGTGAAGAATTTTAATCTTGGTTAGGGATCCGGGAATTCAAACACACCTGCGCGCCCAAAGCTACGGGTAAATCCCGATCGGATGATATAGGATTTGCACATTTTTCCAGGGATTCCACGAATGCTCGAGCGGTCTTCAAACGTAAGCGATACAAATCTTGTTGAAAAGCCCGATGCATGCCTGAAAATATAGGTCCAAGACAAACAAGTTAGAAAACGAGTTTCATGTAGTAAAAAACTTCGAAGCAATCGTACCGATCGGATCCTCGCGCTCTTTCACAGTTTGATCGACGAAGAGCTTGGTTTTCTTCGGTACGTTCAACTTCAACGACTGTTGGGACACTTGTGCGGAAGTGTCATCATCCAAAGGCTCCAGACGTGCCTGTCGTCGCAACATTTTCACTATAAGCCCGCCTCCTGAAACCCGATCACGTTACTAAGCGAACTATAAGAGAAAATTGGTGCAATAGATAGAACGCATTCAATGCTACAAACCTCTAGTTACAATAACCAGAGTGTTATCTTCCCGTCCGAAGCGCCCGAACTTCATCGAAGATACACCATCATGAATCTTGAAAGAATCGACTAAGGCTTTATCTTTGTACACCAAGACGCTTCCATCGCTGAGACCAACTGCTACTGCGGTCATGTCCAATTGCCGAACTTCGATCAATTCCGAGCATAATATTGACGCTGACAGCGTCAGATGCCACAAAATATTTCCCTGAGCAAAATAGCCAACGCATTTTAACCTTTTTCCATGGAATCGCATGAAGTTTGACAGGCATTAAAGTAAATTTCGATTCGAAGACACACACACTGTAACGTCCACGAATTTTGGACGGTTTCCAATTCGTTTCCAACTTTACCAACTCAGTAATTTTCGTCGACAATATTTTGATCTCGCCGGCATACTTTTGCTGCGTATTTTAGATTTATGCTTCGCCCTTCTAGTGGAATTGCTTGCCGTTGAGTTAAGTTTTTACAATACCGTATTTCTTCATAATTAATCATGTTAAATACCAAGAGATCTGTTAGGCAATCGGATAAGACAGATCGGGTGCTCAAGATTAGGGTTTAGGCAAACACACACTCAATAATCCCCCTCCATTGCAGAGATTGGCCACAATTCCAATAGATTGAGATTCAGAAGTGAGCCATGGTCAAATTCAGTTACTGTATAAAATACTCACCAGGAGTGAGTAGCAGCGAATGCTGTTATCCATACATGGCACAACAATCGTCTTGCCCACGATGTGCACACCAACAGGAGGTACTGAACATTTTGCCACCGTCGCGGCTTCATCATCTCCACGCTTCACCATCGCAATTGAACCATCACGACACCCAAGTACGAAGCGAAACTCGACATCGAACAACCCAGTCACATGTAAATGGGTCGGTACACCAGGCAAAGAAATGGCAGCAAGTATCGTGAATGCTTCGGGGTCCAAAACAAATGCAAGTGACGATTCAGTGCCCAAAACTAGACATGCAATGGCGTCGCTGTCTGCATGCGATTTCTTGAGAACCGTCATGCAAGTGATAACTGTTTGCTTCTTCAGAGGCTGTGCTTTGTGGTCAGATACAAATCTCGCCATGGATGGGCCATCGGTAATCATAAGAAATCTTTGAGATCGAGTTGTAAGGGACATCTCGCCGACTTCTTGTCGCAGTCCCTCCAACATTTCCCGAAGGGCTGGAAAACTGATCTGATCATCTTCCGCTTGTTTCCTAGAGAGAGAAAAAAAACTCAAGCAACTCTATGTATGCACAGCAATCCAATTCAAGAAAGGCTGCCTTGTTATTTCTTTACCCGCAGAGCAATGCCAAATTTCTGGTGCTATAATCGTGCTTGTATTCAAGAATTAACTATTTTTCGCTGCACACAACAACGACACAAGACAAGCTTATTGAAACGAGTAAATCGGCATGCAATGCGTACCAAAGATCTTCTTCAATCGGGTTGATTTCCAACGGAGGTAGAGTAAATTTGAAATAAGGTCTCAAATTCTTGTAGATGTACACATAAGCAGCTGAGGCAACTGCAATAGCTGAAAATTAACACATGAAAAATAATTGGCCCGAGCGGATAAATTACAGAAACATTTCCCAACCTGGAATTCGAGGTTGCATGGTTTCCATTTGAAAGGTAACAACAGATGTTGGGAGATCAACCAACGTGTTCTCAGTCTCCAGGGCCGTTCCTTTGTAAACCTTGGAGATAACCAACGAATGAATAATTTTCTCAGACAGGAAAAAATTAAAGAACGCAAAACATTATAAAGAAGAACACAGTAAAACCTTCAGTTTCATGTTGTACAATCCTGTTCCCAAGTCAGCGATGATCAACTTGCTGTCTCCATCTCCGTATAAATCGCACAGGCTCATGCATGAAGAAAATGTGTAGAGTGAAGCTAATGGATCCTTCCACGCTTCGATCCAGGAGTTTTTATCCTGCTTTTTCTCGTCACTATCATAACAGTAAAACAGAAAATTCAACACAGTCGCATCTGAGTAGATTTTAATCATGTATGACTTACGTTTCCCCGCCATCATCCGCAGCCATTTCGCATGTACAATTATTGAACGAATGAAATTATTTGTAAACCTAATATAGTCTGTGAAAAAACACAGGCACATAATGAATCATACAAGAATCAACCCAGAAGCAATTCCAAAATAAATAAGACAAATATTTTTGGCTTAAAATCAACTATATCAATTCCAAACTGAGTCGATTATCAAGAATTTTCACGGCCTGAAAAACGGTTAGTCGATGAATATCCAGTTCTCGCAAAGAATTTTTCTTCAGTTCATCACTCCTAGATGTGTTCAGCTCATCCCGCAATAGGATTGCAGAGCCCTTCGGTAAGTTGAGCAGAAAGACGGCTTCCGAGGCCGCTCGAAAATATTTGGAAAGTTTCTTGTCGAATTCTGTAAATACAACAATGAACCCTCGCTGCAAATCGATTCCCAGCTGTCTTCCTCCATCGACGCTGAACCTGTTGAGAAAAAGAAATCGAATATCTGTGTACAAAACTGTCATTTAAGGGAAGGGCCAACTTCGATGTAAAAATCCCACTTGAGCGCAGGAAAAAAGAGAAATATCCACATTCAAGGCTTTCCCATAAAATTCTTAGAAGTACAAAGGGAATCTAAAAAGTTGTAGAAAAATCACTTGGTCACAAAAAATTAGATGAAATATAAATGGCAATGGCCCTTGACACATACCCATATATCTTCGAATAGACGCCCCCGGCGTCAATTGAAAAAACTGCCCCTACCCCCAGGCGTTTATTGGAGACCGGCCATTATTTAAAATGTGAAACAAATAGATGGACATAAAAGCGTCAAAAAAGGTAAAACAGGAGGAATTGATCCTTTCTTTTCAGGAAACTGCAATTTCATTGATATTCTTCACAGGAATTTGAATGTTAGAATGAATCTTAGAAATTATTTGATGACTGAAATAAAATGAGCAGCAAAACAGGAGGTAGGAATTTACTAAACTAAAAATGATTTTTTAAGATGAACAGTTACTTCCAATTTGATTTTACAAAACTGAAAATTGGGAATAAATGTTGATGGATTGATCAAATACTGTGTCTTGAAGTTGCCAACGGAGTATTCTCTGTATGTACAGTATGTACTGTATGAAAATAAATTTGTTACAGTGATTCTGCTTTACAACAACATACAGAACTATTTATTATCCCACCATTCCTCCCCATGCTGAGATTATATACAACGGTTGGTTCATAAGTTTTGAACATTTTTGAAATACATTCAACAGAATTTTAAGAATTCCAAAGTTTATTTTCATAGTCCCATCATTTGACAACACTTGAGTCCTTTTCAAAGCACCCTCTGCTGACTTGAATGCATTTTTTTATGCAATAAACCCAATGATGAAAACAGTGCCAAAAAGTGATTAGTGCTTCACTTGATCAAGGTACTCTGAAATGAAACTGTCACTGTCCTCAAAATCAGTCCCTCTTGGACCGTTCTTCACTGTCAAAAGCAGAGAGAAGTCACGGGGTTCAATAGATTTTTTGTGATGATTTTTTTTATTCAATGACAAAAATGTTTGGACAAAAATTCAATGGAAAAAAAGATTCTTTGACTTCTGGTTGTTCCCACAGTGAAGAACAATCTGAAAAGGATTGATTACACGGACAGTGATAGCCTCATTTCCATCATCAAAAGAGTAGCTTGATCAACTAAGGCAATAATCAGTTTATGGCACTATTTTGATCATTGGGTTTATATTGAATGAAAAAATATATTGAAGTCAGAGGAGACTGGGTTAAACAGCACAGAAGTTTTGGCAAATTATGGGGCTATGAAGTAAAAACAATAGTTTGGAATCGTTAGTTCTGTTAGATTTATTCCAAATATTTTTAAAACTTATGGAAGATCCCTCATAAATGAAGTACAAATTGAGTCAAGCAGATGAATCTTGTCAAGACATCAAATGTGTGACAATATGGAATGAACAAATTGAAAAATAAATTTGTTGCATTTAGACAGATGAAAATAATGTGAGATTGCAATAAGAATTTAACTTTTATATTCGATAAACAGTTTAATTAATCAAGAAATCATTTTAAAAATGCCGAAGATCTTACCTGACTTCGCAGGCCAAATCGTCAACAAGGAACTTCGCAACGTCTGTTGCAACCTTTGCAGCAATTTTCCGGAACAGGGATTCGTTCAGCCTCAATTTCAACACGCGTAATCGACCTCTGATGACGTCTAAGAAAGAACACGCGGAACCAGACAGCTTGTACTTGTCTCCAACGTTCGTGGCAAACCACCGATCACGTTTGTATTCCAATGCTTGAGCGCTAATCTCTTCTCCCACTCTCGCGTGCAACGTGGAAACTAGGTCGTCCTCTGAATGCTGAAGTAGCTCGATCACTTCGTCGAAAAGTCCGGATACGCGATTGTTGTCAACACCAAACTCACATGACATCTGAGGGGAAAAAATACAGTAGAGCAAAGCGCTTTTAAAAATTCGAATTGTAAAAACTTCTTCCAATTCAACTACTGTATTTGCAGATTACATTGCATGTGAAACTCGTTCCATGTGATTCCGAAAAGAAACACAAGCAACGTGGATTCCGTTTACCGTGATCACAAATTTTTATAACGGTATTTGGAGGGATAAAAAAATAACTCACCACGTTTGGAAACGTCTTTTCCTTATAAAATTGCAACTCAACGAAAAGCGGCAAGTCGCTCCATTCCAGAATAACTTGTAAAATGTAGGAAATGGTGTTCAAAATGGGACACAATTTCGAATTAACGGGGTCTTTCCTTTCATCCCTCGCTAATTGCACCAACCTGGAAAAAATAAAATTCAGAATTTTGTGGCGCACATGCCCACAACACCGTTTCCAGGATATCAAATTGTTTTCCTCAAGATTTCCGCAAGATCAGGTTAAAGGGAGGGTTCATCCCTTGGCTTACCGAACACGGAAATCTTCAGCCAGTTCAACTTGAAGTTCCGCAAATTGGAGTCGATGTCCCGGCTGCACCAAACACCGATATCGATCCGTTATCGACAAAAGCATGCATAAGAACCTATCAGCACACTCGGTAACTTTCCAATCGCACTCTTCTTCACTAGCCAAATCGGTTAGCTCATCTTCCTCCGCAACAAATGCAGAATCTGACGCGAGAATCGCATCTACCTTATCTCCAGCAGATTTCCGTTCGATATCTAACCAGCGAGAAAAAATTCTCGCATTTGTCAAAACTGAAACTACCCCCGGATTTGAGCTCGGAAAAATGGGCGAATGAGCGGACCTCAACTCTTTATCGAATAACAGGGCTTCTTCGATGCAATGGGCGAGGACCACTGCAAAAAAAATGTGAACGTAAATAACTGTTGGACTGGCTGACATGAAATACATTTTACCATCGTCATCGTATTCATCAGCGTAGGATGTCAAGTCCAAATAGAGCTTTTCAACCGCTAATTCAACAAGTCCCTCCAAAAATTCGGTGGGCGCCGACTCTTGCAGTTTACCGGCTACTTGCTCCATGAACGGCAAACAATCCTTGGCCCATTTCAGAATCTAAAATCGAACACCACAACAATTAACATCGGATAAATCGAATGCATTTCCATGTTCAATCACGAAAAGCTTGACGCGACAACACTTCAGAAGAATATAGTGAAGTACTGTATTAGACGAAGTGGCAAATGCATAACGTACTTGAGTAAGGAACCACTCGGGCTTTTCCCTGTTGTTAGTCTCCTTGGTTCCAGTGAAATGGAATTTGAAACGCGTTGTCAACGGCTTCAACATAACTCGAATAGGTAACGTCGGCAATTCTTGGGTATTTGGAGGAGGAAAACATAATTTTGCGGCAAGCAAAAAGACAGCTTCAAACTTTTGCACATGTTCTGTCGTCCAAGGAATTTCGTTGCCACTTGTTTCAGAAAACGGCCACTTTAAAGCTGTCAGCGAATCGTCCAGTTCTTTAACTATATGTGTCTTGAGAAATTTATACCTGAACGAAAAAATAAGATATTCACCATCATTGCACACAAACATCGTTTCACAAATATCAGGGACCAAATCACAAGGAAAAGCGTCTCATTTAAAGTTATTCCGTGGTTGTCAGTTTGTCACGCAGAAAAATATTTTGAGTTTAAATTACAGGGACAGAATCGAAGGTCCCATCATACGCGACTGAAAAAAAAAAAAAAAAAAACAACTCGAACTACTGACTCACCAGGAAGAAGTAGTTTCTAAAAGATAACGACGCAAATGCGAAACTCGTTTCTCATCCCCACTTTCTAGGGTGTTGACACATTTCTTCGCCATATCAGCAAGGCATTTGTAGGATTCGACAGCGGTCACGTAGTTCTGTCGTGCGACGGAATTCGACATCTCCACGACTCGCGCTTGAACTTGTTCCACAATAGCTTTATACGACCGGGCACGACGAATCGCTCGCCCTTTAGTCACCATCGGAAACAAGATCTTGAACTGTTCCTCGCCTTCTTCTAATGCCTTTTCGGCGTCAATTATCAGCTTCTCTTGATCAATTTTAAGCTTTCGAAGGTCTCGCAGAGTGTTTTCCACAGTTTCTTTCAGTCTTTCTGAATCAAACGAAGAACAAATCACATAGAGCGTCAATAAATTACTACATCACTCTGTTCTGAAGCGTTCATCTTCAAAATAATTTTCATCAGCAAACAACTTGCACGGCTCTCACCTGAGCTGTCATCATTCACAGAACTTCTTGATGACTCCTCCAACCCGGCTTCAAGTTCAGCCTTCTCCTCCTCGAATTGCAATTCAATCTCATTTAACCTCGCAATTGAAGGCACGGAAGCACCCAATAGTTCGTTGACAACGCGCGTAACATCGCTCTCATTGGATGTTTTGGAACCCATAATCACGAACGACTGAGAAAATATGTTAAATGAAATGCACCAAATTTAAAGATAATTCATAATACAGAACAATTCACCGATGAAGTATCCAGATTTCCTCATCATCAATAACGAACACTAACAAATTTCACAAACGCGCGCAACATACATCAGAAACTTCTTGATTATCACATTTGGTGTTTTCCACCCATCTTGAAATCCATGGGTTTATCGTAACCCAGCATTTTTTCGTAGCCAGAGAGGTCAGTGAAATAATTCGGATCAGCGAAAAACGCGAGGTTTTTCACTTTGAATGACGTCAAAGGTCCACAGACTTCCGGAATTGTAACTTCATCCGGAGTAAACTCGACAGTTTTTTCGCGACACATGAATGAATAGGTTGTCGCAACAAACTTTGAGTCGCCATCCCACTTCACGCGAATAACGTACCTAGGAAATACGTGATTCATTCATTTCAAATTGTTTCGGTATTTACGATATCCGTAGAAATATTGAAAAAGTACTTTTTACTCTTCGTAGACGAAAAAATAATGAAAATAATAGTTGCCCGTCGAAAATTTCCTGCAAGTATATAACGACTGACAGGATAAAAAATTATTCGAGCATATACATTTTAGAAAATGGTCAAGCTTACGACCTAAATCCATTTTGAAAGATCAAATACTGTATCTTGAATGAAGAAAAAAGGTGTAGACAAGCTGTGTGGTGAAATGTAATAACATTTCAAAATGCGATTCGACGGGAATAGACTGTCTCGAATTGTTTTCGTTATTTTCAACTCACCTTTTTGCGAGCATGTGAAGAAGAAGCGGGGTAGCAAGAATAAAAAAACCGCAGAAACCGGCGAATAGCACTTTAAGCACGCCAGACGAATATGCCATGAGTTGGTTCATGAGTACGGGTTGTATCGCCAAACCAAGACCACTCGTACTCAGGGAGAACAACTTCACTAATTTCAACTGCTTCGCTAAAGGCCCTTCATAAATGGTATTCCACACTGCAGGGAACTCCGTTTTCTGCGCCAGTCGTTGATCGGTTTTGACGACGAACGTTCGAGATGAAGTCCAGAGCAGCGTATTCCCAAAAATATGCCCTCGGCACAACCGCGCGCTAACACCCCCTGTCACCCGCAACATCCTGTGATAAAATCCGCACTCACGAAGATAATTAAATTTTAGAGTCAACACATAATTTTTTTTTAAAGTGATCAAAACTCGTGAAGCCCAGAAGTACTCACCAATTTTAATCACCCATGAGAAATGAAACATTCCCGAAATCAAAATGCCCGTTACAATTCAAAATGACTATCTCATTATTTGCATCTCTTGAGATCCCAATTCCGAACATTCGAATGCGCGGGAAAAATAACGCCCCTCGCAAAAAAATCAGATCAAAACATAACACAATTAACATTCAATGTTGTGCTTCGAAGACAACCGTACTTTTGCAGATGGGACATTTTTCTTGAACGTAAAACCACTTCTGTAGACAATACCGGTGAAAACAGTGAAGACATGGTAGCATCCGACCTTCGTTGGTTATCTCTCCGAAGCATATCGGACACGCGTCATTAAACCTGGAAGAACAGTCGAATTTGAGATAAATACGATCATTGACATAAAAAGAAGCCACAAAACCTACACCTTAATCAGACAAGGGGTGACCAGGGTAGGTAAATGGGGAAAACGAGCATAAACGTAGCATAAACTTGTTAAGGACAATGAACCATGATCATAGTTACAGTACATAGATCGAAATGTATTTTTAAAAATACGTTCAATGTTAAACGATACACAAATTCAGGCGGAATAATTTCAATAGGCATCTTAATTTCTAGCCTCTCGGAAAAGAAAAAAAAACGTGCTATCCAATCCAGAACGGATAGAATTATCACGAGTCTCAAAAATTACCAGAAACTTTCTTCACACTCCGGATAGAAATGTTGACAAATATTTTCATAATAATGTATTGCAAAGAAAAACGTAAAATAGAATTGTTGAACCTTGAAAGGAAACTCAACTCATGTACACGGCTGCTGATCTGACATAGAAAAAACGTGTCGGAAAAAGTTGCTGTTTTCTCAAATCTGCAACCAATTGTAGCGCTGCACTAAAATCATTATTTAATTGGAACTTATCAACAACGATGAACGATAGACTTATGAACGTTTCTCTGTGACGAATACAAATCTTGGACTAGCCCATGAACTAACGCTGTGCTTGCGAATCCTAGATGCCATCGATTCTAAGAGGCGCCCTGAACTTCTTGAGGGTCGCAATTAGAAAAAAGGGCCTCATACTCGTTTGAATACCGCACTTTTAAACCAACCTCTTCGCGTCTTCTAGCTTCACGCTCGGCAAAGCTTTAACTTTTTTCACGGCATCCTTGCGCCTCAAGAAAGAGGTCCAGCCCGCTTGTAGCCGTTGCCAAACATTGAAATAGCAATGCACGAAGACAATGGAACAGTTCATCATCGACCACTCTTCCCCGAACAATTCTTTCAGACCAACGCACACCACGAAAACGGCGATAAGAAATTCCAGAACTCGCGTCATCGCTCGGGCACCATAAACGACTTCATCCAGCTTCGTCCATGGTTCAGTTTTCGTCATGTCGTATAAAAAAAGACAATAGACGATCAGCAATCCCAGTACCTTCGGATTAACACGAAAATATAATAGCAGCACATGCTCTTCAACACAGTAAATAATAATATTGCTTACTTGAACGCTGGTTACAAGACACGTCGAAATCACGATGAGCGACCAGAAATCCAAATCCAAAACTTGGCTCAACATGATTGTCATACAGAGTGGAAAGATGAACAAAGCCAAGCACAAAACCACCGCTCGTCCATGTTTTATCAATGAGGCACGACTGAACTTCACTTCAGACGCACCGAGCGCCAAGACTACTGGTTCTGTCACTTCAAAGGCAGACTGAACCAGCGATGAAAATACAATGAACAAGATAATTGACATGAGACCAGCTTTTTCCGGCATTTCGGTATCCACTAGACTTCCCTGAAAAAAGAAAGGGAAAAAAACGGATTATAATCATTGAAAGAAATCGACCAATTCAATAATGTACCTGAAATGCAAGCAAAGTGAACGTGAATCCTTCGGTCCACCCGGATTGTAGAAAGAAGTCTTGATCGCCATAATTTGAACCATCGCCAACAAGAAATATTTTCAAAGCGATCAACAGAAGCTTTGATGTCTGGCCAATCATAACGCCAGTTGCGACAAGTCCAATCGGTGAGCAACACGAATTCGCAGCAGCACTGACCAGGCACAAAAGCGACGGCGCTTCTGTTTGACAAGTTACGAACAGGTTCGAAATAAACAGAAAAATCCAAAGCAGCAAGAATTGCGCAGGAAGCAACTGATCAAAGAACCGGAGAGAAGAATATCCTGATATGATGGAATCTTGTTCCGCTTCACTTGCTGAGCAAGTTTCATTCCAGCGCTTCCTCGCCCAATTCATCAACGCAGGGAAAACGATGGTAATGACATATATTCCCGCGGCGATAAGCAGAACAACCGAAAGGATGTTGTGCAAGAGTAACATAGTATCACCACGCACGCCTGCTATTCTGGTCAACACCTAATAAACAGAGATATAGTTGAAAAACAATAACACTTGATGCTTTAAATTTTCTTACAGGAAGGCAATGACTGCAAAGGAGTAATCTCTTCTTGTCATTTCGAATGTCCAGGAGAAAACAGACGAAGGCTGCGATGATGAGATGAAAGGCGATAGCCGCAAAATGACGCAGCTGACCTTTGGGATACTGCAGGCTCAATGCTTCGATTTCCGAGACCACATAATAACGGCTAAAAATATCGGAGACAACAAGAAGAATGGCGGCAAATGTATGCATGTACACTGCGACAAGTGCCTCCAAATTCAGCGTAGATAGTAAGCAACCAGCACCGAACACTGTAGGAAACGAAACAGAATACTGTACATATACTTCTCGACTGTAAGCGATTAATTCCAGGGATTTCCTACTCACTCGGCAACAGCAAAGTTAATGGCAACGACACTTCTCGATCGTCCGGGGGTCGCAGCTGCCACCATCTATCCAGTAAGTACAATCCCGGGGTTCGTAGCACTATCACTAGCGCGGATTCGAACTGTTTCGAATCTATGTTCACCCTCATCTTCGCTCTTATCATCGACGCACCGCCGAGACGACGAATTTTCAGGAACACATTGTCAAGTGTGCGAGTTTAGGTACTAGAGCCCAAGTTTCAACGATCAGAGCTTACACGCTTGCTCAAGTTATATCAAAACAAGATAATCGCCAAACATCAGCTAGAACTTCAACGGATGCCAAATAATACACGTATTCATAATTCCGGAAAGGAGAGTTTCATATCTGCAGTGAATACCCAACCAAAAACTAAGACTAATTTTACATAACGCGGGGGGTTTTCTGCGGGATCACTTCCGCGATGAAAACTTCCACGGCCGTTCCATCCGCGGCGATTTTTGAAGTGACATTATTCACTCCCGCAGAGAATACAGGACACATTCAATTCCGCGGAAGGTGTTGCAGACATTTAAGGCCTGTACGTTATGTGTTTGTTCAGTCACTTTTCCCGAAGTTTCCTTCAATACAGTGTACATTTTATAGACATAGAACGACAGCATGTTCAATGATTAAAATACCGGCACACCTAAAAAAAAATTCATAACTTCCTGGGACATGGCAATGATGAGGTGTTGATTTAGAATCTAAAAATGATTTCACAATCCTTTATCAAGGACAATTTCTTCGCATAAAAATTATTTTTGGTGGCTAATTGTTTGATTATACTGTATTGTACTTCATGTTTAATAGGCCCTGATGCGCAGCTCTCCCCCCCCCTTACCTTTATAATATAAGCGTCCAACGCTTTTCCTGGTGGAGTGGGAAGGACATGTACATGGACTGCTGGATCCAATAATCCGTGGAACATCAGTTGAAAATGACATGTAATGCCCCAGAATTTCCTCATTTGTCTGGATTATGACTTGAGCTAAAGAATCATTCAAGAAGAGACAAACCCGGTCCTAATTTCTGTCAGATAAACCAGCCCTGGCCTTATCTAAAATAAAGAAGCAACTCACTAAATTGCATGCAGACGCATCATAAATCAAAACGAAGTTTGCTCAAGTTTCGAACATCACCCGAGCCTGAAGAAAGTACGGCATTCCTTTCGGCCGAAAATTCGCGCAGATCAAGCAGAAAATTGAGAAGTCCACTTTCGGTATCAGAATCACGTATATTTTTCATAATTTCATATTATTTGTCATATCATGATAATTCTCAAGCACATAATTCCGGACCAATCAATCAATCATCCAAGTGTGGCAGTCTGGCAGATTATGCAATAATGCACAAAACATAAGGCAAGGAACTAAATTATGATATAATGAAGGATGAGATTCTCATCAACCAACTTTTTTCTTGCTTGAAGAAATGAAGTTAACTGCTTGTGGTGTAGTACTTTTTTACTAGCATCCTCAAGACTTCTTCCTAGCTTGAGAAGTAACCCATAAAATGAGGGCAATCGAATGACTTTCTACCGCTTCGAACAGCAAGCAAAGATATGTTACGATAAAAATAGACGTAGCCACGAACTTCTGATACTGCCAGCATGTATACATCCCAAAATAAATTCGAATGTGAAAAGATAATTCACACTTGCTCACAGCACTGGATTACCTGAAAAAATTATTTAAACAATTAGAAACTGAGCTGAGCCGTAACCCACTTCAGAACAATGAACAAGTCCGAACTGGCATTTCATCGACAAAACAAAAGCATTTTATTTCCCCAAACATTTCCAACAGAAAAACGGTAGCCACGCCGACATCAACATTCGATCACTTCAATTCACGAAGGAAAAAACGAATGATTTCCTAATAAAAGCTGGGAATATATTTCTAACGGCAATCCAATCAAGTAGCACCGATCAAACGAGTGAAATTACGCAACGTAGAAGCCCGCTCACATTGCATTCATCAATAATTGTCTATGTCATCCAACGTCTCGAGTAAAAAAAACATTGTTTCATCAAAAGAGGAATACTGTACCGTCCTAGCTCAAGCATATGCTGAGAAACTCTTGTTCGACACAACTACAGTTCTTGCTTGCCGACATTCAGTGTCGAACAATCGAGCCAAGTAGAGAACACGACTTCGGGAGAAACGGCGTCAATTCCATCGAACTTATGGAAAGTAATAGCTTTCTCTCCCATCAAGTATTCTTCAGGGTAATCCACAGGACGAGCCTAAAAAATCGTAACACCAATCAATGGGATTTTCTCCTTTTAAATACACGCAAATACATTACCTGATGGAATGAGTCAGAGTGAAGTACAGTTACTCCAGCAGCAGTCATGCAAGCACCGAGTATCATGTCATCCGGATCGTCAGCATTTTGGCACGCACAACCCAACTTCAGCAACGCAACAGCAGCAGCTCGGCTCAATAAAATACCAGCCCCACCTGAATTATGATTCAACACAGTTGAACATGACCCAGCTTAAAGGGGATATTTAAAATGAAGAACTGTACATGAAATTTTACATGTTTACATTCGCATTGAATACATTAGTACGTATTTACCAGTCAAATAATTGTAGCCCATACGGCCTTTTCTCACGTTGACCGAAAATCCGTATCGTTGACCAAGTGAAATAAGTGACGATGGATCAAGCTGTTGGACCCTCGAACATAATCTTCGGGGGCTACAAAAAAGAACATTTTCCTGTAATCGAGCATTCAAGAAGGAGAAATTCCTCGAAAAATACTACATCACCTCAACAGAGTGTCATCGTCAACAACAAATAGCCACAAATACTCCTTCAGATTTTCAACAAAATAATTAATGATATCCAAGGTTTTGGAACAATGACCTTTCAGCGTATTTGGTACTCTCTGTTCGATCGTTGGCACTTCCGGGTCTAAACAAAGAAAAAGGAATATGTCGGTAAAAAAAGCACGCCTTTCAAATTTAAAAATTTACCATCAATATCACTGAAGAATCCAATGCCACCAGTAATGAAAGGCACCCATGTTCTTTTCAAAATAGGCACTCTCGTGGCATGATGACCATGAAAAGTCTTCACAGCAACGTATATATCTGAGCAGATTCCAGCGCCGCTGCTACAGATCTTCATCAAAGAAATACAGTACGCCACAGCTTAAAAATCTGATCATCATCAATTGTAACGGCATCAAACAAAAACATAACCGTACAGCGAAAAATCTCTAAAACCGTAGAGCTCTTGGTGTGTTTAATTTCAAAGGTAAAAAATACACGGGAGTTCAATAATTTTGACAAAACATTTTCGACTGATCAATATCCGTTTACAGTATTGTCAACATCAACTGTTGGAGCATCAAGTTAAAAGACCTGTAGCTGATTTAATTTTTTCATCTCAACATAAATAGAATCAGACGCAATGCAGCTGCTTTTGAATTGGTTTTCCCCGTCCGTTATAAGCAATGCATTCAATGCGTGCATCTATTAATCCTTTTCGGGTTTAAAATTTCAATTTTTCGGTTTGAAATAATGTAGATTTTTGATAATAGTATCCAAATTAAACAAGAACAAATTTAGATGATAATTAAAGCTTTCGTAGCTAGCTCCAGGATAAAATTGGTGCATTAATTTTTCTTCCATGGAAGGTTTGTAATTAAAGGATCATCGAGGCAGGTACCGTGTACTCCTCATGAAATCTGCGCAAATGGCAACTTCGAACACCAGGCGGTTCATCATTTTGAGGCACGAAGCGGAAACGTATCCCATGGATCACCGATTTATTACTGAACGGCACCTATTCAACGTCTCGATCCGTTACATTTAGTACAGTTCTGTACTGTACTGTGAATTGAACACGCTCGCATTGTAGCTGACGTAGGTGAGACATGACTGCAATTTTCCACTCGATGTAGACATCATCTGATCCCATAATGAGATCAGAAGAACGACTTGGCCAAGTGAAACCCATACACGAAAATAAATTCAAATTCACTAACACAGGAGCTCATTTGTGGATGACCCGAAATCACAGCACAGCGTTCAGAGGCTTCATGTATAGCACAGAATCTCTCATCTGCTGTCACCACTAAGCCGGCTTTTCCTTTCGCAAACGCTGCGAATTCATACCCTGCGTCGATGGAAAAAGCATCACGCGGCGCTTCTCGACGTAGAGCCAACAAAAGCCTGTGTTGCACGTGAATTAGACACGCTGATGCACCACACTGAATAAATTGCTGCGGCTTACGAGTCGAATGCAGGCCTGGATATCAATAACCCATATCGAAGGATAGGATACACAAGCTTTTCAGAAGAATAATGATGAATCACAGTGGAGCGACGATCAACAGCGCATTTGGAAAGAATAATCTTCTGCAAAAAAAAGACATGACCATAATCTTCAGAAGCTTGAATCTTAAGATTGCATAATGAATAAGAGAAGAACACTACAATACCTCATCAAGATCGACGCTCTTCAAAAAGGCACCAAGCCCACTCCATGAAACCTCCGAATTTGCCTCACCCAAGAACAGAATTGAACGTGTGCTATTCTTCAGCTTGCGATCAGTGCTGAAAGAAATTGCAAATATAGTACGTTTCTACCCCCACAATGAGCATAAAACACGATGACGAAATGTAATCACCTCTCAAAAATTGGCAGCAATGTCCAATAACCTGGGAATAGGAATTGCTCTTCTCGTCCAAAATTAATGAAAAGCGGCGCCTCCTAATCGAGATGCGGACATTTGCACTAGTATAATTTTTAGAAAATAAAAACATAACTCACTTCTGCGAATAACGTCCTATGCGCAGTCTCATCAAAACTAACTACAGCCAAGTTTCCTATGCCTAAAATACCAACAGAAAATTAAAATCAGAAGAAAAAAGATGCGACGCGTGAACCAATGCCAAATCTAATTAACCAAAGTAAGACTCACCCTTAGATTGTGCGTCAGATGAACCAAGAGGCAAAACGAGACATGCGCAATGCAAAATTCGAAACAAGGAAGCACCGAATTCCATCAAAGAACTATAAATGCACTATTCATAACAATCCACCGTCATTAACATCAATAATATAATTCAATAGTTTGGAATGAAACATACACAGATGTGATAAACAAACTCGTATAATCCCATTAAATCACCTTGAAAATCTCAACTGAATAGAGCACTGATACTCGTGCGATTCTTCCAAATCACACCGATTTCCCACGCGAACACCGTCTGCAAAACCGACCCCATGTTTCAAGTGTACATTCTTGATCCGAATTAAATTAACTAAAAATAATGATAATAATCGAAGGCTCAATCGGTACCGAACTGAAATGTGAAAGATCAGTTCATAATTCTGCCTCCATGCACAGCATCACGCATCAGTTCAATCGTCCCTCAAATTAAAATCACCATTGAAATGGGAAATGAAAATTTGAAAACGACACGTCCGAATTTGTAATACACCCACGGCTCCAATGATGCGAACGCTGACAAGAACCTGCTTGAATCCGTAACATCGACGTTCAAGCAATTATTAGCCAGAAAACGAAAAGAATGGCGATCCAAATGAAGACTTTCGATAGGAACTGCTCTTCAGCGGCTTGCGTGGTACCAGGTACGGCTGTAAGAGTAGCAGATTTACAAGCAGTCAATATAGACAAACTTTTGAATTTCGGACCAACGTCGTGGAGATGAATACTGTGATCCGAAATTGAATTGAATCGTTTAATATTACAGTATACGTAAGCTTAAAAAAATAAAAATTCAGCACACATAGAAAAAAAAATGCGACAAATCTTGAGAAAAAAAATGTCAAAAAGATTTTAACTCAAGAATCTGGAATTATTTTACTTCGATGAAAGATTAATCAGAAGTTCACCAGTTTAAAACTGAATAAAATTTTAAGCAGTCGATTTATGAAAAAGAAAGAAAATTACCAGAAACTGCTTAAATTTTCGGAAAAAATTTATTAAAACCTCATGATCAATACTCCTGGCAATTCAACCGACTTTCACCTCACCATTATTCCCATGGAGTTTGCTATAAAGAAGCAAGTTAGAATCAACTCCATTTGTGCCACAAAAAGGACAGCAATACATTACGGAGTTCGTCTCGAACTTTTCCTCGCGCTAGCGTATACGGTACGTAAACTAGTATCACAACTCACGAGCTGGAGGGCGTGGGTCACCAAAATTAAAAGATGAAGTGAAGAATCCAAATGGGAACGCTCCAATCCCGAATGACATTTGGAAACCTCCATCGAAACCAAATCCTCCGAAAGAACCACTCTAAAAACAAAATAATACATGGGACAGATTCATCTTGAAAAAAAAAAAAACTTCAAAAATCGAACCTGTGTTTCGGGTTCCGAACGTTGGCCGGGCGGTCTGGGAGGGAGTTTCTGTCGAGGATCTTCTTGCTTCGAATCTCCCCTCCCGTACAGAGGAATAACCTTGTCTTTAGAAATTCCAGCTTTACATACAGGACATACTTGTCGACGAGGCCTGGTTTCAAGCCACTGATGGAGACAAGGCCAGCTACGGGAAACAAACAGATCACCTCAGCTCTGATAAACATCAAACTTGAAAATAACTCTAGCAACACCAACCAGAACAGATGGCCGCACATACTGATCACAGCATCTTTTGCTGGATCAAAACATATGTTGCAATCAAACGCACCGTTCGCAGAATTTTTATCTTCCTCATTTTCACTGTTATTCGCATTCGATGCGTCTGGTGTGTCGTCGGCTGCCGTAGCCATTTCAACGGTGACACCCAAAAATAAAATTTCGATCGACCACTTCTGTCAAAAAATTAACGAGAGTGACCATCAGGATTTAACGAACATTCAATCTAGGCTAAAAACGTCCTAAAAAGCAAGAAAACTTTATCGAACATACAGAAAACACAAGCGCGCATCAAGAAAAAAAAAAGGAACACTGGAAAGAATCACTTCCGTTCTTCCGTAGCTCCACCCAAATTGAATTTGGCTTTCACTTTTTCCAAGTCCTCCCGCTTCTGGTCGGAATCCATGCGCTTGAATGCTTTATTTGCTTGGTAATAAAGCACAACGAGGTATCGTCCACACACGTTGAACCCAGAGAGGTGATCGCACGCGCTTTTGGCGTCAAAAATGTCTTCGTAAACAACAAAAGCAGTACCTCTAGTTTCGGGGGTATTTCCAACTCTGATCTGGCGTATGGCTCCATACTTTCCGAAGATATCGTACATTTCGTCTCCACTGATCTTATACGGTAGATTTCTGACGTAGAGCACGCGATTCACTTCGGGGGGAAGGCGAACTGTGTTCTTCTTTTGCATAGCCATAATTAAAATCACCCAAAAGCACGTCGGAATAGTCCTGCAATGAATTCGTGTTCAGAATTGAATTATGAAAATCAAATGAAGAAGCAAGAACATCATTTCTACCAAGTACATCACATGAACTACACCTCTCGCACGCAATTCAAAAGCGAAACGATGCATATGCTATCTGACGGCCGCGACACATAAGCATTGCATCAGATCAAGGGCACCACACGAAACCGATTTCGATGCCTATCTGGATAAGGTCTTACTTTGATGCTGCCCATCATCTCCCCGTACGGACACTCAAATTGACTGAACTGCTCAATCAAGGACAACAACCAAGACCACGAGTTCCGAGCTGCTACGCATCAACGGGAGCGGGGAGTGGAGTCACGTTGAAAACGGTAACAAAACCTGGAAAATGTGTACTCCTGGTTGGTTGAAGTGAAAGAAGTAATTTTTCCATATTTGCAGCAAATCAGAAAAGAAAATAAAAAGGTTCGATGCATGCAGTCGACCACCTGGCTATATAGGCTGTCCATCTACAGAACCCCCAGAGCACCACCAGAGTTGGAGAATCAAAAATACAGTACTACAGTATATGTATACATGCAGTACTGCATTATACTGTACAATATAATACAGTATTGTACAGTACAGTACTGTGAGATCCAACACAATGTACTGTATCTAGTGTATCACACATCATGAGATGGTCACAAAATTCCGCTGTACCCATCATGGTACAATTCTTCCTGAACGTTAACCGTCATCAAGCCTATTACAGACTTGATACATTCTGGAGCTCTGGAGCCATGCGAATTATTTTTCTCCCAACTCGATAATCGAGTTTTGAAAAATTATAATCCGTTTTGAATAAACGCAATTCAATCCTTCTTCCATGGCAATGACGATTCATCGTTTCTTCAAGGGGCTGTGCGTATTCTTGGTACCGTATCGCATACAGTATACAAGTTTAGCTTGGCAACAGTCGCTTTCACCATTCGATGACGCGTGCCTTAGAATTATATTTTCGGATTACAATGCCCTCCCCTCTTATTTATTTCACGATATTGTAATAGTGTTATGTATGCTTCCAATTGATAAGAGGCAAAAATCGAAGTGTCTCGATTTCCCAGGGCAGCAGGCAGGAAAAATTGTGCGCAGGAATTACCGTACCTTGAACAATAAAATACATCAATATGCAGCTTTAAAAAAATCGCGTATATACTAAGCATGTTTGAGTGCTTGATAGGCACAAAATAACCTCGTTTATTCGGGATTCAATGCATTGATTACCAGCATGGATGTTGATTTCGAGCAATAAAAAACCGTAAGATCAGCAAGATCGCAAAAATCCGCATTCAGCAAGTGCATCGATCTCGACTTGTCAATATCCAAGCAGATATCGACTGCTTACTAAATTTTACTTTATTGTCTATGATCATCGATTTTGATCACGTCATTCAGTATAATCTAACATCCTTCATTCTCGATTTTCCTTTTATTAATACTGTATGACAATCCAAAATAGCTGTAACTGCCGATACAAATTAGCACGGCAATTGAAATTACTGTACATCAATGTCACATGCTGTATTATGCACCAAAAAATGAAATCACTGCTGTTCCACATTATATTGTACATAGCAGCAACAACAAAAAGCAGGTATCCATGGCGATGAGATCCAAGAGGAGAATTATTCGTACATACGAAAGATGGCTTTTTATTCCTTTCATGGATCGTCATCTATTGAATATCAAGATCGTTAATGCATCACGTATGCGTATACTGTATGCCTAATTAGCTTCTGACACGGAGTATGTTAAACATTATTCTATATTTTCATTTGCCCACTTTCAGGGCTTCATCTCTGTCTGGGCATCATTTTATGGTCTTGAGACATGGATACACGTAATTCACAGCTATTGATACAATGCACGTAGTCGAAATATACTTTGAAGCATTATGAATCATCCCGGCTGCTATGGTTTCAGCTCGATGATGCATTGTACGTTAAATAAGAACGTCAAGAATCTCCCGAGTGTAAAACTCGAAAAATTTTAGTTTCTTTTCCATACAATGCCGAGTACCGCCAGACGAGTATTCAATCCATCGTGTACCGTGTGAAAAGTTTTCCTCAAAAAAAAAAAACAATGAGAAGCAGAGGATTAGAAATGTAGCATATCACACAGAATGTGCAGCTATCCGGGTAAACTTTATCATTGATTGTTCACTATAGAGATAAAAAGTAGAGTATTGCATAAACGCAAAAAATCTCCAACAAAGTACAGTAGATCAAGTATGACAAATTATCGGATGAAAGATCTTCAGTTTTGGAGAGAGGATTCTGCTATGAATCACAGTCCCTCTCTATTCTTATTCTCACACACTCACTCTCTCTCTATCCGACATATACATTTCTCTCACCTTTTTTCTTCCTCTTTCTCTCCCTCCCTCTCATACATAGGCTTTTTTTTCCCGAGCAAAGGTGAAGATTTTCCTTTTTCACTCATCTTCCCGGCATTTTTGCGGGTGCAAAAATAAACCCTGGGAGGAGGATATATGCATGTAGAAGGACGGAGAGTTTAAAACCCACCTGAATGACGCAGGGGGCTTTCAGTGCTGCTTCCGTCGAGCTGCGCGGAGCCGGGGAACATAAAACCGGCTCCGACGCGCTCCGGGGGAGGCCCTCGCAGTTCACCCCGACGTTTGACCTTTTCGCACAATTTCTTCGCCGGATCCCGTTCCTGGTTATCTCTCCCTCTTTCTCTGCCCCCCATACGTGTCAAAAGAAGAACCGTTTCGGCCTTTCATCCGACGTCCACGTTTATTCGCGTAATATACGAACGGACGAGCGGATATACAATTGAAGCGCGAACGAGGCATTGAGGACGAGATCGACGATGTCGAGGGACAAAATGAGGCATCATCTGTTATTCGTTCCTCAACGAAGCGGGAGGTTGCTGGTGAAAGCGTCGCATAGAAGGTGAGTCAACGAGTATTGTACTTCTTGGATTTAACATTTATGCGAACTGTTGCGTACATATAACCGAACATTTTCAGAGCTAGCCCAAAGATTATGTACTGTACAGCAGTTCCTCGCTGAAATATAAGGGCTTGCGAACAATTTATGATTTCATGTAAATGAAAAGTCTACTATATTTTCCATTTAAAAAATCGACTAACGCATAATATTTTAATAGTGCTCTAAAAAGTAATCTTAAATCACCAGTTTCCTCTGCAATGAATCGCGCCTACATATGTATCACCCATTATTACGGGTAAGGGTTTATAAGGTACAGTGCGGTAGATTCCCAAGAAATGGAATTAATTCATACAATTTTAAACTGTACATGGGTTGGATCACTTTGGAGGTGTGGGAAGTAATGTTTTCAAGAGAAGATAAGAGGAAAATATTCAAGAAAAATTCAGAGATTTACAATAAAAATACAAAAATTCAATAATGGAGGATTGGTCTAAAACAAGGACATAGAATTACAATATCTTGAAAAGTACAGGACCTCGCTTATTTTGGACAGGGCTTGCAGCATACATCCAGAGGGCAAATCAATGTCTGAAAATACTGTAATACTACCTGGCATTCAAACAAAATGCGTAGATTTTTCGCTTAAGTTGGTCGAAGAAAGAATCTTACGAATTGAAAGCACATTTTATTGCTGCTTTCGAAAGGATTTATTATCAAGTTCCTTTCGAGTTAGAATCGATTTAGGACAGACACTTACGAATTTCTTAAATACTGTACCTGTATAAAACATAATACTCCCTGACACTGATCTTGCGAGAAATATAAAAAAAACACTAGCACCTGTTTTCATAAAGTTAAAAATCCTAGACACTTCCTTTTCAACGCTTTTTAAAATTTTAAATGATTCAATCAATGGTTGTTCAATTTTTCTCAGGGGCGATGGGATCCTTCCAGAAAGATTTAATACTTCTGCAACTAACGAAGGTTTATTCTTCGCATACTTTCTATAAATTTAAAAGCAACTTTTCCAGCACGATATTTTCAGCCTAGACGAGGTACAAATTTTTTCGGCGAGTGAAAATAAAATTTGCCAGTAATTGTTTTTCATATTTTCAACAAAATAATAAAATGAATGCTTTTCATATCGCAAAAATGAGTAAATATAAAAAGTTTTCCATTCAAAAACTATTTCACGATTTTAAGAACGCATGATTTTTAAACTTAAAATAATTTTAATAATTGCCCGAAGATCAACGTGCTGTGAAATCTGAAAAGTTCTTTAAGAAGATCTCATGCCTGTATTTAATACAATTATTATTGCAAAATACTGCACACTTTAAATTCCGGGTGAACTTCTTTCGTGGGCAAGAGATCCCGTGAATTTTCAATATGAGCATTCTCTTTTATCGAACATTTTTTTCTGAAATTCAAATTGGCTAAAAATGGATGACTCATCGCGCAGCGAGATTTACTTTCAATTTGTTTTTCTCTCGTTAAACGATTAAGCTTCAAAATAGATTAAAAACAGGACAACCTAGCCGAAAGCGTGATTATAAATAACCTTCTGTCCGCGTAAAAATCCCCACTTCGCTCACTGCGAGATTACAGTATACTGCGTAAGGGAGACCGAGACTTACCTATAAGCGAGCTCTTGTACGTAATTATTTTATTTTTAGAATTTGTCGGAAACCGACGTCGTCACATTCATCCCGAATTCCCGAAAATGCATATAGTGATGTTCTAGACATGCTGGGAGCTTTTCCCCCCTACCCTCAGTCACTTTTCCGGACGCAAAAAAGATTTAGGGACACTTCGGAGACCTATTTGAGCCTCCTGTGGGGAATCATTCATCACTGACACCACACAGGGGTCTACCCCCTCCACAAGGTGAACGTCAAATTTGCGTCACCAAAATAGTACGCGGTGGCTTCATTTAAATAAGCCCTCATTCTTTAACCTTTTTTAAAAAAGACCCCCTCTGAATGCCTTCCGCTGAAAGATGCAACGTTGTCATTTTTTTTTTAACTGGAACTGTTACTAAAACGTGATCCACGGCTTACTCATTACGGTGTTTTCCCGGATATTCTCCTCATGAATGTAAGTCATATTCAACCCTACGCCCGAGGGCACATACAGTATTGCGTAACATATAAATTATATATCTATAACCAGAGTAAGCTTTCGATAATATAAATAAGTTTTATTTTTAATGTCGGGCCATCCGAGTAAACGAGTAAATTTAGTTCAGGAAATGACAGATTGAGGCTGTTGTGTTCGCATGAATGTTTTTCAAAAACACTTTAATCTTCGGAGTTGAATTCAGCTTCACTGCATTATTTATTTTTTTTGTATTTTTAAATACAAAAATTGGAACATATCCGGTACGTAAAATGTACGAAGTGAAATTAAATTCTCGTGAATTTATTCATAATTCAAAATTATAAAAGAAATGTCTTTATTTTGAGAGTACGGTTTTTCTACGGAACAATCGAAGCAAGCCTTGTTGAATCTTTCGAGACTCATCAAGGAATCTTATTCAAAGTTATTCATTGATTCTCGATATAGAGACCCAATCAACAACGAAATTCAAGAAAATTATTTTCTCCTGGGGTTACTTACCGCTCTAGAAAAAGGAAGTCGCTGAACTCATTCATTCTCAAAGAGTTCCCTTGCTGGATCAGGGGAAGAACCCGAAAGAAAATTGCGGTCAAAGAAATGGAACACGAGAGACAGAAATAAGAAGGGAGCATTGTACCAAGTTTGCAACCCAAAGACGGCGAATAACTTTTCGCTCTCCTCCCTGTGCTCTGCTATTTTCTGCCTGGCTTCATTTCAGAGCTTCCTTTTTTTATTACTTCCTGTCTGATTTCCCCTTCCGGCGGCAGAAAATAAAGCCCCCAGCACAAGAGGTGAAAATATGTATCATGTCTATTTTTAAATGCCCCCGAAGCGCCCATAAAAGCATCAGTGGTGTTTAACGACAAGCTGTCGGGAAGTACGATATTTTTTGACACGGTGTCAGTCCAAAGTTTCTTGACTAAAATATACGGTAGGTTGAATAAATTTTTTAAAGGGCATCACGCTCAATTTTTGACAGAAATTTGAATTTCATAGGCAAACAGTAAAAGCTAGAAACTAACGCGACAAAGTGTCAATTTATTGTTGGAAAATACTAGCTTATAAAAGGGACGACAATAACGAGTCTCTCGTGAAAAAACGTTTGCGTAATACCGTAATTGTCCACGAATCCTCTATTTTTTAAAGGTATTATAGTAAATTAAACTTTTCATAAGATCTATATCTTTAAAAACGCGAGTCAAGAGAATAATCAAAATTTTTCATGAAAAAACTCGGAACACAGCAACAAAAAATCCTCTTGGTCTTATCAATAAAAGCAGTATGCTGTTCTTGATTGTGAACTTTTTCAGACAGTTTATAACGATAAACAAAATCCAAGTTTCCCGACGTAGATTACCCTTCAAATGATTTTAAATTGAAGAAAAAATTTCGAATACTACTTCCGGAAATGTTGCTGAGGTGATCCAAATGCTGTATTAAAACCCGCTTCTCTTCAAATGATGCTCTCATTTCTGATAACTTATACAGAATGCAACTGTTTAAACGAACTTCTCCACTTTTGAAAATAAAACAACTGATTCCGCATAATTTTAAAAACCTATTCGCTTTTTTAAGCTCTTCCTAATTGTAAACAGCAATTAGGAAGAGCAAAAATTGGAAAAAAGACTTTCAAGTTGACAGCTCGTAACCTCGTATCAATACGCCGTGAATTTTTCACGTACCTCTCGAAAAATATTTTGATTGGTCTCAGCAGCTGGGTTCACGTATACTGTACTTAATTTTATTTTTTTCAATTATTATTTACATCATAGAATTTCGTAAAACTCAAAAAAGGTTTTTTAACAAAAGCTACTCGGATTTATAGAGAAAAATTTACTGGAGTTTTCCAAGTTCGGGCCATTTTACCAGCATACTACAGCAGCGGATGGGTTTCTTTCGAAATGATTTAAAAGATATCATCGTAAGAAAGTTCGTCTTGAGATTGAGCAGCAAATTTAAACAAACGAATTTATTTATTTATTCTATTCATGTGCAGTATTTATTTTTCGGGAGCCGAGTCTTCGATTTGGCGAAGCAGAGCTGCGGAATATCCGTCAGCGTTTCCGTTCTAATCCTGTAACACCAGCACCCCCACGAACTATTTTCGCGGTCTGTCGGGTTTTGCCTGCCAGTAAGCAGTAGTCAGTACACAGGAGATGAACAGGGGGCAAAAATCCAAATCCCCTCACACACACACACATATATGTATATATATATATAATATAGAAACACGTGTCCGCTTTTTTTTGGGGGGTACCCCACCCCCCGGCACGTCACCTTTCTTCAAGACATTCGTTTGTCCCGTGCCCCGGGGATCGTCAAGTTATACACATATATTCGGTGGCAGTGGCACGAGTCTTTCCTGTTTTCCTCCCCCACCCCGTGTCTAGTCCGGGGCCAGGGTTTTTTTTCCGACGCTAAATGCGAACCCGTCTCTCTACAAAAGCAGCAAAAAAATAAATAAAAGAAATAAAAATAGCAAGGCCCAGGTGGAATCTGTCTGCGTTGTCGTCGTGGCACTGTGTACGCGCGATGCGAAAGATCTGCGAGGAATGCGGAGAGCAAGGGGGAGTGGGCTTTAAATGCGAGGAATTCTCATTACTGCCTCATATAGGCCCCGAGGGGGTTGCAACAGGGGAAGGTCTATACACAGTATACAGGAAGTTTGAGATGACG